AAACTCATGACACATTCTGCATCTCCACAGATGAATAGAGTTTAGAACATTGAAAGTAGAAATACAATTGTTCTTTTTTTAATGAAGTGAAGGATGATGTTTGATTTTTGACCTGGAATCTCAGCACAAATGGGATGATTTTGTATTTGTATCCGCCCGCACTCAGTCATAATAGTAAAAGTTCACATAACGCTTTTATATATAAACGTTTGATGCAATCCAATTGAAAGCCAGTGACATTTCATGCCATTATCATAAGAGCAAAGAAGAAGCCTAGCGAACACATTTACTAGAGCTTGCTGTTCATACGAGGTAGAGATCATTAGCATTTCAAGCTCATAGACAAAGAATTTATTAGTGATAAGCAGAAAATAGTGGGATAATAGTAAAAACTTATAGTTAATTAATTGTGGCCACAATTGCCAAATCACAAGAAATCGACTTTTTTTTCTTAACATTTGTCTTTCCTTTGTCAATTCTCTAAACTCTGCGGTTTAGTGAAACCAGTACATCCATAATCATTATAGAGAAAGAGAAAAAAAAAAAAAACCACGATACACGTTAAAGTGAATTTTAAACTGAATTCAATAACATATTTGCACAGATACATTCATCCCAATTGAATACCTATATCATCATAATACACTTAGCCCACACCAACTACAAAGCCTCTTGCATACATTATGTTAAACTGAACACTTGTTTTTCTCATTTTAATGTATTCAGTATCTTGCAAGGCATGCACTATAACTTATCTCATAGGGAATAATGCTCGGAGTCCCTGGTTACTGTCCCTCCATTCAGTGTTATTTTCCAGCAGTTTCTCTCTAAATTGTGGCCCCCTGGCTTCCAGTAGCCACACCCATACTAAAGGTAGGGCTAAGGCAGAGAAAAAAAACCACACACACACACCTAGCTATAATGATTCATACCTGAATGGGCACTGTGATAGGCTGAAAGTGGTCAACTGACACTCTCTGCCAATCACAGCTGCCAGGTGGGTGCTACTAAAAAACGGTTTAACACTGAATGGAAAGATGGTGTCAGACAGTGGCCACTTAAAAAAGATGAAGCAGTCACAGTACCTTCAGTGGTCTTTAACAATTATCTACAGCCTCCCTGTTACATAATATAAAATAGAACCCATCAATGTCTCATTTATACATTATTCGCATGACCATTTCATAACTTTCTAAGATTTATACAGAAACCACCACAAACAAAAAAGGCAAAATAGCAGAAGTAACAGTATTTATTGAAAATCAAACATATGCACTTGATAGAATCAAAAGCCTGATACTTGTGGCCTTGTGGACTACATCTCCCCTGATGCTTTGCCAGCATTATGGCTGTAAGAGCATTCATATAGATGTAGCCCACAACATCTGGAGTGCCAAAGATTGCCTACCCCTGGACGATGACTACTACCATAACAAAAATGTTCTCAACCTGGTCTGTGTAAATAATAAAAAAAAAAAAAAAAAAAAAATCTAGTTTATTTGGTTGAAGACATCAGCTGTAAAATTTAAGTTTTGGAGAAAGCAAGTTTATATGAAGGTTTTCATAATCTATTATAAATGGTAGAGGGCAGAGACCAAGGACACATCCTATAAATACAAGTCACTGCCCAGCTCTCTGCTGTGGATCTCTCTGATGTGATCACAATTCGATAAACAATGGACCAACATGGCAAAAAAAGCATTTCAGGGAAGTAAATATTGATTTCAGAATGTATTTCACATAGACCTGCCTGCACCGGTGCTATGGAGGAGGATGCTCACAGCAGGAATGCAGTAAAACCAACAGCTGGATGGCCAATCAGCTGGTGTTGACCATAGGTACTGCTGGTAAGGAGGGATGGTAGATCAACGTGGATACCCCAGGACACCCAGCACTTCTTATTAATGAACAGTCCTCCATATCATCAGTCTAGCTTTATACACAGTCCTCCATATCATCAGTCTAGCTTTATACACAGTCCTCCATATCATCAGTCTAGCTTTATACACAGTCTATACATTATCAGTCTAGCTTTATACACAGTCTATACATTATCAGTCTAGCTTTATACACAGTCTATACATTATCAGTCTAGCTTTATACACAGTCTATACATTATCAGTCTAGCTTTATACACAGTCTATACATTATCAGTCTAGCTTTATACACAGTCTATACATTATCAGTCTAGCTTTATACACAGTCTATACATTATCAGTCTAGCTTTATACACAGTCTATACATTATCAGTCTAGCTTTATACACAGTCTATACATTATCAGTCTAGCTTTATACACAGTCTATACATTATCAGTCTAGCTTTATACACAGTCTATACATTATCAGTCTAGCTTTATACACAGTCTATACATTATCAGTCTAGCTTTATACACAGTCTATATCAGTGATGGTGAACCTGTGGCACGCCGAGCCCTCTCTGTGGCCACACGGCCATAGGTCTACCTGCCCAAAACGGCAGGTGCCTACTCTGCTTTCTTGTCGGGATGACCGGAAGCAGGAAGAGATATCTCGGAAGCAACTCTCCTGTCCTCCCGCGAGCAATCTGTGTGGAGCGTTGCCACACGTTTCCATGGCAACACTCCACACAGCATTGCGCGGGAGGACAGGAGAGCTGCAGCCAGGCACATACTTACCACTACCAGGGATGGCTGTGGGAGGATACAGATTTAATATGATTTTAAAAATAAATATATATTTTTTTTAATGTATCCCCATCCCGCCCGCCCCACACAGCACCCCTCCCACTCAAACACATACACTGCACCCCTCAATGCAGTATGTGTATTCAGCAGTCTGTGTACTCAGCAGTGTATGTATTTAGAGGACTGTGTGAACGTATTGCATTTGTTGGAGATACTAATAAATAGAAGCTTCATTTGATTTATATCATTATTTAAAATGTGTATCATTGAACTCTGTGTTCTTTTAAAACAAAAAGATGTTAATTAGTTCGGACAACGGTACAAGTTGTTTTTTCTAAACTTAAACCTCAGTATTCAGGTTTAATTGCCATGTTGGCACTTTGAGGGGAAAAAATAAAGTTAGCATGTATTGCAGTTTGGGCACAAAAAGGTTCGCCTTCACTGCCCTATATTATCAGCCTATTAGTTATAAATATCACAAGGCAGCTATTTCCATTCACTGTCACATAGCATGGAGGCCAGTGGGCTGGGGGTGCCCATGGAGAGCGGCGGGCTGGGGGTGCCCATATGGAGAGCGGCGGGCTGGGGGTGCCCATATGGAGAGCGGCGGCGGGCTGGGGGTGCCCATATGGAGAGCGGCGGGCTGGGGTGCCTATATGGAGAGCGTAAGGCGGGCTGGGGTGCCTATATGAGAGCTGGGCGTATTGGGGTGCCTGGAGAGCCGGGCGGCCGGGGCAGCCCAAGCGAGAGCGGCAAGCGGGCTGGGGTGTCGGCTGAGAGAGGCCGGGCGGCCAGGTGCCCCATATGAGAGCTGGGCGGCTTGGGTGCCCCATATGTGGGAGAGCTGCTGGCTGGGGGTGCCCATGAGAGCCGGCATGGCTGGGGGGTGCCCATATGGAGAGCCGGCAATTGGGGTGCTCCATATGGAGAGCTGCATGGCTAAAGCCCCATATGGAGAGAGCCGTAAAGGGCTGGGGGTGCCCATACAGAGCTGGCGGGCTGGGGTGCCCTATATGGAGGAGCCAGCGGGCTGGGGGTGCCTCCATATGGAGAGCTGCTGGCTGGGTGCCCATATATGGAGAGCGGCGGCTGGGGGCAGCCCATATGGAGAGCGCGCTGGGAAGCCATGGTACGCTGTGGCTGGGGTGCCCATATGGAGAGCCGGCGCGGCTGGGGTGCCTATATGAGAGCTGTGGCGTATTGGGGGTGCCTATATGGAGAGCCGGGCGGCTGGGGTGCCCATATGGAGAGCCGGGGCGGGCTGGGGTGCCCATATGGAGAGCTGCAAGGGCTGGGGGTGCCCATAGTTGAGAGCCGGGCGCGGGCTGGGTGCCCCATGGAGAGCGGGCGGGCTGGGGGTGCCCATGGAGAGCGGCGGGCTGGGGGTGCCCATATGGAGAGCGGCGGGTTGTGTGCCCATGGTGAGCAGCGGGCTAGGTGCCCATGGAGAGCAGCGGGCTGGGTGCCCATGGAGAGCAGCGGGCTGGGTGCCCATGGAGAGCAGCGGGCTGGGTGCCCATGGAGAGCAGCGGGCTGGGGGTGCCCATATGGAGAGCGGCGGGTTGTGTGCCCATGGTGAGCAGCGGGCTAGGTGCCCATATGGAGAGCGGCGGGTTGTGTGCCCATGGAGAGCAGCGGGCTGGGTGCCCATGGAGAGCGGCGGGCTGGGTGCCCATGGAGAGCAGTGGGCTGTGTGCCCATGGAGAGCAGCGGGCTGGGTGCCCATGGAGAGCAGCGGGCTGGGTGCCCATGGAGAGCGGCGGGCTGGGTGCCCGTGGAGAGCAGCGGGCTGGGGGTGCCCGTGGAGAGCGGCGGGCTGTGTGCCCGCGGAGAGCAGTGGTTATGGTATCACTAGCTGCAGGTGGAGGCTGTCATGCTGAATAATAAGGCCTTCGCCAATGATAAGCCATTGAGCTCGGGCTACTTACCTGTAGGTCAGCCGGTTCCTGGTCCCAGCGGTTTGTGTACTAGAATCCCCCTCGTATCCTCCCTTCTAAGAACCTGGATGGGTCACCGAGGATGCTGAGCTGGAGAGTGATAGAAGAGCCCATTATCTGTTCGTGTAATGGCGACCGATAAAAACTATACCGAAACGCGCATGCGCAGAGCCAAGGGGCGTGCCGGCGCTGGCAGAACGACACGTGCTCCCTTATCGGAGCGCTGATTGGTTGCTGGGTGGAACGGTTCGAAAGTACAAAAGGATTTCTCGCCGCCATCTTCGAAGTAGGAAAGCTGGAGGCGAGTGACGCAATGTGTCTCCTCCCCCTTAAACGATAATTGGTTTCTGGAGCCCCTTCCCTTAGCCAATCACACGTGATGTCTTGTGTTTCATAGCAACCGAAGTAAACCAACGTTTGGGCAACCTGAGCCAGTGAAGAAGGGACCCCCTGAGCCCAGGCTTAGTGATGGAGGACCCTGGCTGTTCTCTGGAAGTCAGGTAAATAAAGGAAATATCACTCCAACATGTCTCACATCCATAATGTGACAATAAATGGAGTTTAAATCAATAAACAAGGATAACTATATAACCAGCTATATAGGAAGTCATGGAATGCAAGGCTTGGGGGGTTTTAATAGGTGTTTTTCTTAATTTATTTTCCTAAAGAATTGATGTGCAAATTCCACATTTTTTGCTCTGTCTCAATTTTAAATCAATATTAACATTCAATCAGTCAGGAAAGGCATTTCTTCTATATTTTTGTTTGCTCCAGATTTCCCTTCGCATTGTGAAATTTAAAAATTCTCTATAGAATTGGCCATTTTCAGGATTATCCACTGAATCAGGAATTGTCAGGAATTCACCAGGAAACTGCAGATCTGTGTCCATGCATTTGTTCCACTCCCAAACCACATTCAAATATCTTAAGTTGTGTTATATATATATATATAAAAAAACAAAGACAATGCTTTGCGCATATTTTGATTTAGCATGTGTGACAGGCTCATCTTCATGAAATGGAGTTAGTTGTTAGCAAAAATGGAGTTTCCCATCTTAGCATAACTTCTACGAAATCCTAGATCAGTAGAATTAGCATGACAATACTCAGCTAAAACAAGAGATCAATATAAGCTGAGTTGCTGACATTTCTTTGCCCCACAATCACTCATTGTCTTATTGTTGTTTTTTTTTTTTTTTTATCAGTTTCTTATAACTGCAGAGATTTGCAATACATTCTACAGCTTTAAGGTCACCACTTCCCACTAGTTAAATAAGTTCACCGTAGTGGTTATAGTGCCAGGTGTGCCCTAGCACTGCTCCTTTGTAATTAGTCAAACTATTTTTGAACAGATTGACTTCTCACCTAGAGTCCACCAGGCACCGTTTCCAGCTGCCATTGCCAGAAGTCCCCAGGTAGAAACTTCTGCTAGCTCTTCTGAGACAAGCTCTGCAACATAAGTCTTATATCATTCACAGAGAGCACAACGTATTTCTCTCAGCCTATGACAAAAGCTCAGAAGGGCACTCCTGGCACCATAGTCACTTCAGTGAGCTGTAATGTTTATGTTACTTGGACGGTTTCTTGTCTATGAAAAAACATAAAGGAAGTTTTAGGTTAATGTTTCAGAATTCCTTTTTGCATCATATCAATTCTATATGCATTCCCTGCCTGTGCTGCCTATTACCATATGACTTAACACAATATGGCCATATAATGGAACCGAATCCCTACGGCAGCACCATTGTTGTGAAACACATATTTTGGGTGTGCCCCCAATATCCCTTTTTTTCTTTACAATATTGGCATTTATGGGAAACACAGATGAAGAAAGATACAGATTTTCAGTTGTTTCCAGTGTTTATTTGACGCCATCCATATACATACATATTACACAGTTAAATTTAGGTGACCAGTTCCTTATTCATAACATTTTTATAGTGCACCCACTACATTTCTGAACAATCTCTCATATAGAGGCCTATAAGTTCGCACTCACAAGTTAGTATGGAGTGCAAGAACTAGCGGGTGATGTGGACATGGGGCGGACGCAGGACGTAGCCGTGCGTCGAGAGGAGGGGATTGTGATGCTCCCTCTAAAAAAACAAAAATAGAAGATCTGGAAGATAGATCCCGTAGAAAAAAACCTTAGGTTTCGTAATTTCAATGATTCCAATAAGCAAGAAAATGTGCAACATATGTTACACGACTACTTTAAAGTCCTAGGTTTAAAACTGGATGGCCACAATGAGAAAATCGATAGATGTCACAGACTGCACAAACCATCAAATATAGCATCTGATATTCCAAGAGATATAATTACCTGCTTTCACTCGTTTGAATTTAAAGAACAAGTATTAAAAGCTAACAGAGAGAAACTTATAAAAGATGGTCGTTATGCAAATATCATAGCACTTCCAGACCTATCCTATAATACTAGAAATAAGAGAAGAATGTTTTCACCTGAAATTAATATTTTAAAGCAACATAAAATCAGATTCAGATGGAGCTATCCTACGAAGATGATTATCCAAATGGATGGAAAAATAGAGACCTTTGATCAACCAGATACGCTAAAGACATGGCTACAGAATAAATCACTGAATTAATCTCTAATAGGGACTTTCAAGGTTTAGGAGGAATTAGGTAGACTAAGAGGTCGGAGAGAATTAAATTTATAAATGTATATTTCGATGCTTATTGTAAAATAACGTCCTTTTGAATACTTTTCACAAGATGATTATTATGGAATAGGCACGCCTTATGGCATAAACAGAAAAATTAAGTATGGTTTGGGGTATTGTTAATATAAAATTAATAAGATTTAAAAGGCGATAATTCCACATGCACAGTTTTTTAATCAATATACTTGTTTACTTATTTTTGTTTACTCATATATATACTTAAAGGAAACACAAGTTAGTATGGAGTGGTGATGTCATGCAAGCATTTACTTTGGAGGGGGCTAATCTTAGAGATAGAAAAATTACACCACAGAATTGAGGCTTTTGAGTGTCCCCAGAAGCAGAACGGCAAACAGGGGTCTGAAATAGAAACAGACAAAAAACAATCTAAATTTGTGGGTAATACATTTTAAAAAATTGCAGCAATCCACAACAAGAAACTAAATATTGAGAAACCATAGCGATATATAAAAGATGTGTAGCGGAGCTCAAAAACGTGTACTAGGTATCTTAGCTGAATATCCATGAAGCTCGAAAAAGCATACTTCAATGAATAATGAATATCTCTATTCCCCCTTCCCACCCCCAGCAACTAGACAACACATAGTTCTTTATTCCTCAAGGCATGGTCTTTTATACACAGAACCCCTGCATGGGGTCTCCATAAATTCACATCTAAGCCCAACCTGGTGCCTCTGAGTCTGGGAGATAATGAAGTTTCTACTCGCTAAGTTAATTATCTCCCAGATCCACAGGTCACAACACAAAATACATTAAATATAAGCACTAACCCCAACATGTTATATATCCCCGGATAGCTCTGGTCCAAGCGCCCAAGTTGTCAAAATAGCGCCCAGATCCATAGAGTGTAGCCAGATCGCCACCGGTCAAATGTTGGAGCTCCTGCAGGCAAACAAAAGTGGGCTCCGCCGTGCTCTCATGACGTGACTGTTCCATTCAGTCTGTAGTACCTTTCCTCTAAATAGCACTCTGCTGGCAGGTCGGGAAGTGGGGCAAAACAGTGGGCAAAGGTGAAGTGTCCACATTAGAGTTCCATATGGTTTGCAGCCAAGTGTCACTGGGGATTATTCTGTTGTTTTGGGGGGAGAATGACTGCCAGGGAGTGGGGGCGCTTTTGGTCAATAACCTTTGGGAGTAGGAAAGGCACTGAGCCAGGGGTGATGATAGCTCCTTTGGGGAAAAGGTATGTGGAACATAGAACAGGTTCCAACACAAGATGGATTCACGAAAATACTCACAATATTAAAATGTAAGAAAATCTCTAACCATTACTGGACTAACACAAAATAATGGCAATTTTCATTAACTACAACTAATAAGGTGATATCAACTTGGTTTTGTAACCTGACTGCACATAAACATGCAGTTAGTTATTCAGTAATAACTATGATATAAATAATAACTAATAGAAAGTAACAAAAAACAAAAAGAAACATTAAAATAAAAAAAGACTCACATCACCTAAAAGTGGTGTGCCTACAAATAACCAAATTACAGGGCTAAACACTATGACTACATCAGCACACACTAGGAAAAAGTGTACCTACACATAACCAGGGGTAGAGAGTAACAGGGTTCAACAGAAGAAATAAATAAAATGTGCTATCAAACAGTGCTACTCGCATGAGTGTTAGACACGTGTTAAATCATAATGAAAAAGACATAGTCTGATGCGCATTTTGGTATGAAGGCATTCCTAGTCGGTGGCACCAACTTACTGTGAGTTTCCCCGATCAGGATTTCCGGATTGATTTTGCCCTTTGCCTTAACTCTTTAGTGTATATTTAGGTCTATTCTATTAGATACCACCATCCTTAATATCATAGTTCAGTAATTATCAAAATAAAACTGCAGCTTCACAGATTATAGCATACTTGCTATCAGTCTATAGATACCACCAGCCAGGAACTTTACAACATAGTATTAGCATATAGAAACACATGATACATTATAGCATAGTCAGGGTTCAACATTTTTACCGTCACTAGCCATTAGTTAGTGAAAATGTAGCTCTGGTGAGTAGAAATGTACCCTTGGTGAGTGTGATATAGACCCTCCAGGCTTGCACTGGCTAGTAAATATTAAGGCCTGGCTATAGCATTGGACTTGAAATTTGGAGCCATCATAGTTACTGTCAGTGGTTAGATTGAAAGTCTCATTTAGAACGTTGCATCACTTATGTCAGAAGAAAATTTTCTTGCAAAATACTTTATATTAGGTCACAATTTCTCCCCATTTTGTAAAATCCACATTCTCCCACATCTGTATCCCTCTCTCTCCCTTTGTTTTTAATGTACATGTGTCTTCCCTCCATCCTTGTGTCACTTGCCCAATCCTTCATTCCCATTTCACATGACCATCCAGTTCCATTCCATTTATTTTAATCCTTCCAACCTGTGTGAACTAAAACTAACCCCAAGACGTGGGGGATAACCTCAGACTGGTTTGGGGTAACCAATAGCACTAGTCAGGGGTATCCCTTATCCCCTCTATTATACATACTGTCTGTTGAATCTTTAGCGGACGATATTAGGAATAATCAAAAAATAAAATGGTTTGAAAGTAATGGAAAAGAATTTAAAATCTCACTTTTTGCAGATGATATTTTAACGTAAAAAGAACCGGTACTTTTGCTTAAAGAATTAATGAGCACTATTGGAGATTATAGTAAACAATCAAATTATAAACTAAATATCGATAAGACATTGATTAAGGACAAAAATTAAAAAAAAACGGAGGACTTGGATTCCCTAATATATTTCAAACAAACGTAGCATGCTGAAAATCACACATTGTCAGCACGTTAAAAAAAGAAGCTAAAAAACAAGCATGGTTTTAAACAGACATTCATAATATGGGAACCAAGTATATAAAAAAAAAAAATTGGGGGGGGAATTTATATAGAAAATAAGCAAAATGTCGAAATCTTCGATAATAACAGAAGATATGTATTCACTCTGGATAAGCCTAAAAGTCAGATTGGATATTCAGAAGAAATTTACGGATAGTCTTCCAATAGAAATAATAGCGATAAATCTTGAGAACCTAGATATGAAGCCGTGGAAAGAAAAAGGAATAAAACTAATAGGGGACCTTATAAGAGATAATGAAATAATATTGTTTCAACAACTTAGGAATGATTTAGGGCTACCATCAAGAGAGATCTTTTCATACCTAAGAATAAAATGCTTCCTAACAAAACATAGATTAATCAATCCAACTGACGAACTAAAATTATTCACGCAAATGTTAAGCGCAGAAAAAAACAACAAAATGATAACCAAAGATATGCACTTAACTTCATTACACTTCGAACAAAATGAAATATTAGCAATAAAATGCTGGAATAGTGAGCTACAGATATGCATAGAATATAGTAACTGGTATAAAATGTTGACCCAACTAAGGAAAGCTATACATTGCTTAAAACTAATCAAGGCACAATACAAAATAGTCAACAGATGGTATTGTTACCTACTAAAGCTATCTAAAATATATCTATCTAGATCTTTAAAATGCCGGAGATGTGAGAGCAGACTATATCCATATATGGTGGTCATGTCCAGAAATTCAGAAGATATGGGTGATAATCTTTAAATAGATAGAGGAGTGGACAACAAAAGAGTTCTCTCCATCATTGGCACTGCTCCACCTGGCTGGCAAAAAAATTGAAAAAGAAAAGTGAGATCTAAGCATTCATATCTTTTAGCAGTCAAACTACAAATAGCCAAAAATTGGAAATCCAAACTCCCGCCAAAAATAATAGATATAAAATTACAAATTATAAACTAATGTCAAATGGAACAGGGCATAGATAAAAATTTTCACTACAATGCAAGTACAAGATGGAAGGATTGCGTAGAAAGGATTAAAAAAGATTAAAACAGGATAACTAGAGGAAATAGGAAAAAGGAGGATAAGAGATAAAGAGAACATAGACGATACAGGAAGAAATTAACACAAAAAAAAAAATTTAAGAAAGAAAGCAAAGTAGAATTGTAAGATTTAAATATTTAAGAATTGTGTGTGATGTATGGTGAGTTTTGATGTATTCATATATATATATATATATATATATATATATATATATATATATATATATATATATATATATGTGGCACAATAAATTGATATGGAGTTATAAACACCGGGAGATAAATAAAGATAAATAGAAATTGAATTAAATAAAACAGGGCAATAAAATTGTTATTTATAAGGAGTGTAATTCTAATATCATAAAAGAAGACATCAATGTTTATGTCTGTGTTTTGTCATTAAAATATTTGTCTGTTTGTCATAAAATGGAAAATCTTTAAATAAAGATCAAATATGGAAAAAAATAAAATAAAATAAAAATAACCCCAAGATCTACCTTGTATCTATCCATCTGCTATTCTATGCCTTTATTCCATAAGAAAACCTAACAAGTCTTTTGTGTGTTTATTTTCAGACGGGTGCAAGGAATTAATACAAAGAACGCCACTTTCATTAACAACACCACAGTGTGCTACCCATGCGGAAATTTTATTGTTTTCATTGATATAGGGACAAGAAAACAGTATTTTTTACAATGTCCAAAAGGCAGCATTAGAGCATGTTCTGTCAATATACAAAGTGAAGTGGTGGCATTTTCCAACCAGAAACTTAAGCCAAGTATTTTTGTGTATACATATCCAAGGCTTGCTAGATGTGCAGAACTAAAAGGTATGTGATTAATAAAAGAGCCGTAAGGCCTTATAACATTGAATTTTATTCTTTCTCCTTCCTGATATTCAAAGGATATCCTATAATTAGGGGACTTCATCACCTATTACTGTGCTGGTGGGACAGTTCACAAGAGTCAGAGATACTGCTAGAAGTATTTAAAGGGAGATGTGCCTTCCCAGGGTTCTTAATATTATGCTTACATATCCCTATATTGAACAAATATATATTTATGAAGTGTGAAAATTAAATCAAAGAAGTCCTCCAAGCACTATAACCATTATGCTGTATGACTATATTGCCAGGAGTTGCCTGACACTCTCCTGGCAGAAGTAGTCAAACCATTATACACAGTTTAACATATGACCTGGGGTCTGGCACGGGCTGCCTCTTCAGTTGAAGCTGGTAGCTCCCTCCACTGAACTAGCTTGGTGTTGCAGGGCTTTGCTCATTGGCTGATAGAGCTCAGCTGACACTCATAGCCAATGAGCACAAAAGAGTTCAGCTCAGTGGAGCTAAGGCGCCTTAAAAGAGCTTCCAGCTGTACAGGAAGTGGCACCCAGCGGACCCCAGGTAAGTTGTCAAACTGGTATCAACTAACAAAGACTATAAATATGGCATCCACTGGCTGTGCAGCCTAGGAATACTTGCAAGGTTGAATTGTGGGATACTGAACTTTATAAGTATGGGTGGAGGCTGTGCATGCAGCAGCCTTGCCAATATCCAGTGGTGAAGAGGAATCAATCTGAATAATCTCAGGTAGGTATGTCTGTCTTTAGTTTATACATTTTCTGGACGTTTCATGTGGTATTATTTTAGAGATTTTACATTTTTAGTCTAAAATTGATGGATTTTTCTGACTTGGTTATTTTGTGTAAAATTTGCCCTTGTCTGGCTTATTGAATAGCCCCAAATGTCAAACATGTTTAGTAGATGACAAGTCCACTTTAAAAAGCAATATGTAATATTCGTTTTGTGCAGAAAACTATTAAGACAGGAGTTCCAATTGCCCTAGCACATAAAAAAAAAAAATTATTAAAGGGACACTTTACACATCAAAACAACTTTAGCTTAATAAAGCAGTTTTGGTTTACAAATCATGCCCCTGGTGTCTCACTGCTCAATTCTCTGTCATTTAGGAGTTTAATCACTATTGTTTATGTCTAGTTTAAAGTTTTGTTCTCCTGCTCTGTAGATTGAACTTTAATCACACACAAGGCTCCTGTAGGGTCTTGAATACTATTGGATAGCAAAAAATCCCCCAAAAAGAGGATCAACTGTAGACTCCCTGATTATACAGACATAATTGTCTAAGTCTTATTAAAAAGGTTTGTGCTTCCTAATAACAAGTAAATAATACTATATACACCCAAACCAAAGAGGAGAAAAAGAGTGTTTATGTTTCCAGTTAATTCAATTAACCAAGCAATATGAAATGAGAAATTAGCCCTCTTTCCTATAATTCAACCTTTATTGGAATTATTCTATATTGAGGCATTTAAAAAAGGGTTACCTCTACTAATATTTCATCTGAAAGGGATCAACATGTATTCAGTAGTCTATGTACTCAGTAGTGACAGTCCATAATCCATCATTCATACTCAAGTGGATTAATCACAACTTCATCTGAGTTATTCCCTATATGATTATTGAGTTACACAAAATGTAACAATCACTTTTATGGAACTGGATAAAATGTTTCTAAATTAGCCGAATGGCTGTGGTTACAAATTCTACCCCATCCAGAACAGAGGTGTTTGGAAACAGTGTTACATTTAAGGCAAATAAATTTGAAGCATGTGGAATTAGCAAATAAAAAGGAACCTTAATGAGATTAAATTCTTATACTGTACTTAGAAGGGAGTAAATATTCTCCTAAAGTCCTCTTTATGTTAATATTACTCTAATAATAAACAGGGGAACATGTGGAGAGCAAAAAAAGGTCAACAAAAGCTTTGTAATACCTCAGAGCAAAATAAATACAGATTATAATAGAGACCTCCCTAAATAAACTCAATGCATAATTCTACTTCAAGATATACATTATATGCCTAGAAGCTACAGAAACTCTTACATATTACTATAATATAAGACAAGGATCCCTGAGAACCGAAAGAAAATAGGATCAAAATCCACTCACTAAACTAAAGTGTTAGACCATAATTCCCATAAAATCTCCCCAAAAATATAAAAATGAGACAATAACATAAACGCCAGACACACGTTTTGGTGCAAAATACTGTGCTTTCATGTGGGCTATCGGCAGTGGTGTATTTTGAATTTGTGCTGCCCTAGGCATGATCGAACTTGGGCACCCCCTAATTTAAAGTTGCCCCACCCCTTCCTGTCAAGGCCACACCTCTTCCTGTTAAGTGACATACACACAGACACACCCACTCACTGACCGGCACACACTCTCAGATACACTGACATACATTCACTGGCAGACACACATACTCACACACTCACTGATTTGACACAATCTGACAGACACACACAATTACTGATTTGACACAATCTGACAGACACACAGAATCATTCAGACATGCACTGACACACACACTGAACGACATGCACACACTCACTGACAGACACACATTCACTGACAAACACAAATTCACAGACATGCACACACGCTCACAGGCATACACTGATAGACGTACACACACATTCACTGACAGACACACACATTGACAGACGTACACACACACATTCACTGACAGACACACACAAACTCACTCACAGAAACATACATTCACTGACAAACAAACTCAGTGACAGACACACTCACAGGTATAAACACACATTCACTGACAGACAGACACATATACACACTCACTGACACACACACACACTCAAACAGACACACACAAACAAACTGACAGATAGACAGACACACACATTGTCAGGATCCTATTCTGACAATTCAAAACATGTTTAGTTTCTTCTGTTTTATTTAATTAAAGTTCCAGTTTTCACCACTAGTCACCTCAGTTTCTCTCACCTGTATAGCATGATTACAAACCAAAGAGGCTGATCACCTCAATTGCTGCTTTAACATGTTTTACTTTATCCTTTATATTCCTTTTTAGTTTTATCTAATTGTTTCCCTGTCTCCTGTAAACCTGTTTTGGGGCATATTGTCTAAACTTCTATTTCTCTACTACTCCTTCATACTCACCTGTAATTCTGTTTCTAGGTTCTGCTTTCTACCTTTGTCTTTATACTACCTTTTCCCTCTTTCTCCTGTTATTCTTATTGTTATCTTTGTCTAACCTTGTCTAATAACTCAAATAAACTACCTGAAGTCAACCCCGGCATAAGTCTCTCTCTTGTCTGACTTAATCAAACCATGACACACACTCATTGACAGACAAAGAAACTCACTGACAGATACACTCACTCAGACACACTGACAGGTATAACACATTCACAGACAGACAAACACACACACACACACACACACTGACAGACTGACACACACATTTCCCCCCAACATTTACAAATAATTATTAACTTTTATTTTAACTTAAATCCACCCAGCCTCCCTACTTTTGGGATACCTGGGTGGATTTTTACCTGGGGTCCAGTGGGGCTGCTGGGCAGGCATGCAGGATGAAGGGTAGGCAGGCAAGGGGGGCAGTGGATGCGCAAAATAGGCGGCAAGGAAGCTGTGATCTTCCTGCTCTGCTCCATCACGCGTCGTTTAGTGGTGCCGGAGTGATGTCACGTTCCAGCTCCTGGCATCACTGCAGGTCACGTGAGAGAGCTGAGCAGGAAGAGATCAGATCAGCGCTCCCTCATCGCCCGCCTGTAAAAGAAACTGTCCGGGCGCTCTGGTGGGCCAGTCGGCCAACTCTTGGGCCCCCTTGTAAGTCAAGGCTAACAAGGTATTTGCCAGGGCACTTGGGAGGTGGCGTGTTTTGCCGTCCCCTGGAAAGTGCTGCCCAAGACAAATGTCTTGTTTGCCTTGTGCTAAATACAGCGCTGGCTATGGGTATGATAGATTATTTTTGTATTATTTCGCTTTCCACACGTTCCCCTGTTTATTGTTTCGGTGATATTAACATAAAGAGCCTTTAGGAGACTATTTACTCAAAACATAAGAGTTTCATCTCCTTAAGCTTCCTTTTTATTTGCCAATTCTACATGCTTTACATTTGTATGCCTTAAAGGGGTACTATAGTCACTATAACAACTACAGTTTGTCCTGCAGGCTTTTTAATTTAAACACTGCCTTTTCAGAGAATAGTCTCTAGAAGACTTTTTTGGAAAGTTAAAGAGTAAAATGTAGGACTCTCCCCTTCTCAGTTTTTACATATTAAAGTTTGACAGATTGGTTTGCTGGGCCTATGTTTCCTTTGAGAACGTATGGCAGCCTAGTAATGAAAATTACCCCCATCATGGCATACCATTTGCAAAAGTAGACAACCCAGGTATTTTTTGAGTAGCCACTTAGTCACAAACCTTGGCCAAAGTTATTTTTACAAAAATAACTGCCCTTTCACTGATGATATCATCAGCATTATACATTTTACTGTTTAGAAACACTGATATTTGAGTTCAGCGATATCAAACGAGTGCAACAGTACCCCCCATGTCCAGGTTTTATGGTGTTTTATAAAGTTACAAGGTCAACTATAACGCTTGCCCGTTTCAGTTTTTACCCAGGAATGAGAATTACTCCCATCGTGGCATACCATTTGCAAAAGTAGACAATCCAGGGTATTCAAAATGGTGTGTGTCCAGTCTTTTTTGAGTAGCCATTTAGTCACAAACCCTGGCCAAAGTTAGCAATCACATTTGTTTTTTTGGGGGGGGTGGGGAGGTGGGGGGTGGTTTAACGCAAAACTGCAGTTTCACTGATGATATCATGGTTACAAAACATTTTAATTTTTTAAAACACTCATATTTGTGTTCAGGGGTGTCTCCCAAGTATAACAGTACAGCTCATGTACAAATTTTATAGTGTTTTGGGAAGTTACAGGATCAAATATAGGGCTTGCAAATTAAATTATCTGTACTTTCCGTCTGGGTTGCCAGACAGGTACCTCAAATTATAATTAGTAAAATCACATAATTATGTAAAAATAATCCATATATATATATATATATATATATATATTTATATACATATATAATAGAGGGTTGTCAGGCAGTCCCCTTAAACGGGATAGCTGGATAAGGTAAGTATCCTGGGCTGCAGGGGCTGCAAATCATTTTAAGTTTAAGTCCAGTTTGTGCTGGACGGCATAGTACGCTGTAACGTACAAGTCACATGCAGGGAGATGTGACTAGAGCTGTATAAGCAGAGTGATTCCACTTTTAAATGGCAATGAATTGAGCAGTGACACTGCAGAGACATGATCTATATAACAAAACTGCTTCGTTAAGCTCAAAGTTGTTTTGGTGCCTGTGTGTATGTCTGGGAATTTGTGTTTGTCAGTGAATGTGTGTCTGTCAGTGAGTGTGTGTGTGTTGTTCAGTGTGTGTGTCAGTGCATATCTGAGTGATTCTGTGTGTCTGTCAGATTGTGTCAAATCAGTAATTGTGTGTGTCTGTCAGATTGTGTCAAATCAGTGCGTGTGTGAGTATGTGTGTCTGCCAGTGAGTGTATGTCAGTGTATCTGAGAGTGTGTGCCGGTCAGTGAGTGGGTGTGTCTGTGTGTATGTCACTCAATGCATGTCTTTAACGGGAAGAGGTGTGGCCTTGACAGGAAGGGGTGGGGAAACTTTAAATTAGGGGGTGCCCTAGTTCCGTCATGCCTAGGCACCTAGTCCGTCATCCCTTTAAGATATTTTTGTATTGAAAAAGTAGCCCTTAAAGTCCTTATATTATATGTGTATAATTATCTGGTACATTCTGTGCTGTAAAACTAGTTTTTCTTCTTTTCTGTTTTTCAGGGGGGGCTGTGCTAGATTATTCTGTACTTGCTTTCAGTTATTCTGGATCCTATTTGGCAAGTTTTTCTTCTGCTCCTGACCATGTGCTTACACTCTGGTAAGTCTAAATATCAAGAAAAAAAAAACTACTCGTGAGCCTAATACCCAGAAAGATCACATTAAAGGAACACTATAGGGTCAGGAACACAAACATATATTCCTGACCCTATAGTGTTTAACCCACCATTTAGGTGGCTTGCCCTCCTTAGCCCCCCCCTATAAAAGTTTAAAACTCACCTTATTTCCAGCCCTGCAAGGGTCTGCCATTGCTGGCTCTGCCCCCCTTTATGCCAAATCGTCATGGGGGAGGGGCCAAATGCCATTTTGGCATATCAGGACCTCCTCACAGAGATGCTTTAAATCAATGCATCTCTATGAGGAAAATTCAGCGTCTCCATGCAGAGCGTGGGGACGCTAAACAGCAGGGCTGCTTTTTCAGCAGCACTGACCCAGGAACCACCTCCGTTGGCCATCTAAGGCAGTGTTTCCCAACCCAGTCCTCAAGGCACACATACCAGTCCAGGATTTAGGGATTACCCAGTTGTGTCTAAGGTGTTTTTACAAAGAAGAAAAAAAACACCTTAGACACAACTGGGTAATCCCACTGGGTTGGGAAACACTGATCTAAGGAGTGGCCACTTGGAGGTGTCCCTAGAGACAATGTAAACACTGCCTTTTCTCTGAAAAGGCAGTGTTTGCATGAAAAAAGCCCGAAGGGAACTATTATACTCACCAAAACAACAACATTAAGCTGTAGTTGTTCTGGTGACTATAGTGTCCCTTTAATATATATCACAGTTCAAAGACTCACACAATAAACATTGTTGACAAACATCTTCACAATTCTCTCTTGTGCATTTCCCTGCTGGCTGACATACAGGTCTGACAGCAGTTGACTCATTACCTACCTACAAAATGAGAAGCTGATATGCGGACGCCGGCTGGGGAGGGAGGCAGGAGAGTACCCGGGGAGCTCTAGCCAGCAGCTCCGCCGGGTTCCTCTCGCAAGGTCATAGCGTTACCGCGATTACCACGGCAACGCTCAGATCTCGCGAGAGTGAACTCTAGCCCTGCAGGCTAGAAAATATTGAATTCAATGCATTTCTATGAGAAGCAATTGAGTAGATGCACACGCAGCACTCAACGCGCACATCCATCTTGTTCCCAGTGATCTTCCATGAGGATCATTAGATTGGGCAGTTGTGAAGCCTCCACAATAATGTTGTAAGAGGCAAAGTGGGTAGCAACATCAAGGGAGTCTCAGCAGTGGAAAATGGTAAGATAAACATTTTTTTATTCCTCACAGGGGAGCCCTAATTCTATAGCATTAGAAAAACATGTTTGTATTCCTAACGCAATAGTGTTAGTAGTCCTTTACAGCTCGGTGAGCAATATAGTTTCTATACATGTGGTGTGCCATTGTCAGTGTACACTGATATAATCAACCTTGAGCACAAATTCTCATTGGGTACTTTATGGAACCATGCAAAGCTACCTAGCTGAATTAAGTTGGTTTGTATTAATTGGAAAATTATGTGATTAATGTATTACTTGTAGGAACTGGCAGGAAGGCATTCCTCTGTGCAGCAAGTCAGAATCTAATGACACCTTTACCAACTTGACCTTTAATCCTATGAACATGCTCCAGTTGTGTTCTTCCAGTGAGTCGTCTCTTCTCGTTTGGAACATTGAAGTGTGTGACACTGTGTATCGTCTAAAAGCACTGTAAGTAGATTTTACTATATATTGTTATTCCATCTTCGGAGAAAGGTATTGCTGAGCATTGTATACCCTATTTAGAGCACACCAGAGAAATTGTGCTTTAATGAGACTATAACCTGATCAATATTTGGATTCAATATAAATGACTTGTTTTTATGCTGTGGAATAAATACACTGACCTCAGTTAACCTTAGTTATAGAGGTTTCAAGAGTCATGTTTAGCAAGTGTAGCGATATAATTGGAACATGGGTCATTTATTGAAATTCTTGCAATGACATTTTGTTTGGGGGGGGGGAATTAGTTACTATTGAACATATAATGAGATCAGCGCTGTAATCCAAGGCAGATATGCGAGTAAAAGAGACATGGTTACATGTACCAGTTTAGAGATTCATTGTGGTCAAAGTTCAAGTGTACCGGCTCCATGAACGATCACTGTGCCTACAGACTAATAAACATTTTAATAATCTAAAAATGAAAAACCAGTGTGGACCTGATCAACTCCCAGCAATGTTGCTGAAGCTCAGTGTGCCGGCAATTGCCAAATCAGTCACAACCCTAGTTAACGAATCCTTGGTGTCTGGATACATACCCAAACTTTGGAAGCAAGAGTAGTACGTATCCATAAGAGTGGTGATCATACTTTGGTATATAACTAACAATCAAAATCATTGCTCCCTGTATTGTCAAAAATCTTGGAAAAATAAGTTCCCACGCACCTATGAATATTATCAACAACCAAACTCTCTATTCCCTGATCAATCAGGCATTTGTCTAAATTGATAAACTACCACTGCCCTCTTAAAAGTTTGCAACCACCTCCAACCTGGCATGGAACAAAGAGACCTAACTGGAGCTATTTTCCTTGATATTTCCAAAGCTTTTGACACAGACTATAGCATTCTATTGCAAAAACCTAAAAACTCAGGTATTGGTGATTGTCCATTAACCTGGTTTCAGTTGTATGTATCGGATCGAATGCAATTTGTGTCCATTTCTGACAGTGCCTCCCTCTCCTGGTCACAAGTGGTGTTTCCCAAGGCTCCCTACTTGGCCCACTACTATTCACATTAACCGTACACATGTACACAGACGACACCATAATCTACGCTAGCAAACCAAACGTTTTGCAGATTGAGGCTGTGCTCCAAGTCCAGTTTTCAGAGATAGAAAAGTGGATTGCAGATAAACTTTTCCTAAGCACAGACAAAACTGTCACAATGATCTTCGGCACAGTACTTAAATTGCATAAATTAAAAAATTTACAGCTATGCATTAAAACAAAATCAAATAGTACACTAAACACAGTTCACTCTTTCAAATATCCAGGTAAGTTGCTAGACCCCAATCTATCTTTTGGCCTCCACATGAAAAATCTTGCTAATGCCAGTCATTGAATATGGGGATGTAGTGTATGCACCTCTGCTGCAAACCCACCTTCATAAACTTACTATGTTGTATAACTCGAAATGATCCAGCATTGTGACATGTTAAAAGAGCTAAACTGGCTATCGTTTGAATCGAGATGCCCCCTCCATCTTTCGAGTCTTGTGTTTAAGAGCTTTTTCTGGGAAGCTCCCACCCTATCTGAAAAGAATGCTCTCTCCGACCTTTCCCACCTCCTATAATCGCCAATCCCGTACAAGCACTTTATATAGTATACCACATTACGAAACGAAAGTAGCACGATCCTCGTTTTCATACATGGCACAACCTCCCAGACACAATTGCCGTATTTGTTGGTGTTTAAGACGCCCACATGTATAAGACGACCTCTTTTTTTTTTTAGCCCAAAAATAAGAAAATCAGTATTTTAAACATCAAATAGAACAACTTCGATATTTTAGAGGTGACTTCTGAGGAGAACTACACACTTCTGATTCTCATGCCTCCCTTGAGCTATGGCACTCTGTGAAGTTAAGGGTTCCATAGTACATGCTGGGAGACAGCAGGTGGTGTGAGGACATGCTGGGACATCACATCAGTATTCCCTCTGCTTCATGATCCCCATTTCCTCCACCATAAATATAAATCAGAGAGCAAGACCTACCTGAGTTAGAGCAAAACTTAATATGGCTGCTCCTTTTATGGTGTGGCATGTCTCTAGCGCTCCATTGGTGGTAAGTGCTAACATCTGCTGCAGCTCCCACGCATATAGGGACCTCTTCCTCCTTGCCACAGCATTCAGAAGTGGCTCACGTGATAATACAGACCTGCTCTCACTTTGGGGCTGCGGAGCTGGCAGACCAGGTGAGTAAGTCCGCGGGAGGGAGACCAGGTATGTGTGTGGGCTGTGGCACACTGAAACGAGCCAGGCGCACAAGTGTTTTTTTTCTGCAGAGACATTTCATGTATTTGACAACCCCCAATTTTACACGGAAAAATACGGTAAATCTTCCTCCACCCTCAATTCCATTAAGACATCCCTGTCAAATATCTCAGTACAGAATGCACCTGTAATCATGATTTATTATATGTCATACTTGTTCTGTGTTAAATGTATATAAATGTATATATGTATTTTAATATTATTTTGTACTTTTAAAATTATAATGTGTATTTTAATATTACTTTTTTATATATATATTATGCTGTACCTTGTTGTAACAATGCAACGTTTGTAGGGCCAGGACATACGCGAAAACAAGAAAAATCTCAATGTATCCCTCCTGGTAAAATATTTAATACATAAATAATATATTGATAGCTCACAGGCATAAAGGACAAGTTGTCCCCTCACATTTATGTTTTGACTTTTGCAAATAAACATGTTAATAATTTGGATTCAAGTGAAATAGCTTAGTTGGTTAATGTACTGACTTGAATACCTGATCAAACATTAGATGTTCAACCCATTCTTTCATTGTAGAGGGACAATGTGTACCACTGCTTTAGGTAAAAGTAACATCTGCTGATCAGCTTACAGTTCAGATAAGCTGGAGATGTATGCAATGCATTGGCAATCCAATTTGACTGAAGAAACTTCTATAGAAGCAGATATTACCATACAATCTAAGCAGCATGCTCATTCCTGCTGCCTCCACCCTGTTTAATTTCTACGCCCCATATTATAGTTTTTGCTAAACACCTTACGGGAAGCTGTATATTCTTTATGTGGGTAATCATGTGGTTTATCCTTATTCATTTTCCTTTACAGACCAGTCAACCTTCCCAATGAAGATGGTACAATGGCCATGGAGGATAAAAATGTTGATGCTACCATTTATGAATCTTATGGTGGGCTCGTCCTACCAATCTCTGCCATTGCCGGCTTAGTGGATGATAGTGCACTTAGGTTCATTGTAAGTGAAACTTGTCTTTTAGTTTTAATTTTTCTTAATAAGAAGTTAAGCCTTTATTTCATTACCTTAATATTTCATAGCCAGGGCACCTGATTTCTCCAACCACCATGACCACTTCTGCTTTTAGAAGAGATCAAGGTGGAAGAAATCTGTATGGGCAGCGTTTCTGCTTGAAACTCTTCACATACAGAGATATTTGTGTCAGTGGCTTGTTGCACCCCTATACACATGATTTAGGCAACACGGAACCCTGCCTAATGTCAATTCAGTGCAAAATAATACCTCTGTCATCAGTGCACTGGCAACAGATGTGGTCAGTTTCTTCCTTCCAGGCAGTGTGCAGGCAAAGGGAAGCTTGGTCTTCCATCCTCCGTGCAGTCACTCCACATGCACTCAGAACTTGTGAGAAAGGTCCAATCAATTGCTTCTATGAGAAAAATGTGATTGGACCGCGCAAGGGAAGCTGCCTGTGATGTCAGAGAAGGTGTGGAAAGTAGCTCTAAGTACTTCACTCGCCACTGGATTTCAGATAGATTAACACTTAATTTGCTGCTTTTTAAGAAAGACTCATTAGTAAAAAGGTTTGGAGTAACCCATTAAGTTAAAAAACATGTTTACCATTGTCCCCTTGACAGAGCATCTGCAGATTGTCCAGCCATTTTCCAATTTCCCACGTGCAGCAGAGTCAAGAGCCTATGTGCACAGATTGTATGTACCTTCTATTAGCTAGAGATTGGTAGGCCAAGGGTAAGCAAGGATTAAAGCATAAATCTGATATCCTGGTTGCTATTGTTAATTTATCGTATTCTTGTTGTCTTTCATCCTAACATCCCTTCATCTAATTAAAACTTTTGTTTTCTAATAGATCTCCTTATTTGCAACAAAGGGACACTCCAGTCCCTTGCTGGAGTGCTTTATGTATGAAAAGTGTGTCCTCTTTTTTTAATTTTACAAAAAGTGCAGATTTCAATAGAAATGATCGTTTTTATAAATTAACCTTGTTACGCCTTGAGTGTCAATCCTAGAATTGGTTCTGCTACTTCCTGGTTAGTTTAGGTCAGTGTAGCTAAACTCTTTTTTTTTTTTTTTTTTAAGCTATTGTTCTTGTTTTACATCTGTTTTTTGCTACATTTGCCCTTTCCTATTCTTATTACATCCTGCAGTAGCAGATACAAGTGCCCACCCCCAGCATAAAGAGTGCTGATTGAGTGACCAGCACCATCTAGAGAACCTTCCGATGCTATGTGGCTCCAAATCAAGGGGCTGTCCTCATTATTAACCTCATGCTGTTGGTATTGAAAGTGCAGCAACAATGATGAACAGTGTTTACTATGGCTGGCAGTAACTGCCAAGTAACTAGGGCTTGTAGTGAGTGCCAGGGATTACATCAATTCCTTCTGTTTCACTGCTACAGTGAATATAAATCAAGAACTGATTTTGCCATATAAATTGTAACAACTGATACCCATGCTAGATGCTGTTAGTGCTATTCTGGCTTATTTACCTACCATTGCAACTTCCCTCTGACATTCTGGGTAACTGCTGTATAGTACACGTTTAGACATTTAATTTCTTTCACATAATTTGAATATTGCAAAACAGATTGAGTAAACAGCTTAGATAACTACAGACAAATAAAAGATGGAAAAAAAACTTAAAGGAAGAGCAGATAATGTACAACGTTTCTCAATCAATGGAAACCCTTGGATGGCATAAGAAGTTGAGTCTATAACGAAGCTCCATACAGCTATACAGGGCAAAGTACAGTGTATGTTTAAGGGAGTTTAGAGTTCCCGAGACACTCAATAATGGCAAAGGGTGAGTATGTAGTTCATGGGGTGATCATTGTGTGTAGAGGATCTCTTTATATGTTTCATACATTTAATCATGTAACCTATATTCAAGCTTATAAACCAAACAAACAAATATCATGGCAGAGATAGAGGCGAACAGTGGATTGTAGTTGTTACAGAGTTCGGTACTCAGCCTAAGTATCTCTGTTAATATCCCTCCTTTTCCTGCAGGACACCTCCAGTGATTATATTAGCTCATAGCAGCTCACCAAACACCAGCCAAGACATAATAAAGGGTGAAAATAAAAGACACTTTATTTAGTTCAAGTGTAAAAATGAATACACTGACCCCCAGCATCAGGTCCTTAACAGAACAATGGTAACCCCACCTGGGAATAAACTGGATCAAACACTGCTAATTCAATTAACTCCTATGTACAGGCATTTAATACAATTATCCCCTAAACATGTTGAACCACATATTGCTAATTCGATTAACTCCCAGGCCCTAAATACAATTATCCCCCAAGCAGTGGCGGAACTAATATAGAGAGGGCCCCGGTGCAAGAAAGTTTTTGAGCCCCCTTCATTGCAAGAGTGGACAAAAGGTAGCTCCTCATCTGTCGTACATATCAAACGATGCTATGTCAGCTAGAAATCTACCATTTTCACATCCTTGCATGGTTATATTTGAAATACACACACATACTGCACACATGCACACACTGACACACAGATACACACACAAACACTTACTGATATATGTACACACATACTGACACATGCACACACTGTCACACAGATACACACACATATACTGACACATGCACACACAGATATACACACAGACTGTCACATGCATACACTGACAAACAGATACACACACACACATATACTAACACAAGCATACACTGACACAGATACACACACGCCTACTGACACATACACCCACAGATACACACATACACAAACACACATACTGACACAAAGATATACACACATACTGGCACATGCACACACTGACATACACAAACACACAACTTGACATACAAATAAATACATACATGTTATAAGTATCCTGTTAGTTAACATATCTTTGGTGCTCCAGACCCTACACTCCCATCAAGCCCAACCAGCAGCAGACCCCAAGCAAGCCAGCCTGATGTTTATATCTCTAGGAGGTGGCTTGCTTGGGGCCTGCTGTTGGCTGGGGTTTTGGGAGTGTGGGGTCTGGAGCAGCTCTCTGGTTGCTCCTCTTCCCACTGCTGCCTGTTGCGCCGCCCTCTCTCCCTCCTGCACGGTACTCCAAACCCATTGTTTCCAGCCCAGAGTAGTATTTGTCACAGTAATAATGATAGATAAATAGATAGACAGACAGACAAAATAAGGTACAAAAAAAGTGTCCACACAATGTTAAACGTGACTACTCTCACAACCAGTGAGAAAAGTACATAAATATACTCAGAATTTTCCCTTAATCCTATATGCCATGTAGATAGCAGACAAAAAAGAAAATAGAGATGAGGTCGATCCTAAAAAAATGCAAAACAACACATAATGTTGCAGTATAATTTACAGTTACTAAATGTAGGCATTTTAATATTGTAAACACAAATAGAGAATGAGAGAGAGCCTTGTATATAATTAATGCAAGAGCTCTGCACTATTGCATTGCATTTAGTTTTATTAGACATTTTCATGGCCCCTTTTACAGGATGTACGATCGATTGAAAGAACACTAAATTAATTTTATATATATATATATATATATATATATATTCATTCTCAATTTGTGAGTAAAACATTAAAGGGACACTATAGTCACCTGAACAACTTTAGCTTAATGAAGCAGTTTTGGTGTATAGAACATGCCCCTGCAGCCTCACTGCTCAATCCTCTGCCATTTAGGAGTGAAATTCCTTTGTTTATGAACCCTAGTCACACCTCCCTGCATGTGACTTGCACAGTCTTCCATAAACACTTCCTGTAAAGAGAGCCCTATTTAGGCTTTCTTACTTGCAAGTTCTGTTTGTTTAAGATTTTCTTATCCCCTGCTATGTTAATAGCTTGCTAGACTCTGCAAGAGCCTCCTGTATGTGATTAAAGTTCAATTTAGAGATTGAGATACAATTATTTAAGGTAAATTACATCTGTTTGAAAGTCAAACCAGTTTTTTTTTCATGCAGGCTCTGTCAATCATAGCCATGGGAGGTGTGGCTAGGGCTGCATACAGGGCCGGTGCAAGGATTTTTGCCGCCCTAGGCAAAAGAAGGATTTGGAATGTAGTGTATAGGGATACCAGTTTGTGTAGGTGATGCAGTGTGTTTGTGTGTAGTGGAAGCAGTGTGTGTGTGTGTATAAGGGATGTATTGTGTGTTTCTTGTTGTGTGTAAGGGATGCATTGTGTGAATCTGTGTTTGTATGCATAAGGGATGCAAAGTGTGTTTCTGTGTATGTAAGGGATGCAGTGTGTGTGTCTGTAAGGGGTGCGTTGAGTGTGTGTAAGAGATGCATTGTGTTTCTGTGTGTATGTGTAAGAGAAGCAGTGTGTGTTACGTTCTCATCTCCCATCATCTCCCCCATCATCTCATCTCCCATCATCTATCCCCCCATCCATCATCTCATCTCCCTCCCATCATCATCATCTCCCCTCCCATCATCTCACCTCCCCCATCATCTCCCATCATCTCATCTCCCTCCCATCATCTCCCCCCCCCGTAATCTTCCCCCCCCACCCCACTGAGTGTGCACTTCCTGTCATTCCGGCCGGGTCGCGGACCGGAAAGGAGCTCGGCCACGCTACAGGGCAGGGGAGGTGAGGCACTGCGGCAGCCGCCTGAGCGCTCTCTATAGAGCGCTCAGGCGGCTGCAGAATTTAAAGGGCCGGCGATGGGGGCGCAGGGCGCCCCCTCCTATATGGCGCCCTAGGCGGCTGCCTAGTTCGCCTTATAGGAAGCGCCGGCCCTGGTTGCATAAACAGAAACAAAGTGATTTAACTCCTAAATGACAGTGAATTGAGCAGTGAAATTGCAGGGGAATGATCTATACACTAAAACTGCTTTATTTAGCTAGAGTAATTTAGGTGACTATAGTGTTCCTTTAAGATAGACAAATAGATGTGCATAGTTTTTACAAAGAAATTGATTAACCAGTTGTAGAGATGTTCTGGGATAACATTAAAATGTGATTTATATTATCTATTAAATATGCCTAACATTAATAATCTTTATCTTTTTATTTAGCCAAAGGAAAAAAGGAAACCTGTGGTCCAGCCTAGTTTCCATTGCTGGAGTTCAACTTCTGATATATATTTGGGTTGCAAAGGAGGACAGCTGCTAAGTATCAACTCGGAAACTCGGAAAGTCACTATCCTGAGCCAAAAAGAGCCTTCTTCCTCTGGTAATAACTCAATGACCAACTTCATTTATTTAGGACTTGTACGAGAGGGCATTGTAATGAATGGATATGTGACCTATAAATTATAAGCAAACTTGAAGTTTTTTTAAGTGCAAGTTTTATTTTACTTTAAGAACAATCACTCGCTTCACTGGTGGCAGACCAAACTATTTTATGTGGCAGCCTTGGCTACAACATTTTTAAAATTCTTTCTCTGTGATCTCAGATAGTCAACTCCCCTGAGCATTTATCGATAGCATATAATCTACCCTGTGCAATATCACATGACATCTCTTATAGGAAGACACTACAGTCCATTACAGCAAATACACTTGGGCCTTAATTTAATATTTGCAATAGGCTTTTTAAATTATTTAATATTTTTATACATACTTATTAAATTATCTTTCCAAAATATTAAAATATTAAATAATATATGATATAAAAAATATAGATATATATATAAAAATATTAAAATGTAAAAGTTTATCCAAAAATATTAAATGAAGGCATTTTCTAACGTAAAGACGTATGATAACCATCTGCCTCCGTTGACCACCCCTTAACAATTACTATTATTGATATAGCGCCAACATATTCCACAGTGCTATACTCAAGGTAAGCAAAACATTAAATTCTAACAAAGCACGTATGACGTCCAGGAATAGTGGGTTAAGAGGACCCTACCAAAATAAGCTTACAATCTAGGAGAGCATAGGGAGGGATCAGAACGATGTTTTGTTTTTGTAGAAAATAAAGTGGGAGGAGAGGAATGCACGTTAATGTTTCATATGCCAATGCTGTATTTACACTGTGCTGCGGAATGAATTGTCGCTATAAATGCCAACGATAATAATAATAATAAACTGCATATTTATAAATATAATTATTTTTCAGAAGAACAGCTTATCAAAGCTTTCCGTGAAGACAGCATAAAGACAATGGCACTTCATAAAAATGGACTATACATAGCTGGCATGGTGAGAGCCTGTATAATATTGTGCATAGGATTTGCAATGAGTCCTAAATACATTTACAAAAAGGGAGAACAGTGCACTTGCTTTAAAAGGGCATTAATTCCACAAGAGTTCTCCAGACAAGGAGGTTAAGTTCCCTAAGTTTTCCACTGGAAATATTTACAAATGCCCAAACATAACCGATGGTTTCTGAAAGTAGTCTTTATTTGGGACAAAAAAGTGTAAAAACATTCAGCTCTTACATGAGCCTTTGTCAAAACAAAAATGGCAAGTGAAACAACCAACATATATATCAACCCTAATAACAATAAAGCGGCAATAATTTGATATCATTAATTAAATCATTTAACTCACACAATCAGAAGGGAGGGAGGGAGTGTAGTTACAGTATGTGGCTATGGGCAAGGCATTAGGCTTTATAAATGCAATTAAAATACAGTCCATTTCCAGGAACATTAATTGGGACATATCTATGTTATGCAAATGTGACCTAGTATCCTTCTATTATATTTGCATAATGATAAAGTGCTTCCCGATTGTTGGCCAATATACATAACCTTACTGTATGACTCACGGGAAACCGCTTTTAATATGCTGAGTAAGGTGACACTAACTGTTTAAAATGGTAGCAAGGTGTATTTGGACATTTCAAAGACATATTGTACTTAATTTTACTTAACCTTATGAGTTATCATATTTGCAGCAATGTATAGGTATACAAGTATAGCTCTCCTGTGTGTTGAAGAAACGGTGCATCTTTTTCTATAAGTGTTAGTGATCATGCTGTACTGTTAATAAATTGACTAATCTGTTTCACATTATAGGATGGTGTTGTGTGGTTATGCTCTATAAAGGGTTCTGAGTTTAAAGTGCAAGAATGCTTGGATGCAAAAGAGCCCATCGACAGCATTGATTTTTCTGCAGATTACAAAATACTGTCAGTTGCAACATGTAAGGTATGGACCTGCAGAGAATTGTTTGTTTATTTATTTTATTAAACTAATTGTTAGCACTAACTAGTAAAATATTACAACACCTTATTCAGGCAACACCTTATTCAGGCACTTTTGTTTTACCATTTCATTTAAAGGGACGCTTCAGGCTTTTTAAAATGAATTAACTAGATCATACTTTAAAAATATATCCAAATTTACATAGTAAAAGTAATGAAGCACGAAGACACTAGTCATCGTTGCAGTTTGTGTATTTGGTGTAAATCTACAAAAATGGCCTCTTCTGCAGTGAACTCTGCCCAGACCTGGTAGGAAGTGATTATGATCCTTTTAGCTGTCTGTGGCAGTATTCCCATTAGTGCTTTATGAGTCCTGCTGTCAGATGTCACTTAATTGCAGCACTATAACTCTTGGAATAAGTTTCCTTTAATCAGATACAACTGTATTATTCGAGCCTAGACATAATCTGTAATAGTTGGGAGAGAGAGCAGAAATATGGGCTTGTGGAGCAAAACTGCTATTAGTAAAACACAAAAATTCCTAACCTAACTAATCCTAACTGAACCTACATAGTATGTAATGTGCAAGACTGGAGTAGTGTTATGTTACACTAAAGTGAGAATTAGCCGTAATTCAAATGAATTCAAACTGAATTTCAAATTTCAGGGGAGAGTAGCCAAATTCGAAGCATATGGGACTTTGAGAATTTTTATAAATAACCATGATAGAGTGCTAGATGTGCTCAGTGGAAAGAAACTGAACTGGTGGTTTACAGTAAATGTTTGACAGTTTATATGGCTCTTTAAGAAGCAAAAATATACATTGCAACATTACAAAAAAAAATAAAGGTTTTCTTATCTAAACCAGAAATTGTGGAGAATTGACAAATTAATTGTAAACTTAAAGCCAGTGTAGACAAGCTGGTAGCATAGCTAAATTGGAGAATGTTTCCGGGTTATCTTTTTTGTCCTAAAATGTGAAATCCCCTTCTCAATTCTCCACATTTCGTGGTTTGATAAATAAATGCATATGAAACAAATGTGCTCAGGTTTGCTTGACATACTATATACTGTGAATTAATTTAGGGAGATCTTTAATATAGTGCTTGGTAAGTAGTAGATCCTTATGCCACCAGCAGTAGTGGTATAAATTCTTAGTCCATGCTATGTTTATCTTATTGTCGGCTGCTTTACTGCTCTTTTGGGAGTCTATAAAACACTGTTCTGCAGCATTAAACCTGTTGGAAGCGTTAATAATACTTTATAATAGTTCTAAATCGTGGCATATTCTTTCTTTTTAAATTAGCGATGATAGTACACAATGTTCTGTTGAAGTTATAGTGGGCGTATGTAGTGATGGTAGTCTATTGGCATGTGGAATATGCCACGATGCTTATCCAGGTGCTAGGCTCGTTTAGGATCATGTGGAATTTCGTTATTGATAGGCCTTTTAAAATATTGACAAGTGGATTTTTACATTAATATGTACACATTTGATGTTCTGTTGCTAGGGAACACTATACATCCATGACACAAGCAGAACAGAAGAAACACAAAAAATATTAAGTGTAAACAACGAGGACTTGCTTGCAGCTGACTTTTTGACGTCTGGAAATAAATGCTACTTGGTGAGTTGCCGTTTTGTTTTATCTTTGGAATTCTGACTTTTTTGACTGTGAAATATTGGTTGCAACTGAAAGTGGAAAAGAAGACCTTCTCAGCCAACCTGTAAAAAAGCAAAAATAAAGAGAGGGTCAAACAAAGACCCAAAATAATAATTTCAAATTTGATCAAGTTTACGTAAAGTTTTGATGAAAACATTAGCTTTTGATGCAAGGAACAAAACAACATTTTCACCCATATATTACATGATCTGGCTGTCATGGCAAAGGGCAGATCATGTTTTCAAATCCCATTGTACACAGTGTACGATGTCACACCTTGCAGAAGTTGCAGTAAAAACAAACTTTTTTCACTGTGTTACTGATACTGAAAAGCTGGACTCCTACTATCAGTGCAAAACTAGGGACATATCCCATCCTGCCTGTGATTGCCCAATATGCCCTCTTCTGGCAAACAAACTCCAGTTATGCTATTTTTCCATGCTCTTTTATTTAGTCCAAAAATTTACAGTTCTCTTCCTGTTTAGTAAATAAACTATAGGAGATATTTGTGTTGAAAATAATGTATATTTATTTTTGAATTACAGAGCATAGGGGTATCAGGAGAACTGCAAGTGTGGTCGGTTGAGGATGGAACAAGGCTTGGCACTCTCAATCTCAATATACAGGTAACTAACACTTAATACATTACATTCTGCAAGACAATCCTAGGTGTTTGCCAATCAGCATACCAGGCAATAAACCTTAGAGTTCTCAAATGCAAGATGTCTTTCACTGCTTACATAAATAATGTATTTGAAAGGTTTAGATCAGAAATTATCAAGACAAACTGTATAGTAAGAGGAAGCACTAACATACATCATATTTTTCTTTAAGGCAACGTGTATGGCATGCTGCCCTTCGTCCCATTATGCAGTTGTTGGAAGCAGTGATGGACATGTCTATTTCATTGATGTTTCAAGACCACAAGCTCCTCGGATTGTCCAAAGAATCACACTTTATCATGTTCCTGTAAAACACCTACAGTGAGTCATGGTAGCTCTGCGTGGGGAGGCTGATCAAGATAAAGTGCTTGACAAATTTACCATTCTCTGGGTGTCTCGCAGTTTCCCTGAGATCCATTTCAACTGACCTCAGTGAGAGCTCAGATCAGAAGAGTTTTTCAATGTAATAAGGATTGAATCACCGGACTCCAATGTTGAATCCTTGAGTTAATAAACCATTGGCAGTTTACAGTATTATTAACGTTATTTGTGTGGTGACCTTTTTTCCAAATGTTGAAATAAGTAAAATGAAAGGATATCTGTCATGCCAGGTACCACTAATATTCTTTTTAAAGAGAAATACATTCTATCTCTACATTGTGCTAGCAGATTTATTAGTAAATCTATAGATCTGGAGCAAAACAGGGGTTTTAATAATAGGGTTTTCTCCCACCTGTTAATCAATTCTTCAGCATAGACTTTATGCCAAATATTTGATTGCCAAGGGAGAGTGGCAGAGAACCACCTTCTGCTCTCCGTGTATAGAAACCACAGCACATGCCGTGGCATTGGTGAGTTCGGTAATGACAGGTTCCTTATAAATGCAAGCATTCACATTTTTTCCTGACTGCGGCTTTTGACACTGTTGGTGATTTTCTTATACTTCAAATGCACAGAGAGAATCACAAGCTTACCCAAAATCAACCCTGAAGTCCACAACTGTAGAACTACAACTCCCATGATGCTTTGGCAGTCTCAAAACTGTAAGGGCATCGGTGAAGTTGTCGTTCTCTAGCTAGTTATCTCACCTATAAATATTGCAATCCTATACGTTGGACCTTTTTCATCACGGGACTGTTGTTACTGACAATTTCTAATAGAACCTCTTTTTCATAGTTTTGACCAAGAAGGGAGATTTCTTCTGAGCGGAGCAGCTAATGGACAAATATTTATTGTAAATGCAAAACCATCCCGTTCATTTCTTGTTCTTGGATGCATAGGTAAGTAAGCATCAGTGCACTTTTACATATGTTTTGCTAAAGTGACTATTACTATTCTAATGCCATTAATAGTTATATGTGGCAGAAATCATATAACTTATTGAGTTGTTGAATTAACTCTTTGAGCACCGGAGGTTTATATATCTACCATTAAAAGGAAAATGATCATGTTTTATTGAAGGGACACTTTAAGCAGCATCAGAACTACAGGCACTTGATGTCATTCCATCGTTCTGTAAAACCTCAGATTTACCACAGATTAGGAAATCTGAAGTGTCCCCTTTCTCACCATATTGCCAATGTAAAAGCAAAGTTCCCATTTTTGGCAGTATCAGTTCTGCCCATATTTGGATTGCATTCATTTGTCAAATGTGTCAAGTGATACACTCAGTGAGTGAATATTATCCACGTTTGGACAAAATTGATACTGCTAATAGAAGTCTAACATTCACAGTAGCAATACTCTGAATGATGGTCTGGTGGATCCTCAGATTGTGTCAAATCACTCAAAATATCCCAGGGAATGCCACCTGGACCACACTTGCACCATAACCAATATAGCAAGCATTTCAAATTTACATATAGCCTATTTGTATACTGTTCTTTAATGCATACACATATATGTCCAATGCATCCCCTAGTTTATCCATACTCTATGGCAGGAGTAGGCAACCTTTGGCACTCCAGATGTTGTGTATTACATCTCCCGTGATGCGCTTACAGCCATAATACTCAAGGGACATGTCGTCGATAACATCTGGAGTGCCATATGTTGCCTACCTTGCTTTGTGGGGTGGACATTTTAAAATTCTGCTTATATTGAAGACAAAGGGAAATATGAATGTCAGAAACCAACTCACTCATAATATCTGAAACCAGATTAGAAACCAGTGTTGCACATTATATTATTTCACCTGAATGATAAGTCCTCAGTGTTTGCAGCATGTCATTGCTGTCCAAGATTGATAATGCAGATGTTGTTTTTTTACATTATCCATACTGCAGAAGACAGACCAGATATTAGGAGCCAACTGTAAGCAATTTTTTAAGACTCTTTGCACCATAAACACTGCAAAGAGATGTAGTGGTTATGGTGTGTAGAGTGTCCCATTAACTAATCAATTCTGTTCCTTTTTTTATTACACATTTAGCAATTTATTTCGCTCCTACAGCATATGAATCGCACATACTAAGGACTGCACTAATTGTTTTTTCGCATAGCCCAACAGCATGTAAGAATGATATGTACCCATTAAAATATGGTGGATCTGCTAATTTACACGTGCTCTCTAATTTCAATGTGAGTCTACAGAATGGAAATAGTTCCCCATTGATCGGAAATAATGCACAAACTAATGTTTTCTCAAGTAAAGCATATCCTTCATACTACACAATTATTACTCATTTATGCAGTTCAGATCTTATCTTGGTGATAATTTGTTTATGCCAAAGTAGTGGTTATGGTGTTATCAGCCTGTGGTCACTGTCTCTAGGTTCTTTTTTTAAAGAAACTAAAATAAAAAACAGAAGATGATTCATTATCACACTGGCAATATTAATTTAATCCACATCTGGCAGTTGTTGATTGACTGAACACATTGACACTTTCATCCAATCAATGGCATACAAATATGGATGAAATAGATATTGATAACGCACATGTGGAAGTTAGCAAGTTTGACAATTGTGGGCCATGCAGACTCCCCATTTTTGATCAAACTGCTTAAAAAGCATTTGAGCAAGAACCCGTGGATTGTGTCTGCAGTCTTAAAGCACCAATACCACTACATCAGTTGATTGACTGCTTAATTTTTCTGACTGTTTAATTCATCATTTGGAAGATATGACGTTATTTTGAGTTGTATATAGGATTTTATTATTTTGTGCCGGACATGGTAAAACACCAAAATATTTTGTGTTTTGTAAATTATGTTTTGTATTTGTAATAATCAATTAATTGGTAACATCATGTTGCATCATGGTATTCATTATCATTTCACAATGAATCTTGTTTGATCTAACAGTGGCTGGCGGAGACATTCTGTCCCTTTCTACAATGAGTTCTGTGGGTACCCAGCAAATTAAAGCTTTGGCACTTATCTGCCCCATGGGAGAGAATAATGAAGAGGCTGGAGGAACTCAATTGGCACTATTTTCTCTGACAGAAGATGTCTTTTCAAGTAAGCCTTGTTTGCAACCCATCATTGACAGAGGTTTTGTTATTAACAATTTTCATGTGAAATTGTCCAAATTTTAAATGTTTAGCATCAGTATGGCAAGGCCAAAAATGCAGTGCAGCTTCAGCAACAACTTTTATAATGTTGAACTAATTACGGTTGTCCTCTTACCTTAAATACCACTAACACTAGAGACAACATAAAAATAAAATTAAAATTAGTTAAACATAAATGGTGGTGTAATAACGTTCCGTTCTTTTGGGTTGCCTGAGCCGTAAATCAGCATTGTCTTACTATTTACTTACAGACCCTGATAAATACAGGGATGAAAGAGGCATGTTTAATGACCAGGTGATTCAGAAGTGTCAATATGAAGTGGAAGACCCTCTGTGTTCTGCAGTGTTTGGAAGCGATGCCAGCTCAGTCTTTGGGTACTGCAGTTTCTCTCCCTTTATTTACAAATATGTGCTCCCAGAGGTAAGTGACACACATTATAAGCATTCTGCTGATAATATTGTCTGTTTACAATGCATAAGTAGTCATCATTTCAAGTTATTCTGTTTATCAGCTCTGTCTTAATGCCAAGAGCCTTAATAAGCTGACTCGGCCAGGTGCCATCTTTGCAGGGATTTTCTGTTTTCAGTGAAAAAGATTCTCTCTTCCCGAACTCTTTGGCTCACTCATTTTGCAAGCCGGCCTAGGAACGAAGTGTGGGAAACCAATGCACAGAAATACAGCTCTCACAACAGTGTAACAATTAACCTCCAAAAACGTGTTTACAAGGTTGATGTATACAGCTGTAACACATGCCGTTATGCTATTAATTACGCTAATCTCTTTTGGAGATTGAAGTTCTCCAACTAAGCTAAATGTACCAGTTAGTAGGTCTCTCACCAACCAAATGTGATAATCACAAAAAAAGATACTTCTTACTGTGTTTCTCTTGCCGCAAATCCATAGTCAATGATTCTCCTAAAGTGATGTCTGCTACACCTTTAGTATGAGGTAGCACTCAGTGCATATTAGTAAGGGACTACTCCATCTACTGGTCAAAATAGGGAATACTCCAAAAAGTATAATAAAAAAATGCCTTATTAAATAAGCAATAAGCAATCTATTATATCAAAACAAGATAATACATCTTACACAATAATAATTTCCATATAGAAAGCCAACATCTATCACAGAGTAATAGTAAACATAGTAGTACCACAAATAAGAGAGAGAAAAAAATATGAATAAATACAATTTCTTCTGGTCAAAATGTCTAATATTACCTTAATTATGTGAAAGAGTATCAGGAAATCCCAACGTGTCAGTGCTTGGCCTTTGTCAAGAGATGTCTGCCTCAACCAGGAACAGACTGAAATACCTGAAAAAACTGTCAGTCAAACCCTTTTGTCCTATTAAATCTAATTGGATAACTATTGCTCATTCCAGAGTTTGACTTTAGATTTGTTAATGTGCCATAATTCCAATATATAAATGAATGGACTTTACAGCCACAAGCATATCCCCTTTTACTTCGTAATAATAAAGGACTGTTACTTTTGAAAGAGAAAAAATGTCTTCCTTACTGGTCATTCACTTGCACTAATGATTTCCATTCATTTTCTTGGAAATGGAATGTGTTGTATAATTGAATTGGTGTGAACCTAAGTTAAACAACTTGCAAGTCTATGAGATATAATAAGTGAATATGATTTACTCCAGAAAATCAATGGGGATTTAGTGAACCTACTAACGCCAGAGAAGAAAGTCAGAGGAAGTCAACTTGGACCTGGGTTTCTTTGCTGCTCTCCTCACCACAAGTGGCTGGCAGTGTTTGCAAAAGATGGCATGGTATACCTCCATGATTCACATAACCTGGTAAGTGTTGTTCTTGTTGGTCAGAAAAAAAAGTGGTCTTTGATAATTCCTGGTATCTTCATGCAAGTTAGTTGATAGCATACCTCACTTAAGGTAGAATCACAGAAAGTTTGATGTTTAGAGTCTGGTATTAGGATCAGTGGGTCACAGAGCTGTTAGATCATGTCTAAGTTGTAATGAAATAATAAATGATCACTTTAATATGTACTAATTTATACCTTCTTTTATGTGTTCCAGGAAAAATTTGCACAGGCTCATTGTCATTCATACCATACAGGAGGGATACAATCTTTAGCCTTTTCTTTGGATGGGCTTAGGATCGTCACCACAGGGATAGGGGATGGTGCGCTTGTGTACTTAAGTTGGAAGTGAGTACAAATCTTCATGATTAAAATGAGGGGGTAATGGGGTTACAACACTGTTAACTGGAACTGTGCAAACTACACTGCATCACTTGATTAACTATTTTCATCAGTTGTGCAATAAGATTTTCTTAATCAATGGATTTACCCAGTACTCAATCAATTGACTCACTTCTCTTTTAGTTTTAACAGCAATGACGTGTGACTGCACCTATTACTGCTGCATTGTGACTGGCCAGTGTTGTGTTCATACTTAAAATGCTGGGTAGTTGGTGGGTAGTTAGTGCGTGCATGAGTGAATAGTTGTTGTAGTTTGTGTGTGCATGTGTGTGTATGTTCTCAAGTCTGTTTGCTTAATAATGCAGGAATTTGGCGCAGTGCTTTAAAAATATCTTAAAGTTATCACCTCGATATTCCACGAGGGAGTAAGTGAAATATTTCTACTTTTCAATAAATACCTGTGACATTTTGAGAAATCAAATATGTACAAACACTAACTCACTCAGAGGAGCAGGTGTGGTGTGCTTGTAATGCTATACAATCAAGTCACAAATGGTAACCATTAAGTGGATGACAATCAGTGGAGGTGAATGAGATAAGAATGTAGACATTCGTGTGTGGCCTGACTCTTCATGTGAGAAGTCGCATCTCCAGTGAGCTCCCTAATAGCTGACTCAAATACAGCTAAATATCCTCAACTAAACTACCCAAATGGGCAACAAAATAAATCTACGGTGCCTTCAGAACCCGAGTACCCGGGCGCAGGCAAAAAAGCCGGAGACCTGGACAAATACTTCAGGGACAAAGTGAGAGTTCTCGCGGCCGACACAGACAACAGTCACGTGGCACCATCTTTGCCACGCGACTCTCCTCCACACAGCCCGACACCCTCGGAACAATCTTCTATCTCAAGAATGTCGGCTATAAAAGACATCTTGCACAACTTACCCTCAAAAAAAGTGTTTCAAAATCCAATAAGCCCAAATAATGTCTTTAAAGCGCAATACATCCCAGAGGCCATAGTCACGTGGCAGGAGGCTGGCAATCAGTCTTCTCCAATGCCCAGTGGCGAGGTCGGTTTCACCACATACTGTATTTTCCATAACCAAGGAATAACATACACAGGTTGAGGCCTAGTTGGGTCCCAAACACCCCTACCTACACTAACAACACACTAGAGAAGGGGCGTAGAGACCTCCATTTAGCTTGACTAGTCAGTCTTGGTTATCAGAACCCCATGACAAAGTTTGAAGCTGGGCTTCTCCAATGCCAAATGGTTATCTCTTCAGGGAGAATAAGGCAAGCCCAAAACACATTTGGCTTACTACATAACACAATCTAAATCAGCTATAGGGAGTTTAGCTCTGCTAAATATCACACGTTACACTGCAATCTGCTACAAAGATACATATTGAAGTACAACTTCTAGACTTTTGCATTCCTTAACCATTTGACCCACCCCCCCAGCATTGTTGTTCCTGGGACCGAGTAGGCCCAGAGCGGTACTTATATTAGACAAATCAATTTTCTTAGGCTACCTCCTGGTCTAGTAAGAAATAACTGGATAATACGAGTGACTGACAAAGTGACAAAAGACATCTAAGAATACATGAAGTTAACGTCTTCTACTGTTTGTAACGCAAACTTAATTTTTCATTGGATAGAGCGCCAATAGGGTGCATTGTATATACTTGTTTTTGGTTATTGTTTTTTTTTATTCTTGTCATTGTTTCTTAGTTTCATTCATCTTATTGGGACATAATAATTTTCTTATTGTATCCTACCTGTTCAAAGATACACATTTCTAATTGTTTGAGAGTGACTTAGGTTTGCCGGGAAGTTAAAAGCGGGATGGGATTACTCAATATCCTCTCCTATAATGTAGGGGGTCTCAATTCGCCGGAAAAAAAGGCATATGGCACTAAGGGAATTTATCCAATTGGGTGCAGACGTAGTCTTTGCCCAAGAGACACATGTAAGGGGTAGGGGCGCCCCCATCCTTAGACACCATAAATTCCCCTATGTTTATTACAACAACTTCACCAGAAGTAAATCAAGAGGGGTAGCCCTCCTGATTGGAGCTAATGTTCCCTTCATTACACGAAACACATTGCTGACGAATCTGGGAGATATATTATACTTCATGGTCTTATTGTATCCTCCCACATAACACTTGTGACGGTATACCTCCCGAATAAACATCAATATGGAACCTTTTGTAAAATTATGTCTATAGTGCAAAACAACACGACAGGCACACTAATCAGTGGTGGGGATTTTAACGAAAACGAAATTCAAGACTCCTTTCCTTATACTCCATGGGAGGCTCATAAGGCAGTGGTTAGGGGGGGAACTAATTAAGTGGGGATCACACGTCAAAAAAGAGAGAAACAAGAAAATGACCAAACTCCTAGAAGACATAAAACAGACTGAAGAGGCCCACAAGCACACTATATCTGACACTGATTACCGCAACCTCCTTTCACTGAGATCTGAACTTCACTCTCTACTACAAGATAAGATTAAAAAAGCCATGTTATGGAGGAAGCAACTATATTACACTCTGGGGAACAGATGTGGCAAACTTTTGGTGCAAGCCCTAAAACAAAAGCAGACACTAACGTACATCCCAAAAATTAGGAAAACAGACAAAACACTTGCCCAGAAGATGGAAGACATAGCCGAAACATTCCAGGAAAACTATCTTTCACTGTATAAACTAAAAAAGGGGCCATCCAACACTGACGAGATAAAAACATACTTGAATGACAAATTCGACAGAATCCTCCCACCCTCAGTGTCTTGATCATTAGATGAGCCATTCACAATGGAAGAGCTTACACAAGCCATCAAATCAGCCCTGAACAACAAGAGCCCTGGCCCGGATGGGTTCTTGGCCACTTACTATAAGACCTTTCAAAAAGAATTAGGCAAACACTATCTAGAGGCCATTAACTCCATCTCACCGAATAGAATAATACCCAGGTCCAACCTGGAGGATAATATCACTTTGCTTCCCAAACCAGGGAAAGATTTGGAGAGATGCTTGAGCATGATATTTCTCATAAACGTAGATGTCAAGATTTTTACCAAAATATAAGCCTCTAGATTGAGACCCTTTCTCTCAGACCTAGTCCACCCTGATCAGGCCGGATTGGTCCCAGCAAGGGAAGCAAAAGACAACACCACCAAAATCATAAATCTGGTACATGTAGCTAAGCAAGCCAACACACCAACAGTATTACTGACAATTGACGAGGCATTTGACAGGGTGGACTGGTCATTCTCAATAAGCACTTTGGAGGCATTAGGGTTTGGCAACCTGTGGATCAAATGCATCCGGGCAATATACTCTGCACCAACTGCTAAATTGAAGGTCAATGGGCAACTGTCTGGATCATTCCCCATTACCAATGGTACGCGCCAAGGCTGCCTCCTTTCACCCCTTCTTTTTATTTTAGCTCTAGAACCCCTTCTACAGGACGTACGTAGATGAGTGAACATAGAGGGCATTCATATACAAAATCAGGAATACAAGGTGTCGGCATTTACCGATGGCCTTCTGTTTACCATTGCAAACCCTAAGAAAAGTTTGCCACATCTGATGGAGGTACTCACGAAATACAGTAAACTATCTAATTTTAAACTAAACACAGAGAAATGCGAGATTCTAAACTTGAATCTCTCAAACACTCAAGTCTCCGTCCTCAAACAGACGTAAGTCTCCTTTCCAGTGGGCTAAACAGTCAATAAAATATCTGGGGGTACACATTAAAACATCGATTCGGACCCTATACTCAACACATTTTCCAGGCTTACTATTCTCTATACAGAAGAATCTAGACACATGGGACAAACCGCACTTTAGATGGATGGGACGGATTAACATTATAACTATGAACGTCCTCCCACACGTTCTATATCTCCCACAAAAATGTTTCCACATGGTCCGAATCATGCTTACGAAATTCATATGGGTCAAGAAAAGACCACGCATAGCATACCATATACTAACTAGGCCCAAGGAGAGTGGAGGGCTCAGTTGCCCTCAGATACTTCACTATCATCAAGCCATACACATGGAAATAATCACTGAATGGTCAAATGTTCATGACAGTTGAGCACACACCCGGTGCTGAAACACTTCTAGAAAATTATGCAAGGCATATAGAGACATACGCACAGAATTAGTTATCACATTTGATTCCTAAAATGTAACATGATGTCTGTAATGTAAGTTAGCTATCAGATAATGTTACTGATTTGTATTGTACAATGTTCAACGATTCTCAAAATTTTAAAGCCTTTTCTGTGAATTATTGTAATGTACACAAAGCCATGCTACAATGACTGTGTTTGTTTGGATATAAAAAATTCTTACAAAAATACATTTATTTATTTTTAAAGTGTAGACGTTAAACGCAAGTGTTGATTTAAGAAACCTGTTGGTATTTTTGAGCCATCTACCAGCTGTTGGTAGGTTTCTTACCTTATAGCATGTTTCATGTGAAATGCCAAAGATTTAGTAAGCATTATCATCATCTTGAGACATTATCACTGCCTGTTTTGGTTTTTTTTTCAAGTGAAGTGGAAATCAATTAATATATTAATGCCAGCACAGAACTTACAATTTATTTTGCTCCCATGCAATCTGTTGGGTAGACATTTCCCCTCTCCAATAAAGTTCATAAGAGAACATTGAAGTGGGGATTTAAACATATTTACATATGGATAAATAGGTACCTTTCAGCTAACCTGCTACCATTTGTTTCCCTTGGGTGTTCTGGTCACGCTCCACTTCATAGTTATTATCTCATATCAGGTGATAAGAGCAGCGGCACACCTAATGCAGGCCCAATTTTCCTCCCTCTTCCCTTATCTCTACAGGCATTTTGCATGAATTTGAACTTAGTTTGTTAAATTTTAAAGAAAAAAAAAAATCATTATTATCTCTATGTACTATTGATCACTAGAGTAAAAGAAATGCACATATTTTACCAAAATTTTTAAATGTATTTTCAAGTAAGACTTAAATGGTGATTTTTATTTTTTTCTACTCTAATCCAATATGCTACACCCACCTGGGTCTTAAATTATAAATTCTGCTACATTTCAGGACTACTGGCAATAGCAGACTACGAGAAGCCTATCAGCATGGACAAGATCTGGAAAATTCTCTGCAAACAGGCATGGAGAAGGAGGATAATGTGTTAAAGAAAATAATGACATGGTCATCACAAGCAACTGTCTCCGATAAACAAGAGAAAGAAACAGAGGTTGGTAAATAAGATTAATTTAGTTATATACATTTTGTAGCTTTACATAGAGGGTCATTCACAAATGAGTGAATTTATCAAAGTGGATTTCAAATTTAAAGACAGAAACTGAAAACAGAATTGACTTTGGCCTTAATTTTTAAATTTACTTTGAATTCCCAGTAATTCTCAGTTAAGTGATTAAACCCAATAGATACATTTTAAATGAATGAAGAATGAAATAAATTAACATATTAACCCCTTAAGGACCAAACTTCTAGAAAAAAAAGGGAATCATGACATGTCACACATGTCATGTGTCCTTAAGGGGTTAAAAAAATGACTTTCATTCCCCAAATATTTAACAAAATGAAAAAGCTAACTTGTTGAATATCAGAAGAAGGTAACAGGGCAGGGTATTAAAGGAACAGTTCAAGTACCATAGCCTCTACAGCTCATGTAGTGGTTATGGTGCCAGGAGTGCCCTTCAATGCAGGGCTTAGTTCAGTGGCCGAGAACGATCAACTGACACTTTTAGGTGAGTCACAGTCAGGAGAGCTGGGGCTAGAGTTGTATTAATAAAGTGATTTAACTCATAAACAGCAGAGAGTTGAGCAGTGAGACTGCAAGGGCATCTATACATCAAAACTGAAACATTAAACTAATGTTGTGCTGTTGCTTAGAGCGTCCTTTTAAAATGAATTTAAATAGAAGCCGATCATCACATAAAAAATATTCTCAATAGTTTATTTTTGGAATTTGGCACTCCAGATGTTTTGGACTACATCTCCCATAATCCTCGTACAGCCACAAGGCTGGCAAAGAATCAATGGAGATGTAGTCCACCACATTTAGAGTGCCAAAAGTTGTCTACGACTGGTTTATCCAATGGTGTTGATTCTAAAGAAGTCACATTTCCTGTTTAACACATTTAATTTTATTCAGGATAATCCAACAAGTGTGGAGGTAACTGAACATGATGATGGCTACACCAGAAATTCATCACTTGCTGCCAACCCCACCTGGCTTGATCAGAAAATGAACGAAGTATGTTTATCAGAAGTTTTTCGCACATATTGCATGTGTACATAACATGGATAATAACATAAGCACCTATACAGATAACATGTACATATATGGGATTCAATTTGTTGGTGATTGATGACATGTCTTGACATTGGTGGAACTAATGTGGAAAGGGCCCTGGTGCAAGAAAGTTTTTTGGGCCCCCCTCTAGTACAAGATTGGCCAAAAGGTAGATTAACATGCGTACATCTACAATGCTATACCAGGGGGTGATCTACCATTTGCCCATTCTTGCAATGCTGTATTTGTGAGCAGTGTTTGTGCATATAAATGTAAGTATGTTTTGTAAAAAGTATGTGAGATGTAAAGTATTGACATGGGTGTATTTGTATGTTCTGTTGCCATTGGAATGCAGCGGAGTGTTTGTATATAGTGTTAGTTTTTAAAAGTAGATGTGCTTTTGTATTTAGTGTTGGTGTTTGATTGAAGGGGTGCTTGTATATATTTTAGTGGTTTAATACAGAGGTGTGTTTGTATGTAATGTTTGTGTTTGATTGCAGGGGTGTGTTTGCATGTCGTGTTGGTGTTTGCCTGGATGTACGCACATACACTGCCACATACATACATTCACCAATACATGCACATTAACACACAGATACATATATAAACACACTGACACACACACAAATTCATATACACACGGACACATGCACACACCCTGACAAACAGATACCCACTGACATATACACTCAGACGCAGATGCACACCTTGACACACAGATACATCCATACTGACACACACATGCATGCCCTGACACACAGATACACACACACGCACCCCGATGCACACTAACGTACAGATGCACAACCTGACAAACACACACACATTGACCTGCATACTTACACAGATATACATACACTAAAAACAAAGAGATATAAATACATGTACATTGACACATAAGCACTTGCACAAAGTTATACACACTGACATATACACACCTTGAGACACAGACAGACACACTGTGACACAGATACACACACAGTAAACAAAAAGTAGGGTCGCACTCAGTCACAATATACCAACGCAGGGTGCTACTGAGCAGGGGTTAGCAAACTCCAAGAAATACGTAGTAATGAAAAAGATCTCAGGCACTCACTGTACTTGGTTCCAGGCAGATTTATTACAACGTTTTGACCTATACAGGTCTTTATCAAGCTTGAGTGCCTGAGATCTTTTTCATTACAGATACACACACAGTCAGACACACACACCGTGACACAGGCACCCACAATCTGACATAAATACGTAAATCTCAAGCCTAATATTTGCAACCTCCCTCCTGTTAACATACCTTTAGTTTTTCAGGAGGGTGGCTTGCTTGCTGCTGCTGGCTGAGAGAAGAGAGTGCTGCAGCTCCTGTCTCTCTACCTTCACGCTGCCTGTGTGCCTTCCTTTCCGCCACCTTCTCTCTCCCTCGTGCTGCTCTTTACGTAGCTGTAAGGAAGTGATAGGCTCTCACTTCCTTCCAGTTGGCAGATATTACAGGGACCTGTTCAGCGATAAGACAACAAGACGCATCGGACAAGACAAGAAGACCTTAAGTCCCTGAGCTAGTGGGCCCCTGTTAGTTTCGCCACTTTGTCTTAAATCATCAGTAAAATATGGCTTGGTAAGGTAAAGGGACCAAATTAAAAAAACCTATAAAAGGCACTTTAATTTCTTTTTTGATATGCAATAAAAATAATGGATGAATTTAATAAGCCGCTTATTAATTCCAAGTGTCTTCCCTAACACTGCATGAAAAAGTAAGGTCGGAAAAAAACCTTTGTAAATTATGCTTTTGTCATGGTTATAAATTACTATAATAACGCCACAATCACTATAATACATTAAAGCGACATCTGTATGGAGGTCACTCAAGGTAGGCGATTGCGGGGATTCTCCAGCAGCCATGGGACCTCATTTACAAGTTGTACACACAGCAGTCTTGGCGATCTCGGCATGTACATGCTGTTACTGGACGGCCTCACTCCTGAGGCCTCTCCAGTAATAACCTTGATAGGCTGCCACAGTCCTAGCACCACTGTGACAGCTTGTCCTAGGGCATGATTGACAACTGATCTCTGACTGCCACAGTGCATCCTCGGATCAACTGCCATTTGGCTACTGCTGAACTACCTCATAATTTAGGCAACCTAAAGAGCCACACCACCACTATAGTGTCAGAAATAGATGTTTGTATTCCTGACATTATAGTGTTCCTTTAAGGACAAAACTGTGGGAGAAAAAATCCCAATTTTTAAACAGATTTTTACTTTTTATTTTTTCCCCCAAAATAATATTGCATTAAGTATACAAAATTATATATAACATGTACAAAGTGACAGAAATCCAGAAAATGGGAGTCACCAAAATGATTGGAAAATAACTAAAGACACCAAATTACTAATGTTTATTTACTGAAGGATACTTCTTTATTTGCTACTAATATTATGTTTCCTTTGTTCTTCTTATTAAAAGGCAACAAAGAAGGAGACACAGAAATATGCCACTGAGAAAGATTACTTGAAACAAACGATTAAAAAGCTCCGCCAGAGAGTAAGTAGCTTCTATTTTTATTCTAAGGATATTGGATTCCAATGCTCAGAATACATTAACCCCTTAAGGACACATGACATGTGTGACATGTCATGATTCCCTTTTATTCCAGAAGTTTGGTCATTAAGGGGTTAAAGGAACACTTTAACTTTAAATAAATGTATAGCGGTGAGATTGCTCAGTGGGCTAATGCATCATCAGTAGAATCTGTTCAACCCTTGGGTCACAGGTTCGGGTTATAGTAAGAATCCCTGGATGTTGGGCTAAGGTAACATCCCCAGGACGTACTTGAAAACCAGAGTAATCTGAATGTACCTTTCCTGGTTAAATACTTTGTTAACCCCTTAAGGACCGAGGACGGTTCAGGACCGTCATCGGCATTTTTGCCTTGAGGACCGATGACGGTCCTGAACCATCCTAACGGTCTGGGGGTACTTACCTGATCGCCGTCGTTCCCCCGGCGGCGATCAGTGTTCCTCCTGTTGTGGGGAGACTGCCTGCAGCCCAGACAGTCTCCCCACGGCAGATTAGGACCCCTGTGGCCATGTGATCGCTTAACACAGCGATCACATGGTCACAGTAGGTGTCCATGTGTCCGCCTGCAGGGGGACTGTCTGTGCTGACAGGCAGTCTCCCTGCAAGTGTAAAATCAGAAAAAAAAATAAAGTTAGTGTTAATAAAAAATAAAAAAATAATTATATATGTGTATATATGATATATAGACATATATTATATCTATATAATATATGTCTATATATCATATATATATAATGCCATACTAAGTGTATTTTTATATTAATATGTACTTATATTAATTTAAAAATACACTTATAATTAAATTACACACGTATATATATAATATATATAATAACTATATATATATTGTATATATATATTATTATAAAATATAAATAATAAGTAATTTAAATTAAATAAATTTTTTTTTAAATAATAATAAAAAATGTAAAAAAAATTATAGCTATATGAAATTTTATTCTAACTGTATTTTAAAATTAATATATATATATTTATATCAAAATACACTTAGAATGAATTTGTATATATATCTATGTATATAAAAATAAATAAAAAATAATAAGAAATATACATACGTCCATATACAAAATTACATAAATAATTATATAAATATACACGTAGACTTCAAATATATAAATATGCATATATATTTAAATTCTACGTGCGTATTTATGTAATATTTTTACATAATTCAGTAATTTTATTGATTGCAATTTGAGGGACCTGCCTGCCAACCCAGGCCGAAATTCCAGAGAATTTAATTTGCTAGCACTGTATTTTACCCTGTAACGTTCTACGACACCCTAAAACCTGTACATGGGGGGTACTGTTTTACTCGGGAGACTTCGCTGAACACAAATATTAGTGATTCAAAACAGTAAAACATATCACAGCGATGATATTGTCAGTGAAAGTTACTTTTTTTGCATTTTTCACACACAAACAGCACTTTTACTGATGATATAATTGTTGTGATACGTTTTCCAGTTTTTAAACACTAATATTTGTGTTCAGCGATGTCTCCCCGAGTAAAACAGTACCCCCCATGTACAGGTTTTATAGCATTTTTGAAAGTTACAAGGTCAAATATATGGGTCAAATATTTTTACATTGAAAATGGCCAGGTTGGTTACGTTGCCTTTGAGAGCGTATGGTAGCCCAGGAATGAGAATTACCCCCATGATGGCATACCATTTGCAAAAGAAGACAACCCAAGGTATTGCAAATGGGGTATGTCCAGTCTTTTTTAGTAACCACTTGGTCACAAACACTGGCCAAAATTAGCGTTCAATTTAGTTTTTTTACTTTTTTCACACACAAACAAATATGAATGCTTACTTTGGCCAGTGTTTTCGACTAAGTGGCTACTAAAAAAGACTGGACATACCCCATATTGAATACCCTGGGTTGTCTACTTTAAAAAAAATATGTACATGTGGGGTGTTATTCAGAGATTTATGACAGATAATAGTGTTACAATGTCACTATTGATAAATTTTAAAAATGTATGTTTTGAAACCGCAATATCCTACTTGTACCTATAGCCCTATAACATGCAAAAAAGCACGTAAACACTGGGTATTTTTAAACTCAGGACAAAATTTTGAATCTATTTAGCAGTTTTTTTCATTCGCTTTTGTAGATGAGTAAAATATTTTTCAAGTAAAAGTCAAAAAACATGTATTTTTTTCAATTTTTCATCAGATTTTTGTATTTTTTTTAAATTAAAATACATGAGATTATATAAATAATGGTATGTAAAGAAAGCCCCTTTTGTCCTGAAAAAAACAATATATAATTTGTATGGGAACAGTAAATGAGAAAGCGGAAAATTACAGCCAAACACAAACACCACAAAAGTGTAAAAATATTCCTGGTCGCAAATGTACAACATCGCAAAAACAGTCCAGTCCTTAAGGGGTTAATATTATTACATTATTATTTACTTGGTGCTTGGAGTAGTTCTTCATTATTGTGAAAGAGTGGCCTCTACTGGATGTTAAGATTACTGCAGTTGAAGCGTTTTAAAACTCCCTAATTTTTAATATCTTTCCTTTCTATTTTTAAGTTTTGTTTATTTATTTTTCTGTATAACCGTTCTTATAAATTGCTCTTATCCAAAGTACTTACATTTAGTTAATCATAATTGAGTCTAGGCATGGTTGTAGTCAGAGGGATATATAATTACACATTCTGGCACAAAAGGAGTAAAGATTGCAAGTAACCTCTGTACTAAGCCACATTTACTCACCCTACTATTATAGTAGTTTGAAAATATCAGCATCTGTCTGTCCTTAAAGGGTAACTATTACTCTTTTTCCCTATATATTTTTTTAACTTATGTTGCCCTATTCCACATCTCCATCTGATGTCACCTTCTCGTGGTCCAATCTAATTCATCTCATTGATATGCATTAAACTAGACTCTTTCACTGGCCCATATAGTAATTCATATATGAATTAATATTTGCTCACTCAGTACAGGGCTGTCATTGACCTTGCACCCCTACTACCCAGACGATCCTTCGAGGGTTATCATTTGCCAGCTACACTCCTAACTGATGAAGGAATGTATCATGGCAGCAGCTCAAGCCCAGCACTAAATAGACAAACTGATCAGCTATGGTTTGTTTAATGAAAAGTGAATACGTGACTTTCAATGGCTGAGAGTTATATATCGGATTCATTAAAACATAGACAGGTATATTCACCAAAACAGGAACCTTGAAGAACAGACTTGCAAATGTTAGTCTGAAATATCAGAACTGGAGACATTTTCATATTTTTGCCTAAACTTTGCATCCCTCTGTCAATTTTTCATGGTTTCTGATTTTATGAATAAACACCAGAGATATCAAAAGTCTGGCAAGAAACCACTAACCACTCTCCGAGAGGAGAGTCAGATGGTTTAAAAAACTTTATAATCATATGTTCTTGTGAACAAGCCAAAAGCAGAGTGAGTAAGTTGGGCTGCCCTTTATTGCTAAAAATAATTTCAGAAAATAGTTTTTGAACCCTCTTTGAAATCACTATTTTCTCTATGATGGATGTTAAGTGACAAATCTACAAACATTTTACTGTTAACCTCCAAGAGCCTGATATACTAGGTTAATGGTAAATGTATCCCCTCCTTGTTGGCAGAAGATGTAGGTCAGTAATCTGATCCTAGTAAGTGTATGTAGATATTTGCTCATATAACCGATCTTGCTTATTTTCTTCCTCTAGATACAGGAAATGATGAGAGAAAATGATTCACTGTCTGACATTGAGAAATTGGACCAACAGGAATTTAATCTGGACACTGAGGAACAGGAGAGACTGCTGGCTGAGAGTGAGCAGGAAGTGGAGAGAGTAAGTCATAGTGTAATCTTAGTGTATCGTAGTGTAATCTTTGTCTGACGGAACATTGGGATTGTTGTAAAAGTCAGAATGTGCTGTAAAGTGCTGATGAAACATTTTGTATTTCTTTTCTCCCGAAAGGTGCGTAAAGAGATCGAACTGGAAAACTTGTCCAAACAATACTTGCGTCATGTCATCAAACAGGAATGCTGGGACTCCATGATAGTTAAGGGGCGCTCTGTTGCGGTAAATATTCTTTCCAAATTCTTAATGCTTGTAAATCTCTAATTTTGGGAAATAGTGGTGGAATATATGTAGCTATACACAACACTGAGGAAACCAAGAAAAAAAACACATTAAATAGTCACATACATTGAATAGTCACAATGATATAACAAACAAAAAAGTGGTCTTCTCAATATATACAACATATTATTAACAAATCACAGTTCCAGATTGTGCAAAAACCTCACAACTTTAAAAAAGCTGGCCAAATAGTAATCACTATGAAAAGTATGCACATCTTAAGATGTGGATTGATGGATGGATTGATAAATGGATGAACAGATTAGTTCGGTAGTGCTTACTGGTGACTGTGAAGCATTTTGGATTGTAATTTTAATGTATGTTTTCTTCTTAAAGTCTTTTCATGCAAAATATGAAGTCAACAACTACCCTGTGAAAGAGCAATCCAGAAAGGACTTGGACAAACTAGGGCAAGTTTTAAGAGTGAAACAGATTGCAGAACTGGATCTTAAGGTAAAATAACATTTTAAATATTGTGTTATTCCAGTTTAGAGATGAATGTGTCTTAAATTGAATTTTTGCCGCTTCGAGTTTCGATTCACCAATCTAAACTACCAGGAAGAAACAAGACTGGTTGTCTGATAGACGGCCAGGGGAATGTAGCAAGGGTAAATTATAAAAGTGCTAGTTTGTATCGAAATATGCACAATTTGTAAAATGAAAAATACAGGACACATTCTTCATACTTGAAGCAAGCTGAAGTGCTCTAGGAATCTGGAGTGTTCCTGTCACTTTGGTGAGCACTTCCTGGATAATTAAGCAGCTTTGCAGAACTTATATGAGATATACTCTTTCTCACACTATAAAGTAAGCTTGTCTAGCCGTGCTGCAGAGAGCAGCTTAGTGGTTCAATGTCATTTGTGCTTCATTAAGGGTCATGGTTTACATAAGGTTTATGATATGAAAGAAAAACACATCACCAGGTTCTCTGTGCTCCAGAGGGCAAGTTAGAATGATATACATAGAACAGACATGCAAACTATGGACCCCGGATGTTTTTGAACTACAGCTTACACGATTCTCTGCTAGCAACTGGCATTATGGGAGCTGTAGTCCAGCCACATGTGAGAAATTGCAGTTTTAACACCCTGCACAGATGATGAGGTTACCTGTTCTCCAAAGTACATGTCATTGAAAGATGTTTTGTTTGGCCCCTTCATGTCTAAGACCTGAGATGAGGGGAAGGAGTTCTCTAATTGGGATGATTACATTGAATTGCAAAAAGTGCTTATTGACAAGAAAAACTCCAATGTGGCTGTAGTCACAGTTTAGTCTACATTTTTCAATCCATTTCCATTCACTACAATGTAATGTTTAGTAATTAAGCCCTTTATTTTAAATGCCATGTTTTCAATACGTACTCTACACATACCACCTTGCATCTATTAATGTAATCTCACTAGGGTTCCATTAGGGATGATTTCCAATAAGTTGTTTGGCCTTTTCATGCCATCTCCAAGGGTCTGGACAAGGTTTTCAAGCTGGGCTGCTGAGTAACTGAAGTCATTTTAGTTTGAATTCTCTGGGATACTGAATACATTTAGAATTTGCTATTCACTCCATTTCCCATAACCACCAGCTGTCACATTTTAAAATGCCAATGCTCTTAGTTTAGTGAACTATCTCTGATACATTGGGGTTATTCACTGTAATGGGAATTATTGAAAATTGGCAAAAGAATATCACACATTTACGCCAAAATAGTCGATAATGGAATACAACTTTTCATATTCATCTGTTTTGGATGTTACAATACATTTAGTAAGAAATGCTGTACCCTTCACAGAATTCAAAAGATGTATTCTATTTAAATCCATATTTATTAAAAAACAAAAAAAAGCAAGCTAGCAACTTACTCCTTTTTCTTTATGGATAATGTCAATTCTCTGCTCCACACAATTCTTTTTTTGTTTTTCTATTAATTAATTTGGAGCCGTACAATCAGATAGTGTAAATGAAATGCCAAGTGAACAGTTTTGGAATATATATATATATATGAGATTGTCAGCACAATATAGATATAGAACTAGATAGTATATAGACAGCTCAGGATGCATAATGTAGTTAGATATAGCTAACGGATATGCACATGGTGTAGAGGTATCTTGGAAACTCAATATTATGAAAAGGATATCATTTTTATTTACACTTAATAAAGATTTTGTAATCGCCAACTCAGTGCAGTTAGCTGATTAAAGTACTATTTGATGTTGGCAGTCATTCAAATAATGAAGAGATTGACCATGTTTATTTGTTTCATGTCCTGAGATGATGGATTTGGGTAGGTATCAGTAAGTACCCTCTGCATTCCTGCAACATGTTACTGATGAACATGTAATCTAATCAGCTCATTTACAGTAAGGAATCTAACAACCCAGGGTGGACATGGCACAATGAAGACAGAGGCTTATTATCACACATGTGTGAGAATGAAGGGAATTTATCTGGAAGCTGGCAAATGTTTGTAATTTAGAGTCTATTTGCATGGATCTGCATCAGAGAAATATAATTATTGAGGATAGCCATTTTTCACTTTTGAAATGTTAATCATTAAATGTATATTAAATATAAATGCCATCCTTGTTAATATTTTATTTACTTAGGGAGACTTTTTTTGCAGATTGGTATTTTTCAGGATACGTTAAATGAGTTAGATTCAATACAGTCCATCCCAAAGAGTGCATGTGTTGAATCAGTGAATAATTGCTTAATACTTTGTCATATTACATTTGTTTCATAACCGGGCCCAATGAAGGTTTCTCCTATGGGTAGAATGGCTGCTCTCTATGGGCATTCAGAGTATGTACCTGGGCTCAGGTGCAGGTGCTACACAACATCACACTATATCAACTAAAGAATTCTTGTATGGATTCCCCGCCATTAGTGTAAGAAGTAGACCTCATCCCTCCTGGGTTCACACAGGCACATCATCACAGAAGATTGACACCGTGTATTAGTTCTGCATCAGTATGACACATTTTATAAATCGTGATGTTTTATTATTTATTTTTGTCTAAATTTAGGCCAGAAAAGAGATTGTTGAACTGGAGACAAAAGTTGGGACAGAGGAAGATGATGATGCAGAAGACGAGGATAGCAAGAACAAGGACACTACCTCTCTGACTGGCAGCCTGAGCGGTCATTATGGTGGAGATACCTCTACCTTGTACAACCAGTTGCATATCAATGACAGAGAAGAAAAGATAAACCAGATCATATTGATCCAAGTAAGATACAAGCCGTATTACCATTAAACAGCGTGTTTGTAGTCCAAATCGCCCATTTGCTTTTTACAAGGATTTTATAAAACATTTTCCCATCTGTATAACGTAAAAAAATTAATATTTTGAATGTTGCATTTTTAATTTCCCTTCTTCATTGTCCAGGCCCATCTTATGCTATGCATTTAGCATTAATTATGGCGAGATTTGTTTCTTGTTCTGGTTGTGTAAATATTTTGTTAGAGTTAAGTTTACTTATGAATAATTTTACATCCAAGATCATTTGATCATGTCCTGTTTCTATTTATCTAACTTTTCTTTCAGTTCTTTATATGTTTACTTTACCCCCTGGGCTGAGCTGCAGAGTACATTGGCGCTTCATAAATAAACTTGCTAAATAATGAAAGCTAACAAATGCCGCAGCAAATGCCTATTTTATTTGCAACCTTTCCTTTCTAAGCAAAGCATATTATTGTCGCACTAATAAAACAAAATCTAGAACATGGATGTTGGACAGTGACCGAACTCATATTGGACTTAATTTCCCTAAATGTTAGGCCAATAAATGACTGGTAAATAATTCTGGGGAACGTAGTTCAACAACTATAGGGCCATATTTGTACACCTATACTTTACAGGGACATATAAATGAACATTTACTGTGTTTACACAGGACATCATCTACAAAGTGAAACAAAGCTTCAACAAGGAATTTGATTTGGTGTGCAAACAAAAAGAGCAAGAGGTTTCTCGTGTCAAGGAGAGAAACGAGAGAATCATGGAGATTATGGCACAACTAAATGTTCAAGAAAAAATTCTAGAACCAAAATTCACAGATTATGAGAAACCAGAGCGAGCTCTGACTGTGGAGGATTCAGAGGTATTTTGTGTATTGCCATATGTTGATCTGTTTATTTCCGTTAGTTGCCATTCATTTTATATAGTATACATTTTAGCATCCATCCCAATTTTGGACAGTATATGTTCAGGACTGGAGTGGGTGGACCGTGAGGGCTTATCAGTGATGTAAGTTGCACCACTGGCAATGCCTGAAACTTCTGCCTACAGAAGTGTAGTGCCAGCATGGCATGAATGCACACAATGCTGACTTAGGGCAGACCATGCAGAAAGCCCTGCTGAAGTATTCTCTGTGTGGTCCTAATGCCTTCCGCACAGTGCGAGTGCATCTACATTTGCTGGGGACAGTCCCCTGCATGACATCAAAGATCAAAATTGGGATGGAGGGACAACATCAAGAAATCAGTGAGGTCCAGCCTAAATTTGGAAAATTGAGAGGACTGATTTAAGTACAAAAATGAACCTGCCACTGCATATTCTTTAGATCAAGGTGATCCAAAGACAGATGGCCACCTGTTAGAAAACGACATTTCCTCGATGGGTTTGCCAGCATTAAGGTTGCAAAAGCAGCATAGATGGGGTAGTTTAACATCTATTATGGCACCCGTATTGATTGCACATCTTCAGTGCCTTTTCCTTTGTACAAGTCTGTCTACACTTGCAGTGCTACCATTCATTTGGATGTTATACAATCCTAGAGAAAAGCTTTAAGAGGTCAAGGTGGCTGATTGAAGCCAGGCCATACACATAATATTCAGGGATATCCACTAAACTGTGAATTGTTAAGTGTTCAAAGTAAAATTTGAATTTTTGGTCACAATATCCAAACTGAAAACATAGCTATCTTGGCGAATTCATCTACTGAGGCTTAAAAGTTAAACTTTACTTTGAATTCCAGACGATTCCCACTTAAGGTTATGTAATGCTCTTTGACAGACAACTTTTTAAAGTCGTGAGTCAGTGAGTAACTTTAGCAGAAATTTGGGTTGGGATCACTTTAATAATTAATTATGTTGCACGATACTGGTTGAAAATCCGAAATCATTATTGAATGGTTCATTTAGGCTATTATAACCAGAGTTTATTGACTCGTTTCCTGTATATTATATTCCGTTACAGGTAAAAGTAGAAAAATATCTAACACCGGAGCAGAAATTGTTGGCAGAACAAGTGGCTAAACAAGAAGAAGAGAAGCGGCTTGCTGCACAAGTAAGTGTATATGTATAGACTACACAAGTGTATATGTATAGACTACACAAGTAAGCGTATATTGATTTGGTGCACAAGTAAGTGTATATGTATAGACTACACAAGTAAGTGTATATTGATTTGCTGCACAAGTTTGCTGTATAAGTATCTGTCTCTCACCTGAGGTACAGGTAGGCATGCATTTTTAAGCTGTTCATAGGACTTGTTGTGATTGCAAAATGTCAGCAACAAAATTTTGTTATTAGTAATTGCCTGTAGATATTTGTGACCACAAAAATACTGGCAAGTTTCCAAGGTTCACTTTTTGCCTTTAAAGGGACAATATAGTCACCAGAACCACTACAGCTTAATGTAGTGGTTCTGGTGTCTATAGTATGTCCCTGCAGTGTTAGCACTGTGAGCACTGCCTCTTAGAGAAAAGGCAGCGTTTACATTGCTGACTAGGAATACCTCTAGTGGCCATCACTCAGACAGCCACTCGAGGTACTTCCAAGTAAGTGCTGTGCAGTGTGGAGCACCTGCACGCTCTGCATGGAGACGCTGAATGCTTCCCATAGAGATATATTGATTCAATACATCTCTATGAGGAAATGCTAATTGAAGCAGTGTAGCGGTTTGCCACACATGTGCAATAGCCTCCCATTGCTTTCATATTGGTCAAATTCATCATGTCAGCCATGGAGGCGGAGCCAGGCTGGGGGAAAGCAGCAATATCAGCATCTCCACAGAGATGGTTACCTAAACAGCCACTTCAGCACTATAGTGTCATACATGTTTGTATTCTAGACACTATAGAGTTCCTCTAACATCTGCTCATGCTAATATCTGCGTTAACTGATATCATTCATCATTCTGCATTTACCGTTTTGAAAATTGGGAGTATGTGGCACTTTCCAATTAATTGCCACTAATTGCAACTACGCCAGCATACAGTAAAAGTTTGAACTAACCCTATCAGTGCTGAACTTATTAGCTGGAAAAGTAAACAGGGTTATTTATTATAATGAGAATTGTCAAGAATTCAAAGTTAATTTCAAAATGAAAGTCAAAATAGCAGAACTAAAAAAAATTCTCCCAGTCAGCTATGCATCCATTTCAGCTATTCTGGCTTCGAATTTTAAATTCACTTTGAATTCCGACCATTCTCACTTTACTGAAATGCTGTTAGTCACTAACATGGAAATAAGTTAGTAAGCAGCGATGGGAGATGTTAAAACCCATGCCAGCTGAGAATGACCAGTTGGTAATGGTAGAAATTTGCCGTATGGGAACAGGCATTATTTGCTAACATCGGCAGCAGCCATTTTAGTTAGTAGCAATTTGTCTCTAAAACATATCAACAACCTTCGAAAAAAAGACATTAATGTATTTACCCATTGCACAAAAGGGTATTTACTCATTGGTCAAATAAATGTTTGTTATCTTTCCAAATATTTGTATTTACACTGAAAACTATGTGTGTGTTACTTGTGGCAACCATATGTCTTTCTTTATCTATTGCACAAGTAAGTGTGCATTTACCTGTAGTACCTATATGTATTACTGGCTGCAAGTACCCGTGTGTTTGCCAGCTGTACACGTTAAATTCACTAATTGCCTACATAAATCTGTGTTTAGAAATACATTTAATGTAATAATTAAATTAATATTTAAACATGTGACAATGCAGACTTTATTGTATAGTCAGCGCAACACTGTTTTGTAATTAAGCCCAAATTTGGGGGGAAAAAAGTTTCTTAAAAAGGCAAGTAATGAGCCAGTGGACAGTCTTTTACATCACGGAAAGTAAAGATAATCACTAATAGTAGGATTTAATCTATACATTTGGCTATAATACTTCACAGGTTGTGCATTGTTTACTGACATAATTTAAGCATGAAAATACTGTTGGAATAGATTATTGGATTTGTTCTGTTCAATGTGATAACAGACATTGTTTTAACATCCCTATAGGGTGATAATGCTAAGCAGCGTGCTCTTAATGATATGATGGGAGGTGTGCTGGAAGTGAAAAAGGAAGACATTTTAAGAATGGTGAGATCATTTACACATGCAACATCTAATTTGAATAATAATCAGGATTTTTAGATCGTTTCAAATTTTTTTCTTTATAGTCAAATTTTATTGTTAATATATAGATTTTTACATTGCAATCAATGAGCTCCCCTAAAGCTAAGGGGAAGTTCTTCTTTTGTAGAGATCAATGGGAGCACCGAGCTTGTGTGAAACACAGCCACAATATCTTCCATTAATGTAAATGGAATACGGTTGGACAACAATTATTTCCTATTGATTTCTTAGGAGAATTATCAGGCAAGCACAGAAAAGTAGATCTGTTCGAACACTATGAATATAATCAAAGTACTGACAGACAATCCTTGAGCTCAATTCGAAACCAGTAGAAAATTCTTCTTCTTTTATAGAAATCAATAAGACCTGGTTATATGGTACATTAGTGGTCCCTTGCTGGCTGGATGCTACTCCAGCAAAAACGACTTAGCAACTCAGAGCTATTCCTGATTACCAACAGGATCCAGATACAGTACTGAAATAGTTACTTAGGCTATAGCAGAAAATTGAAGTTGCTATGTATAATGGCAGATCAGTAGTTTATTTGTACACCCCTACGAGTACTGGTGATGAGATTCAAAGAAACTCAAATATGCTGTAATGGATGCATTGAAACTGGTCATCCACGGGGTAAAATGGGAAGCCCCTTCTCCACTGCAGCTAAACAATTAGAAATCCAGTGGGTGTACCATCCAACAAAAAAAAGGCATTTGGAAAGAAAAAGAAACACTTTGCAGACTGTGGCAAGAGAGTGCAAATAGCAGAAAAAAAATTAATATTCAATAAAAATACATGGAACACAAAAATAGAACACAACACCCCTAACACTGTCAACAACCTCAACACAAGCAACTAAAACCACCTTCCTAGACCACTGAACAGAGTTACAGCGTAGACCAGAGCAAAGCCATAGCACAGAAGGCAGATCAACACTCGACAGCCAAGAGAGAGCCTACCACACTAGCAGGGAGAATGAAGTTGACATAGAACCCGACAGTAACACAAAGAACATGTATAAACACAGGACAAACTAACTCACATAGGACACTTGGCATACACCTCTCACGAGACTAGACACACAGACGAAGAACTCGTCAGGGCCCACATTACCACTCTCAAAAGCACCTAAACATAGAAATGCAACTGATGAAAGCTCAACTTATAGCTTAAGGAAAGTTCACAAAAAACATTAAGGTTTAATAATAATAAAAAATAAAAAAAAGAGAATGTAAAACAAAGCAAAAATTACTGGGAAGTACCACTTGGTAAAGGAATTACCTAACGCCACAAGCTACGCATAAACATACCAAGGCCTCATACTACTCCGCAACCTAGGAAACAAACTAAGCTACAGCTTAAAGTTAAGCATTAACTATATAAAAGGACTCTTGTTACACCCTATAACAAATGCATCAATGTGGAGGCCTGCACACCCAAAAATTTATTTATGTTTATTTTTCACCAAGTTTGAAAACAATAAAACGTGATTTACAAAAATAGAACACAAACCCTAATTTACAAAAACAAGGGAGCTTTTTATGCCTAGCGTCGCTCTTATCCATAAACCAATTTTTCTACTATTTGCAATCTCTTGCCATATTCTATGGAGTGGGTTTATTGGGGGGGAGGGGTTGTGTGGTATACCAACTGGATTACTATTTGCTTAGCTACAGACTTATTTTCCCAGTATTCTAATTGAAAGTTCCAATTTTTCTTGGTTTCTTAATCTTTAAACATAACCCTATTGCATTCCCATAGGTGTCCATTCTTCTTTTTGTATTGCCCATATCATTATTTGCACCATCATCTAGAAGCCTTTTTAATTAACCTTTAGAAGGTATCTGATTATTTGCATGCAACTATTTTCAGGATATCCCGCAGCCAGCATTTCTATCCAAGTCTGAAGAAGAATGGAATGAAGATGAAAAAAAACAGTTCAAGGAATATGATAAAAAATGTAAGGAGCTTAATGAGGAAAAAGAGAAGTATAGGAAGGTGAGTGTCAGCATATGGTGTGAGAATTTTAAAAAGGGAAATATTTTACAAAGGGGTTTTTTTACTGACCTGGAAAATATGGAGAATTGACAAAAAAAAATTAATTATTTTTTTTCAATCTTGGACCTCAAATTTTAAATCATTGAATATGTCCCAAGTGCTCCTGTGGACATGGGAACACTAGAGAATTCATTGCTTATTTTAAGCCAAAATGTTGCTTATTTTAAGCCAACATATCCAAGATGAGTTGGAAAAAATAGTCAAATATTTTCCTATTTAGTGAATAAACCATTTATATTTCATTTCGCTAAAAAACAACAACAACACAGCTTATCTTCCAATTTCAGAGTGGCAGAGTGAATGCTATTGCATGTTTACAGAACACCTTGTCATTAACTTATTTTTCATGATAAGATAACAAATATTTGCTTTTTGTTTTATATACCTTCTGAGTGATTTAAAGGGACATTCTAGTCACCAGAACAACTACAGCCTATTGTATTTGTTCTGATAAGTATAATCAGTCAGTTCAGGCTTATTGCAGTAAACAATAGATAAAAACACAAGTGTGTAAGGCACTTCAAGAGGTGAATAGGTTTAAACACTGTTTTCAGAGAAAATGCAGTGTTTACATTACAGCCTAGGGATACCTCCAGTGACCACTCCTCAGATGGCTGCTTGAGGTGCTTCCTGGGGCAGTGCTGCACAGTGTGCAGCACTGACATTCAGTGGTTCCACCCTCTGCATGGAGACACATAAATTTCCTCATAGAGATGCATTGATTCAGTGAGGAAATGCTGATTGACCAGGGCAGTGTTTGGCTTGTGCTGGCTCTGCCCCTGATCTGCCTCCTTGACAAGCTCAGTCTATCCAATTCTTTCCTATGGGAAAGCATTGTGATTGGCTGAGATAACCATTTCTGATTAGTCAGCCCAAGAGGCAGATCAGGGGTAGAGCCAGCAGCCGCAGAACAGAATAAAAATAAGATTTTACTATATTCAGGGAGGTCAGGGGGGCTAGATCGTTTTTAACACTACAGGGTCAGAAATGCATGTTTACGTTCCTGACCATATAGTGGTTTCCTTTAATTAGTAAATACCAAATGAATAAATGAAGTGATAAAAAAATCTAAATATAAATTGATAGAAAGATTTGAACTGATTTATGAACATTTTCCAACACTGCTATAGTCTCAGCGTGGTCATTTTTTCCAACATTTTGTGATTTGATTTTCAGTTCACTACAAATCACTGCTTAGTGCTTAAATTGAGTGTTTCTTCTCTCCCTGTGACAAAGCAACATCCACTAAACGTTCTTTTTAATTTACTATTATAAAGTTATTAGAGGCAGAAATGAAAAAGATTCAGTTGTCCATAATGGAAAGCACACAAGGATTTGATGACACGCTGAGTAAGCTGTTCCAAAAGAAGGTGAAAACAGAAATGGTCCTCTACCAGGTAAGTAGCAAACTTACCATCTGTAGGTCACATTTGCCCATATATACTATATTCTGTATATGACTATACTGGATGTAAAATAATAGAGTGTTTTGGAATGCTGTAAAGCTGTTTTATTGGGCTAACAGAATTTTTTAATGTCAAGGTTTCAGGAGATGCTGCTTTACTGAAGTTTAAAGCAGTGCTCTAGCAGAACTCCAATATTTTGCAGTCACAGTAAATGCCTTTTTTATTTAAGATCCTCCAATGGCAGGTGCACATGTATATCCGCACAGATTTTGCAAAGTTTAAGTCTTAGTATCAGGCTTTCTCCTACCAACAATATATATACAAAAAATGAAAAATGAAGGAGAGACCACCTCGTAACAGGACGTGCCCCTCTCCTTCAAACCACCCCAAGAAACATATGTCTATAGAAAATAAATAAATTTTATTGAAAAAATAGTATAAAAAGCCAAATATCCTGAGGACTCCCAGAAAAGTCTGATCTATTAGCTGCAAGGTATGTCAATCACTAGAAGATGTAATAATTGTAAACTTAGACAGAGTTGTTACCAAAGGTACCTACCAACCTTCAAGAACATCTCGTTTCTCTATCTCGTATCTTTCAGCTTCCATCTTACATTTTTTCCCTTTTTCTGTAGCAATAAACTTTTTTTTCTCTGATTTCCACATCATCTTCTCACATCTACTTATTCTCCAAAAGCTGTTTTTTTCAATCCTTAACTGTGACAGTCATGTTAGGTAAAAAAACTAATAAGTCAGCAGAGGTATCCTAGCCTATGACAAAACCTGTTTTTTGTCCATTCTGCATTTGATCACAGTCATTAGATATACTTAGTGGTGCACCCTACAGTTCCTAAATTCAACTATTCTATGATACCCACAATGTACACGTATAACTTTCCTACCCCTTTCAAAGATTAATAATCCGTGATGGGTCATTTAGTATACAATGTTTCATTGATGTTTTAGAGCAGAACAATGCAAGTTGACCCTTTAATTTTATAGGGCATCTTTGCTCCTTCTTTTTTACCTTGTTCATTGTGACCACTTAAAAATATTTGATCAGCTTTTGTAACCGGTGTTTTGCTAGGAGGAGCTGAAAATCAGAAATCTAATATTCTTGCTTCTGAATGAAGAGGAAATAACCACAAGGATAACTCAGCTGAATAACATTCTGCAAAGAAAGCGCAAACAGAAGGTGGGAGCAGATTAGTTCATGATATTCTTTGTAGAGTTTACAGCGTTACATAGGCTGAAAATAGACATGTGTCCATCAAGTTCAATCTTCCTCACATTTGTTTTTTGCTGTTGATCCAAAAGAAGGCCAAAAAAAAAAAACGGTTGAAGCACCTCCAATTTTGCAACAAACTAGGGAAAAAATTCCCTCTTGACCATAGAATGGCAGTCGGATTTATCCTTGGATCAAGAAGCTATTACCCTACAATTGAAAAATTATATAATTGAATATTCTGTTTTTGCAAGTATGCATCTAGTTGCTGTTTAAACATCTGTACGGACTCTGATAAAACCAGAGAAGGCAGAGAATTCCATATCCTTATTGTTCTTACGGTAAAAATACTTTTCTTTGTCTTATCTCTGGAGTTTAGAGTTATCTATGGATTCCATGGGACAAATTTAAAAGGAGCAATTCTGAGCCAAAGTTCTCAATGTGAAGCAGTTACCATGGAGACCAATTGAATAAAACTGTTGAATGCTTCTCTTTTAGAACTGTCCCAGAATTGCTCATCCAGTTTCACTTCACAACTCTGCACCGAAAGGCTGTGAGCACTAGGCACAGGTTGATTCAACTATCTCTGCAGTCTTTTCGGAATGGCCAAATCATATTCCATTTAATGAAATCAGATTCATATCATGTTGCCTATTGAGCCTTTGAGAAATAAAATGAATCAAGAGCTTTGTGTTGGTTGCAGATTCAAACATCTGAAGCAGTGAAGACATTTAAAACTGAAGTGGATGTCTTCAGGGAAAGCTATGACAATCTTGTAGTGGAAGATAAGGTAAAAGCACAACATAAGTTTGTTAAGTGTACCTCGGCTCACACGCATGTTCATTGTGGTGTTTTGGTTTCAGTTTCTGGATCGAGGATTTAGGAAGGATTTTCAAGACATTTCTGCACAACTAGTTGAACATCTTTATAAACTTTTTAAACGAAGACCAAGGTATTTATGTATTAGAAATTTTATTAAAGGGACATGCTAGACTTCAGATGATGAAATTCTTTTCTCGGTGCATTATGGAAATATGCAGTACAAGAAATGCATTATTTTAACCTGCCTCATTTTCCAAACGTACCCAGTATTTGTTGTTTTCACGGTGTTGTCTACAGCGACCAGGAATGTCTTAGACCTATCAGCCAGTCATTTTCCTCCCACTGATTTTAGTGGTAGTATAATATGAATTACTGCTGTGCATCAAAATTGTATGGGAAAGTACAGCAAAACTTTGATAAGTATGTAATAAATGTCATATTGTATTGTTGGGCACGCAAGGGGAGCTAGGGGAGTTTTTTCCTTCCTCTCATCTCAATTTGAGATCAGTCCTCAAATAACAGAAATTGCACATCATTGTGCAGCACCAGAAGATAGAGACACTGGTCTGCATGGTCCCACTGATTAGACTCCATCTCTTCTCCCCCTGTCAGGGTGTTGCAAAGTAGAGAGATCTTCCAACTGCAAATGTAATAATCTGTCAGACATGCCCAGTGCACTTTTTCAGCATTCCTAGGGATAGGGCACTGATTGGTTAAATCAGTGTCCCCCAGGAGTGGGTGTGGAAAGCATAAAAAAGAAGCAGGTAAATATGAAAAAAACAGATTCACCTGATTTTATCAGCTTGCAGAGTGAGGCAACTGCCTCATTCGAAGCTAAAGCTCTTGAATGAGACAGTTGTCTCAAAGTGATGCATATCCCTTTATGTTATAATACTGTACAAATATTTACATCTTTCATCATTTTGATTGAAAAAATATGTGTGTAAATATGTATTTGAAAATGTCTTAGATGATCCATCTCATGCCAGATAATTACTTACTATTGAAAGTGGAATGTCAACATGATTACTTTACATGGCAAGATAAAACAAATAATTTTAATAAGAAAAAGCAAAGAGTTCATTATGTATATATTTCTGATATGTGAGAGTAGATGCATGGTTTACACCTTCTGCCTCCCTTTTAGAGTTCAACGCCTGAGGACACAGACAGACAGTGCAGCACCTTTTAGTGATCGTCCAGGATCAGCCATGGCATACAGTGAGTCCTTAGCTCAGCTAATGCAGGCAATGGATGAGTTTGATGCCCCAGAAAATATGCCAGAAGGACTAGAATTGCCAGTGTGGGAAAGTTTCTGCAAGACAAGGCGATCCAAAATGGAGTATGAGCAGCAAGTACGTATCACATTTCAAAGCCCTTATAAATCAATATATTTAATAAGCAGTTCGGAAGATGTTAGAAGTAGACTTGCTAAAAAGTTAATTTCAGAGAGTTCGACCAAATCAAATTCATTTTAAATCTACGCCTGGACTATAGATCGCCTGGGTGTGATTTTAGAAGGCATTTAATGTGGACAAAAATTTGCACATGTATATTTAGAAATAATATTATCAATACCCGTTTTCGGTAAATCCCTGAAAGTTATTGCTCTTCAGTGGGTTACTCACAAATTCTAACTTAATTTTCTGTGAATGTTTTGAACTTATTCCATCCTGTAATATTTATTAACGAACACCTTTTTTGCACTCGTCGTCATTCCAGCAGCTTTTTTAAAAGATGCCAGAATTTCAAGTATCTCTAACCTTTTAAAAACCCTTCCCTACCAAACCCCACGTGAAGCAGAATAATAGCAAACGTAAACAAACTCACCTTCCTGTATATTTCTCATCATACCAACAAACTAGATAATTTTTCATGAAAACCTTTGTCTTTGTGTGTATCTGTAGAGAGCTGCGCATTATCTCAACCCCTTCTACTCTAGGTGCAGTACAGGATAGTGTTCAGTAGTGCAAAATTAAATAGATCTGTATAAGAGGAATATATGCTCTTTTTTTAGAAAGGAAAAAAAAAAAGGTAAATAGAATGTGTTACTTGTTCAATGTAGCATACCAATAGTGTACCCCCACTATGTTCCCTTCATCAGTAGAGAACCATCTGCCCTTTTTTCAGTGTAGAATGGAATGCAGGGCTCGAGGTTTGTTAAACCAATGCCTGGAATTTATTTGTAGACTTCCAAATATCACTTCTAAACGCATCTGAGAAAATTACACCCAGTATGCGACTCAAGTTTTATTGCATGCTCTTTTTTTAGGTGAAGCGCAAAGCTGCTGTTTTAGCTGAAATGCAAGCTTTCCTACAGAGGAGGATTGAAGAAGATGAAAAGATGCAGCGGGATATTGAAAATATCATGCAGGAAATAAGCTTGTAATTATATCAAAAATGATTTGGAAAAAACAGTGTTGACCCTTTCCATAATAACCCAATTTTAAGACCATAATATTTGCCTGAAGTAGATAACACCCCAGTTGGTAATTTTATAAATCTGCGGAACTGACCAGAGGTGCACTAGGAGATCTGTTAAGTATATCTTTACTGCAGTGCCCATTCTTTCCCAGGGCTTCTCCAGGCTTATTTGGACCTAGACTAAATGGCCCAGACGTTGGTTAAGCAATAGGATGGAAATAAGGCAAGATGGAGCTGGTAGGCAAGCAGACAGGGCAGGCCCAAAATACTTTTTTTGCCTATGTCTAAGGATAAAATGGATGGTGCCCTGGTTATTAGAACCCTCCAGTCTTTAGGCACAGGGAATACACACAACTGTATCCAACCCATAGTTGGATGTGTCAGCCTGGAGACAGGAAAATCATAGTTCAAGAATGCTACACCTGGACATGCATAAGCTGCTGAAGACTTTGATAGTAATTGTCAACTAACCTAAATTTACTGTTTAGTGAATAAACCACTTAAATGTCTTCTTTCAAAATACTAACTGTGGAGGACGGCACGCCGACTGGGTACCTCCGCCAATCACGCTTCCTAGTGCTCTCCGAGTACCATAAGTACCGTACCGGACACCATAACCACTGTAGCCCCCTTAGTCGCCGCAGCTTGGCTGGGGTCTTGCCATCCCTTCCCACCCTGTACCAAACACCTGGATCCAGGTCCCAGTGGGAAGACCTCTCCTCCAAGAGAGTATAATAATCCAAAGCGCAGTATAGCAATTCCCCCCCACACATGAGCCAAGGCTTAATGCTGGGAAGTAGTCTGTTTAATGGAAGCACAGTCACAGAATTTATACAAGTTATAAACTCCTCCTCTGTGCCTGAGAGATAATTGAGTCAGGAACTGTACTAACTCAATTATCTCCGGTACAGAAAAACACAAATTTTTCAGACACCCCAAAAGTACCCCCAAAACACATGAAAACCCCACAAAGTTACATCCCCTGATAGCCCCGATCTGGGTGACCAACATATTAAAAAACCACCCAGATCGGTTCAGGGGTTCGGGATTTCTAGGGAAGTAATAATTTGACCGACCGTGCACATGGCCCTATGCCCAAAACAGTTCCATGAATTCAGTGCTAATGGTCGGTCAAGTTCGGTAGTTTAAAAATGAACAAACTACCGAATATAGTCAATAGTCCTACCATGGACCTTGTTCCCCTCATCCAGATGAACAATTCCACCGAACAGTGCCCTTCTAGGTACAATCTGAACACAGGCGATGATGGAAGTCCAGTGGTGTTCGAAGGTTTCCGTGTCCAATTTGAGTTCCGTGAACACCACTGCCTGCGTTCATGTGAAGAAGATGGCCGCCACCTCGTGGTCGTTCATAAGAATTGCGGCCACCCAGACGAACTAGTAGAACACTGCGGTTAGAATCGTTAGGATGATGATAGGGCTTAACAAGCTCCCGGGTGGTCCATGGTTCGTGCGCCTGTTCGGTTCCCGAACAGCATAAGAAAATGGCACAAACTAAGTCTTTTAACAGGCTTATTGCAGGGCCCATAGCATTTGGGCAGGAGGCTAGCCAGCAGGCCCATCCAGGAACACGTGGCAGAGGCATTTCTGCCACGCTAACCAATTTCAATACTTCCCAGAAATTGTCCAGACTTCCTGCTTATGAACTGTAGTTCTTTTTATTCTCACTCAGTCAGATGCTGCCTGAACACATTTGCATGTAAATTGTTGCTGTAGAAAGGGTGCGCTCTTATTGTTCCCATTAAATAGAACAGTTTAATGATGCCATGTTTATATAAAGTGTCAATAAATCACTGCTTAGCATGATGCCAATTAAAACGACATGGGTAAAGGAACCATAGGAGTGGGCGAGGGTTAAGTTAGGGGTACATTTATTAGGAGTCAGTTAGGTTTAAATAGAACTAGTGGATAGGAGGTTCCTGCCTTGAAAATAACATGGACATTATCCCCCATGATTCCAAGCAGTTTGAAGCTGAGAATTAGATCATTTCTATCTAAACCAGGGCTGCCCAACAGATAGATCCCCAGATGTTGTAAAACTTCAACTCCCATGATGCTTTGCATGCATTTAGAATGACAAAGCATCATGGGAGTTGTAGTTCAACAACATCTGGGGATCTACCTATTTGGCAGGCCTGTTCTAAACCAACCTGCAATGGTACTGGTATAACAGGATTTAATAATTAAACTGTTGCTAATCTTCCTTCTTTCAGGCTACGAAATGAGAAAATGAAATTTCAGCTAAGTCTGGTTGTCCAGTTCCTTCTCAAACAGGGACAGGTGGAAATTGAAATCCCAGACTTGATTCCTAATTATCAGGATGCCTTGCTCCTTCACAGGAGTGCGATTGAAGAGTTAAATGGCAGAATACAGGTAAATTAGAGACCTTTCCAATATGAACCAAACAGGCAGGAATTTATTACATGATGGCATGCAGCAGGCTAATAGTTATCTCAAGTTATCTCATGCATTCATTCAAGTTAATAATGTATCCAAACATGACTCATGGCAGAAGCTGCTTTATTCTCTTTTGCACTATTACTATTATGACATCGCAATGAACCATTTTTGGCATACTTACACCAAGTAGTATCATAGCTGAATCATGGAACGTTGTGCATTACTTTTCCATATTGTTTCCCTTTTCATTTCCTTAGAATGTTGGAGAACAGAAAATTGCAAGCATGGTAGAATGCAAAGATTTCCGAAAAGGAATTTTTCAGCTTGAATGGGAAAATAAAAAAATACAAATGGAGATGGAAGATCTGAAACAGAAATCCAGGGATATTACAATGCTCCGCGTTACAAAAGAACTCCAATTTGTAAGACTTACATTTGCTATCATTCATTTAAAACATCTGATGCACATATCCTCCTTATTTCAACAATAACGATTGTTATTCCCAGGCCCATAAATTCACTTCACTCAAGACAGCCATTAACCCAAGATGGTTTTGCTTCTTGTAGGTCCAGCTAATATCACCTTAAAAGGACACTCAGGACACTAACACAACTTGAATGCAGTTGATAGCTTTTTGCATCATTAAAGGACCACTCTAGGCACCCAGACCACTTCAGCTTAATGAAGTGGTCTGGGTGCCAGGTCCAGCTAGGGTTAACCCATTTTTTCATAAACATAGCAGTTTCAGAGAAACTGCTATGTTTATGAATGGGTTAAGCCTTCCCCTATTTCCTCTAGTAGCTGTCTCATTGACAGCCACTAGAGGCGCTTGCGTGCTTCTCACTGTGATTTTCACAGTGAGAGCACGCCAGCGTCCATAGGAAAGCATTATGAATGCTTTCCTATGTGACCGGCTGAATGCGCGCGCAGCTCTTGCCGCGCGTGCGCATTCAGCCGACGGGGAGGAGAAGAGGAGGATCAGAGGAGGAGAGCTCTCCGCCCAACGCTGGAAAAAGGTAAGTTTTACCCCCTTTCCCCCTTCCAGAGCCGTGCGGGAGTGGGACCCTGAGGGTGGGGGCACCCTCAGGGCACTATAGTGCCAGGAAAACGAGTATGTTTTCCTGGCACTATAGTGGTCCTTTAATATTGTTTTTTGTAGTTTTTTTTGCATGCTCAGATCTTTATCATTTTTGCACAAAATAAAATTGTTTTGCAGAATGCTGCACTATACACCCCTCATCCCAAAAATCAAGTGAATGCACACAGTCTCAGCCCCAACAGAACTGTGTTGTTTTTAATTCACAAACTAGCAGCAAGCAGTCAGAGAAGCTATAAACAGTTAGTGATATTCTTATGATATGCCTGGCTGCATACACTTATTAAAGAAGTATTTTCTAGAGTGAAGGGGTGTAGCTAAAGAGGCAGGCTTATGGTGTAGCATTCTGCAAAACATTATTATTATTTTTGTTTTAGCAAAAACGATATAGATTTGTCAACGCAAACAATACAGCATATTAATGAGGCCAAAACCTATGAAATGCATTAAAGTTGTATTGGTGAACGGAGTGTCCCTTTAAGCATGGTGCACTGAGTAGATATGGGTGCTTTTGTAATGAAAAAAAATGGGATTTTATGACATGAGTTGTGGATGTAAATATGGTAATTGCATATAGGAAAGTGGTTGTTCAGAATAGGAACAGTTATAAGATACCTTAAAGAAAACAAGACTGTAATAACTGGCCTAGAAAGGCAGTGGTAGTGGCCTCCGGATAAATGACGTCATCACAAAATCTGAAAAGCTTTTTAAAGAGCATGCATGATGATATCACAGAATCTTCATTTTTTTTCAAACATTTGCATAAATCAATAACTTTTTTCTGTTTCTTAATTTAGTTTCTTAATGAGCCAAATTATTCAAAACGTGTATCTGAACAGATTTCAGATCTAGAAGAAACCCTCAACTTACAAGAAAAAGTAAGTATAAGCTTTCTTGCATTTTTTTTTTACATTCTTTATTTAGACTTGAGCAGTAGACAGTGCAGTGTACAATGACAGCAAATAATAGTACAAATGTTTAACGTCAGTAGTGACAGAACAATCAGTATCAATAACAGAGGGCTAAAGGATTACAGTATTGTGGTACAAAGTACAGGATGAGAAGACATATATACTGCATTGATTTAAATACATGTAAGTTTAGTAATCTTGCATCTTAACATTTATACAGTTGGTGCGAGTGTATATCATTAGACCCGTCTGCTGAATGCATAGTGGATATCTTAGGTACCAGATGGTTGTCCACTCTCTATGAGGGATCATGTGTTATCTCTATGTTACCCACTCCTTAAGTATTTTTCCTGGTCTGGGGATATTCCCTTCCGAAGACTAAGAGAGAGAGCAGGAAAAGATAAAGAAGAAGACGGGTCCGCACAAATGAGGTTCCGAGAGAGAGAAAGAGGTGCGGGGTGTCACTCAGGCACCCCCCAATCAGGGGCTAATAGGTCTACATTAGTTGTCGGCTAAGTCGATTAGTTGAGGAAGGACCCATTGCTCCCACGCCTTAGTGAAGGTTTTTAGCATTCCTTTTACTTGGGCGGTCAGTTTGTCCATTAAGTATGTATTTTTAAGGTTTAGTAGTACCATGTCAATGCATGGGACCTCTGACCCTAACCAGGTTTGAGCTATTGACCTTCTGGCAGCCAGGGCAATTTTGTGAATCAATTTTTGTTCTGGTCTAGTCCATCCATCGAGTGGTGAGAGTGGTCTAGATAGCAAGAGTACCCATGGGTCCGGCGTCATTGGTCTGTGGAAGATGTTTGTTATTAATTTGCTTTCTTTTCTCCAGAGCATTTGGACCTGGGGGCAGTCCCACCACATATATTTGTACATGCCTTTATGTCCGCATAGTCTCCAACATTAGTTGGTAGGGGTTTTGTGCATGTGATAAAGCTTGACCAGGGTAGTGTACCACCGGAACATAGTTTTATATGATTGTTCTTGAATTGTAACACATATTGAGGTCTGCACATTGGCCACCCAGATGTCCTGATGTCCTGCCAGTCAGTGCCCTCTAGTGTCTCCCCCAGCTCTGTTTCCCACTGATCTGTATAACGCAGTCCCCCCAGTTCTCTGTGCTTAAGTGTGGGTAAAGAAAAAAAAAGGAAAAATAGGTTGCGCCACAGTTAACTAAACGTAATATAGACTGCAAAAATTTACTTACATATATTGAACAGAGCAAGGAAATATATATTACAAGGTACAGGTAGTCTTGCCAGTGCTTGAGTTTTGTGTGAATTTAAGTGGATTCTTGGACTTGAACTAGATGAGTTTTCTCAGTGCAGGTTGGAATATGTGAACATAAAAAAAACACAAAAAACCCTCCAATAGTGTAGATGGCAAATGACCAGAGGAGGAAAGATTCTCAACAATGTGGTATTTACACTCACCTATTGGAGAGCTAAAACTAGCTCGGATATAATTGGCATTCAGTGGCGTCAATCCCCCACTGGTAGGATATGAGTGATGATAGCCAAACAAAGGTCCTCGGTATTTGGGAGAAATAAAAACAAATATAGTGCTCGCTGTGCTTTTAACAAAGCAGATAAATGTAGAAACGTAAAGTACTCACATTTAAGTGAACAGAAATATACTGCTCACTATAATAGCGTAGGTGGTACAATCCCCACCTAGGGATTCTTGGGCATGTGACTGCTCCGAAGTAGCTAATGACCAGGTTAAAAATGAAAAAAATAATACTAAAAAATGTAATTACTAACAAGAAAAGTGAATAAAAAAGGTATATGGCATATATGAATTAAAAAGCCAATATTCCTTTATTAATATACATAAAAAACAAATAAAAACAGCCTAAACGCGTTTTGCCACACAGGGCTTTTTCAACTGGCAATAGAAACATCAACCTGGTATATGAATGCTTATAAAGGCTTTGTAATCTTATGCTAATTCAAATTTTGTCACCAAAATTATGTAATTTGCATAATACATATGAGCAGTACAAAACATAAATAGAGTTAATAGAGTTAAAAAATGCATTAAATAAGTTTAATACAACAATAGAAACATAGCGATATATTTTTGTTGGGGAACATTAAGTTAAGACCATACTTTAAAACTGCAGGGTATCTTTACACAGGAAATTAAAAACAGAACATAAGTGTTTTTAACATAGTAGTTCCATAATGATGCAGTATCAGTTACGATCATAATTTAAAAACCCATAGCAGTGTTGTTTGGCAAGTGAAATAGGAGTGAAAATCAAAAAGGTACAGATCGAATTATAATTGTCTGTTAGGTTACAACTTATTTTTGGAGGTAGTAACCTACCTTGTTAGGTCAAGACCGGAATTCATCTTTAATTTGGTATATATGACCATAGGTCTCAGCTTAAGTGGAAAGATGAAAGGAGGAAAATAGGAGACATGTCAAAAAACATTAAAATATATCTATATGAAGAGAGAAGAAAAGGAAAAATATTTTTTTACAATATTTTTTTTAAAAGTATGTATATGTTTAAAATTTAATAATAAATGTAAAATACAGATATATAAAAAAAAAAATTTTTAATAAACTATCGAAGGATAAGTAACATGATGAGTAATAATGAGATATGTTGATACAAAAAAATAATAATAAATTTAAAAAATATTTTAAATAAAAAATGTAATTATTAAAAATTAAAAAGGTCGAATTCAGCATTTAGCCCTTCTGGAGAGAGGGTTTTAAGCTGTCTCCGCCTCTCCATGGAATATTGACTAGTTCTATTCCAATAATTTTTAGATATTTCGGGTCTTTATTGTGTGTTAGAAAGTGTTTAGAGACTGAATGGTTTTCATACCCTATTCTGATATTACGGCAGTGTTCTGCCAGTCTAACTTTAAGGCATCTTTTGGTCATGCCTATATACTGAAGTCCACACGGACACTCCAACATATATATAACATTTCTGGAGTTACAACTGATAAAATCTTTAATTGGGTATGTTCTTTTTGTGTTAGTTGAAGCGAAATGGGTGGTTATAGACTTAGTCGTTTTTTTTTTTTGCTTTACATTTCTGTTTTGAGGGTTTATGAGGGAACCTCATATCCATAGGTTGCAGCCTTATACTTACCTCAGCTTTAGGTTGATCATACAAGCGCTGATCCAACATCCACTTCTTTTAAGTGTGGGTAAAGCCTAGTGATGAGGCCCTTTTGGTAAATTTCTGCGTCACAAATCTTTTTGAAGAATGTTAGCTGTGTATGGGCTGCCTTTTTGATGTGTGATTGTTGGGCAAAGTCCCTGACCTGTAGGTACTGGAAGTAGTCTGATGTTGTTAGTGTTGTCCTGTTTTTAAGTTCATCGTAGGGGATAATGTTGTCACCTATGTACATTTGATAGATTCTTTGGAGACCCGCATATTCAATCCCTTTAAAGTCTCTAGGTCTCATTCCGGCCATCTCTTGCATTTTTATTAGCAAATTAACATAAGCAAGATGTATAACTACCTGAAAGTGACATTATCATACCTTTTATCAATGATAGGCCTATTATATTATAGGCTGCATCACCGATGTAAGATTATACAGTTTCTGAAAATAATGTATGACACAATTAAGCTAATGCAGTTTGTTTTGATACATGCATCCATGACACAACAAATTTGACTTTTACCTGTCCTATTAGGGTAATTGTATTTAGGGTAATTATTTAGGGCAATTGTGTATAACAATACCAATAGTTTTAATAATTTAACAATCATAAACTATAAAACAGTATCTGGATTTCCAGAAATATAAATAAATAAATAGGAAAACACGTTGATGATATTCTCTTTATAATTACACCAATATGCAGTTGGACTACTTTTCATGGTAACAAGATGAATGGGGACATTCTAGTTTAGTTAGCTGGTAATTGGTTCATGTTTAGGATTTGTGAGGGATGTCTTTATGGTTTTGAAACCACTGGAATATGTCTGGTAGAAATTAGTTGTATTATTAAAAAACAAACGTTAAACAATTCCAAGCAGCAAAGGATAATGGCCAAGCCAAATTTATCATAACATACACTATCCAGCTACATGTGGCTGTCATGTCATGCTATAGAACAAAAATAATGCTTTTAATTATTTATTTTTATTATTATTTAGCAACATGAGAAAAATGTGAATGGCTACAAAAGAATCATTAAGGATTTGGAAAAGAACATTAATAAAAAGAATCAAGCCAACAGCCAGTTGGAAAAGGATCTGAAAGACACACTGCTGTCATTCTCCGAAAGAAAACATATTTATGATGTTGTTGGTGAGTGTGTAAAATATAAACATAAATATATTAGTACAGTGCTAATATTTGCAAATGCACCTCACCAGATTATCTGAGTCACTTGTGTTCGGTTAATGGTTGTAATATACAGTATATCAATTTGCATGTTTTGTAAGCTATGTTTTAGATTTGATGGGAAATTCAAGAAGAAAAAAATAGCACTGATAGAAAATTATTACAAATACTGAATTTAAGATATTTATTATAGACACTGTAATGAAACAGCATTAAAAAAGACCTCAGCTCTACTGTAGCAAAGTTTATAATGGCACTTGTCAATAATCTGTTAGAATGACTCCCCTTTTCCTTCCTGACTGCAGATACACCACCCAAACCTAACTTTAAAGGGACACTATAGTCACCAAAACAACATTAGCTTAATGAAGCAGTTTTGTGTATAGATTATGCCTCTGAAGTTTCACTGCTTAATTCTCTGCCATTTAAGAGTTAAATCACTTTTTTCTGTTTATGCAGCCTTAGCAATCCTGTGACTCACACAGCCTACATGAAACCAAAATGGTTTCATTTTTAATAAGATGTAACTTACTTAAAAGTTTTTATCTCCTGCTCTGTAAATTGAACTTTAAAGGACCACTATAGTGCCAGGAAAACATACTCATTTTCCTGGCACTAGAGTGCCCTGAGGGTGCCCCCACCCTCAGGGTCCCCCTCCTGCCCGGCTCTCGGGAGAGGAAAGGGGTAAAACATAGAAAAGTACCCAAAGATGAGGGCATATGGAGAGAAGAACCAACGTCTATCTCTCACAATACACTCAACTAAGGGTATGCCCACTAAGAGGGTGTATATAACATCCCCTGGTAAACAAAAATGAATAGAAATAAAAAAATATACATGAAAAATAAAAAATACTTTATTGACAAATGAGATTAGATAAAATACATGGGGTCCGGGATGGGGGGATGGCCCATAGTTCGTGAGATTGTAATGGTACAAAAAGGAGGCAGCCAGGCAGATATGAATCACTCTAAGGCAATACTATAAGCCAATAGGTAAATGGGAGCTTGTGTGTTCAAAGTAACGAAACACATTAGTGAACGGGAATTATCTGCACAAAGTGTAATCAAACTCCTATTATGGGAATAACATCGAATAGATAGGGTGTAATTCCCTGGAGTTTGTAACGAGCTAAAAACCTGTTAATAGAATAGAAAAGAAATCAAGCGGGAAACCTGCTGACTACTAACAGTGAGGTAGACTGAAATCAAAAAATATGTATATTCAAAGTAAAGAGAGATGAAATCAAAAGAAGAGAGAATTTCCTCTTATATGTGATGATACCCAGGTACCTCAATTCATCTGTATAGAAGTCAGCCCCACAGTTCAAAGAATAACTTTTTTTACCAAGTTAGACTTAGACCTAGGCGGTTCTCCTTTTCTATTACCTCGAGCTGGTAGCTCAGCATAGCGGAACTCATTTAGAATCTTTAGCCTAGTCAGTTCACTTTCTATTTTATTTACTAAGTCGGATTTGGATCTAGGTGGTTTCTCTTTTTTACTACATTGAGTTGGAAGCTCAGCTTAACGATTGATCAGCCTAGTTCAGTCAGCCACTTTTTACTCTGCTGTCTGACTTTAGATCTAGGCGTACATTTCGAGTGAGCAGCTCAATATATATTTAGATATATTCTTTATATTTGTTACCTATACGGTCACTATTTTTCATTTTTTCATTTTTTGATTTGGGCTAGCATGGGGCTCGGTATTTGGGGATGATGTGCCTGTCGGCTGAGAGTCGTTTTTCTGTCTATGTAGGAAGCAGGGGCAGAGTTTGGAGCCATATTCTATGTACAATTAACTCTGTTTAGTGCAACATTGTACACCTTTGCTCTCAAGCAATAATTTCAGGGTACATAGTACTTTGGTCACAAACTTGACAACATTTTGCTACAAACTAGCTATATATTTCTAATACTGCACGTTTTGACCTGTACTTGCAGGCAGCCTATTATTCTTTGAACTGTGGGGCTGACTTCTATACAGATGAATTGAGGTACCTGGGTATCATCACATATAAGAGGAAATTCTCTCTTCTTTTGATTTCATCTCTCTTTACTTTGAATATACATATTTTTTGATTTCAGTCTACCTCACTGTTAGTAGTCAGCAGGTTTCCCGCTTGATTTCTTTTCTATTCTATTAACAGGTTTTTAGCTCGTTACAAACTCCAGGGAATTACACCCTATCTATTCGATGTTATTCCCATAATAGGAGTTTGATTACACTTTGTGCAGATAATTCCCGTTCACTAATGTGTTTCGTTACTTTGAACACACAAGCTCCCATTTACCTATTGGCTTATAGTATTGCCTTAGAGTGATTCATATCTGCCTGGCTGCCTCCTTTTTGTACCATTACAATCTCACGAACTATGGGCCATCCCCCCATCCCGGACCCCATGTATTTTATCTAATCTCATTTGTCAATAAAGTATTTTTTATTTTTCATGTATATTTTTTTATTTCTATTCATTTTTGTTTACCAGGGGATGTTATATACACCCTCTTAGTGGGCATACCCTTAGTTGAGTGTATTGTGAGAGATAGACGTTGGTTCTTCTCTACATATGCCCTCATCTTTGGGTACTTTTCTATTAGCGTTTTTGTTGGGTTAACCCCTCCTATGTTGTCCATCTAGTCCTTCTGTGACTCCAGGAGTGGATTGTCTCCAGTCCTGCGGTCACTGTTTTCTCTTTCTATCAAGGGGTAAAACATACCTTTTTTTCAGCGCCGGGTGGGGAGCTCTCCTCCTCCTCTCCGCCTCCGATCCTCCCATTCGGCTGAATGTGCACGCGCGGCAAGAGCTGCGCGCGCATTCATCCGGTCTCATAGGAAAGCATTCATAATGCTTTTCTATGGACGCTTGCGTGTTCTCACTGTGATTTTCACAGTGAGAATCATGCAAGCGGCTCTAGCGGCTGTCAATGAGACAGCCACTAGAGGATTTGGAGGATGGAATAACCCATTTATAAACATAGCAGTTTCTCTGAAACTGCTATGTTTATAAAAAAATGGGTTAACCCTAGCTGGACCTGGCACCCAGACCACTTCATTAAGCTGAAGTGGTCTGGGTGCCTAGAGTGGTCCTTTAATCACACACAGGAGGCTCCTGCAGGGTCCAGTTAGCTTTTCACAGAGCAGGAGATAAGGAATTCTAAATTAAGAGTTGTTCTGGTGTGTATAGTCGGTCCCTGCAGGCTTTTTGCTGTAAACACTGCTTTTTCAGAGACATTGCTATAAAACAGTATCTAGTATCAGAGAAAAAGCAGTGTTTATATTAGTGCCTAGAAACACCTCTGGTGGCCAATCCCTCAGATGTATTTAGTGGGTGCAGCCAGGGCCGCCATCAGGGGGTGACAACCGTGACTATTGTCACGGGCCTGGGGGGCCCGGACTGCTCTGGCAGTCCCGGGCCCCACTTTCTTTCTCTGCACACATAGATAGCACATATCGCTATCTATGTGTGCAGCCGCGGGCCCCCGGCTCCCTGTTACCGCAGAGGGGGCCCAGGCAGCACACAGCTTCTCCTCCTGTCTTCTCTCTTCTCATAACTCTCGCGAGACCCGCGGAGCGTTGCCATGGTAACCGGGTCTCGCGAGAGTTATTAGAAGAGAGAAGAGAGGAGAAGCTGTGTGCTGCCTGGGCCCCCTCTGCGGTAACAGGGAGCCGGGGGGCCCCCACCGGACCACCAGGGATGGAATCTCCCCCCTCCATGGACACAGGTAAGCAGGGAGGGGGGAGAAACATTTAATTAAATTAATTAAAAATTAATGTTAAAATGCCCCTTCCTCCCCCTCCCCCCCAGATTGCACATATACACAGCACACACTACATACACTAACACACAACACACACACTGCATACACTAACACAACACACACACTGCATACACTAACACACAACACACACTGCATACACTAACACAACACACACTGCATACACTAACACACACACTGCATACACTAACACAACACACACACTGCATACACTAACACACAACACACACTGCATACACTAACACAACACACACACTGCACACACTAACACACAACACACACTGCATACACTAACACAACACACACACTGCATACACTAACATAACACACAACACACACCATACACTAACACACAACACACACCATAAACTAACACAACACAAACACACTGCATACACTAACACAACACACACTGCATACACTTACTCAACACACACACTGCATACACTAACACACACACTGCATACACTAACACAACACACACACTGCATACACTAACAAAACACACACACTGCATAAACTAACAACACACACTGCATACACTAACACAACACACACACACACACTGCATACACTAACACAACACACACACTGCATACCCTAACACAACACACACACACACACACACTGCATACACTAACACAACACACACTCTGCATACACTAACACAACACACACTCTGCATCCGCTACACTAACACACACTCTGCATCCGCTACACACTAACACACTCTCTGCATTCACTACACATTAACACTGCATTCACTACACTAACACACACTCTGCATCCGCTACACACTAACACACTCTCTGCATTCACTACACATTAACACACACTCTGCATTCACTACAAATTTACACACACTCTGCATTCACTGCACTAACACACACACTACATTCATTACACTGACACGCTCTGCATTCACTACACACTAACACACACTCTGCATTCATTACACACTAACACACACTCTGCATTCACTAAACTATGCACATACTCTGGATTCACTATACTGACACACACTCTGCATTCACTACACTAACATACACTCTGCATTAACTGGACACACAGCATCCACTATACAAACATCCTGTATTCACAGTACACACACTACATCCACCACAAATTGAAACACTCTGCATTCACTATACACAGACACTGCGTCTAATACACACACTACAGACACTGCATCCACTAAACACATTTCATCTAGTACATACAAACACTACATCCACTACACAAACACACACTACATCACTGTACACACACTACATCCACTACTCAAATACACTCTGCGTTCACTATACACACTGCATCCGCTACACAAACACACACTCTGCATTCACTGCACAAACAGTATCTAATACACACAAACACTACATCCATTACACACATTCTAATTCACTTCCACTATACACACACCACATTCAGTCCTGCATCATTGTGAGCGGACTAGGTAGGGCGTGGGCGGGCCTGGGAGGAGGGGGGGGGGGGCCAGACCTTGTGCTTTGTCATGGGCCCCAAAATGTCTGATGGCGGCCCTGGGTGCAGCTCTGCCATTCAGTGTCTCCACGCTCTGTGTGGAGAAACAATGAATTCTCCACATAGGGATGCTGATTGACTAGAATAAAATCTCAGCCAATCCAATGCTTGCCTATGGTGGTTTTAAATGTGCAACCCTCTAGTGAACTACCAAAAATTCACAGTGTAGTAAATGGTTTCCATAATGGAATAGCAATGTGAAAGTGTAGTAAATGGTTTCATTTAACTATTTAACATTTATTTTTAGACAAAGGAGAATTCTCAAGGGAATTTCTCATTTTGGTCCAAAACTGCTGAATTGGAAAAAAAATTGTGAATCCTCCAATATTTCCAGCTTAATCAATAAGGTCCATAGGTTATGTTAGTTAATCTAAAAGAACAACAATTGAAAAAGGTGGTGGAAAACTAGTGATACAAGATTTTTGAAATAACCGACTGTGTTTTGTTATTGTTTCATTATTACAGGCTCCGAGCAAAGTTCCGCCAACAGCGCAAAAGATCGGTACAGGGACATTGTAAAACGCAGAAAGCTGTTGGACCTGGCAAGAGCACAAGCTCAAGAGATTGCTGTACTGCGGGCTGAAGTAGATAGATTAAGGATGAAAACCTTCCCTGCTTTAATACAAATGGAATACTAGATAGTAGCCAAGGAATACAGTAAATGAAGGGTTAATTAAAAACCTCAAATGAAAGATGTATGTGTTCATTTTAACTTTGTATAATTTTGGGTTTACTGATATATTCATTTCTCACTAACCACGCAATTCCTTGTTGATATTTAAAATATATTCCAGTAAAATGTTCCACATAACTTATACTTGCATTTACATTTGTATCCTAAAACAATTGTGTCTTTTATTGTTACACCATTGCACAAATCATTGTGCTGGGGAACACTGATTACAGCCCTGAATTCAATAGGAGGTGAGGGGGTTATCAAAGTGTTATATTCTTAAAAAGTTATGTACTAAAAGTGGGGCATTCACCATGGAAACCAGTAGTCACATTTCATTGCTGATTCCTCATATTTTATAATTTTGCACCACTTTTTAGAACAGAATGCTTTGTAAGTGAACCCCAATGTGTTTATGGCAGACGTTGAATTCAGAGCTGTTATAGGTTGAACCAGAGCTGATCCTGGGTGGGTGCAGGGGATAGATAGAGGCACAGCATGGGGTGTCCAGCACTTGACACTGACTCACCCCATGATCAGAGGTGAGTGGCAGAGCTGGAATGCAGAGGTTACAAGCTGACAAGCTGTTTGGGGACAACATGGCACTAGTAAACTATTTTGACCTAATGTCATAATGTTAGTGACTCTAGGACGGCTCTAGGTTGAATACAGTCCTTAAAATATGTGGGGGTTTTAACAAGTGTCAGAATTACAATTGGGATTACCATCTTACAATTAATTAAAAGTAGTATATTAGTTCGACTAGAGGTATGCATATAACACACAGTATGTGTGACTTGGAAATGTTTCCATCTTTGAAACTTGCCTTTTGTCAAAAGAAGATTGGGAGCTTCTGGTATACTCTCTTAAAAGTAGGGATTGATATTTACAATGTATTTTGGTTGGAACACGCTAATTCACATATTAGATCAGGGTTAGCCAATGCCAGTCTGCTAGGTATTTAAAGAGAAACTAGAGGCTAGGAATTCAAAATTGTATTTCTGACACTATAGCTACCTATAATGTCCCCTCACTCGCACGACCTCACTCCTCCCTTTTCTCCCCCGCAGTGCAGAACCCTTTTCTCACATACCGGAATTTAGCGCCGATGTCCTTTCAGCGCTGGGTCACGCTCTGCCTTGGCTTCTCCTACCCAACGTCGGCCTAATGCGCATGTCCCGCGAGAACAGCCCTGTAGGCTTGATGGAAAATGGGTTTTACATTGACACAAAAAAAACATATTTTAAGCAAGTCTGCCACAGTAAAATGCTGTCAATGGTTAGTGGGATAAGGCAAGATGTTTGCTTGGTAAATAACAAAAGATTAGGAAATGCTAACTATGCTGTAACCTCAAGCATTCATCTCTGCACTTTGTATCACTCTGAATGTTAATGCAGAATTTACACATTTCTGCTTTAGTGATATCAATTTCATCTATATTTTTTTTACTATCATTTCACTAAAGACTTTTATAGCAAATTGTAAAGTGTCTTTGTATCAAGAAAATATAGGTAAGTCCCCCAAACTGTTTCAGGGTTATTCACTAAAGCGAGAATTCAAAGTGAATTGCAAAGTTAAGGTCAAAATATTTGAACAGGAAAAATTCTCATAGTCAATTAATCTTTCAGTTCAGCTACTCTGGCCTTAAATTTGAAATTCACTTTGAATGATCACTTTAAATAGCCCTGTTAGTTTCACCATGTACCTAAAATACATCACAATTTCCTGAGACATAACAGGGCAGTCTAAGCACCATTATTACTAGAGTCCATTGTTGTTAGAACTAGTACTAAATGGACGAAGTCCCCTGATTCTGTGACAAACCATTTTCAAGCAGTTTGATAAAAAAAACAGGCAGCCTCCAAGCACTTATGCCCCTGGGCCCTCACTTGCCATATTGTTAATTGAGAATTTACACATTTCTGCTTTAGTTATATCAATTTCATCCATATTTTCCTACGCTTGATAAACCTCACAAAGGCAAGCTAAACCTCCTTTTTTTAGCTTTACAAATGTAATTGTAATATAATTGTAAAAAAATCAAATGACTGTAATGGAGGGAGGCGGGAGTGAGCACACAGAGCTGAGCATAGAATGCAAGGTGAGAATACATATTTTATGGCTGTGTGCACCATAAATTATACTTAGAATTGAAGATTATGCTAGCGCAGTGTACTAATAATCTTAATTTTAATAATGACAGGAGGTCGAGTATTTTGCATTTACTTTCTTTACTAACTCCACAGCAGCAAAGAAAAAAACAGTAGAAACAATCAGAGCGAGTCAGAGTATATATAAGTCCAGGCATAGCCAATCATTTGGCGATTCCCCAGGTAGATGCTCAGCCCTGATCAAGATGTTGTGTGAGAAGTTCGCTAGTGTTTGGGAGCGAGTCCCTCCCAGATGGTTGATGTATTGTACTGTGGAGACATTGTCCATCCGCAGTAGGATACAGCAGTCGGATTGTCCTTTCGCCAGGCTTCACACAGATTGTGTGAACAGCACGCGAAACAGACAGGGAAAGTGGCGAACGTAGCCACCGGGGGGGGGGGAAGGAATGTCTCGACAGGCTGCCTCCGTGTGTGTGAGAGAGAGCCTGAGTATGAGCGACAGGTAAATATACAGATAAATATACAAATACAGTCTACACTTGCTGGGGACCTAGCAAGGGACCCTCTACCGCCCCCAGTGAAGCAAATATACCATATACATCAGTATAGATATACATAGATTTTCAGAAGCAGTACTCTGACCTGACTTGTGATGGAGCAGCAAAGAAAGAGGAAATGATTGGCTATGCCTGGACTTATATATATACTCTGACTCGCTCTGATTGCTTTCTTTGTTTCTACGTTTTTTTTCTTTGCTGCTGTGGAGTTAGTAAAGAAAGTATATGCAAAATAAGAAACCTCCTGTCATATTATAACATTATGCAGCCCGGATTCCAGGCCACCAAAGTCACGTGTGCTGGGAGTATAACTAGCCCCCAGCACACAAGTGTAAATATCTGTGAATGTGCAGTGCTTCAAGCAGAAACAGAATCTAGACGACCATGACCACTTCAAATCACTGAAGGGTTGGAGTAACCCTTTAAGACACAAGTGCGCTTTTTCACATTGGACATATTATAGAAATGGAGTTTGGCCTCATGGCAACCAACCTGGGAGACAGTCAGAGTTATACTGTAAATTCAAAATTTTGCAAATGAAAATGTGAATGGCGAAATTTAGGCTAAAACAACCAAGCTTTGTTGGAGCTAGTTTTTTTTTTCTGATCAGTCATTTAGCCTTAAATGATGTCATTTGGATTTAATTCAGATTTTATTTCAGTATGTATGTGTGTCATTTTCTTGAGTTTAAAATACACATTTACAAGTATATTAATGTATGTGTAGTATATTTTATGTAATGTAAATCAAAGGATATATTTGAGATAGCACTCTTTGACACACACTTACTGACCCTCCCCCACACAAATATATTCAATAGCACAATCATTCACTTACTAGCACTTATACTCTGTCACTGACTCATACCCACATTCAATGACTTTAGCTAAACCATTTATAGGTACAGTGATCATTTTAATCACTTAAAACTATTTGTCTGCTCCATAAAAAAGTCTGTATAAAAAAAAAAAAACAGCAATTTGAACTATAATGAAATATACATTAAACAAATTTGATGCTGTTATTAATTAAATGCTAGTCATTATATGTTTATTACTTGACAGGTTGCTATTTTAATCAAGTTATAGTAATGGCCATTTAATTAATTTCACTTAAAATACTGTAACTCAGTACTAGGAAAAAAAACAAACCTGACAAAATCAAACTTTGTTGGGGATCATGAGGGAAAATAAAAGCAATTTTAAACAGCATTAATGGCATTTTGGACTGCAGAAACATAGGATTTGGTGCAAAAATCATTGCTAGACATATGCAAAGAGGAGTCATTGTTTGTGCTTGGTAAATAAGAGAGATATTCTGCTTCAACTTGAAACAGGGATTCCTGTTTTTTGTTAAACTGCTCAAACGGTTTAACACAGAATCAGCGGACTGCACCCATATCCTACTAGCACGGTAACAACTACTACAGCTGTAGTGGTTATGGTGCATAGACTGCCTCATTATTTGCCGGTTTTTGTTTCTCAAAACTGAGGTAGTTTAGGATCATTTAGCAACATATGACAGATCTAGAGCAATGAACAAAGTCTTGTCAGATTGTCCAAATAATCCAGCACTTCGTTAGGACCACTCAATGGTTAACCTCAGGCAACCATTTTAGTTCCCAGTCCCTGAGTTCGCCCAACCACACACATGTTGGCAATAAATACTATTTATACACAGACTACTTTCATACACCAATCTGTGCAAAGTACTCAGAAGTATATTCACAGAACTTCAAAATCTAGATAAACTAAATCTGCTATTTTCAAGGATTACTACTTGTGACCTAAGAAGGTTGTCAATTCTGCATTTAAAAGTGCTTCAAGTATCCTCTTTGCTGTTAAATGTCACTTCCTCAGTCCTTCCCTTTTCTGTCTTGTTCCTCTCTGTTCCCTTCTTTTGACAATTTTCATCTTATCTATTCCATGTCACAACCCCCGCCCCCACTCTATACTTTGGCTTCACCAGACCTTAAAGCATCCCCACAGAGTCCAACCCCCTCTCCCTTTTGCCTCAACATACACAGTCTCTTCCCTCCCATTAGTCTCCCAGTCATGTTCACAAAGGAGGCAAAAAAATCTATTGGTGTGGTAAGGTTGGACTAATGATATGTATATTTTAGGGGAAATAAATTGTCCACCATGATTGTATCTCCAATATCCGCTATCCACCTCTCGGCTATTGACTGGAGATGCTCTGGAAGGCTGTGCAATAAATCATGTCAAGATTTTAGAATATTTTTGAAAAAAACAAAAAACTTTAAACAGGATTCCTGCTGTCGGCCACTAGCTTTGCATGGAGCCATCACATCCTGAAAATTCTAAAAGACAGGCCTGTGTTTTTCCATGTTTTTATGGGTGTCATTGGGTAAGAGCATCAGATGGTGGAGTCAGATCTCTAAAGTGTATAAATACATGTATCTATGGGTTCGTAATCGACATCTCTTTCGGGTTAGGAGTTGAAAGCAGAGGTTAAGTTGGCAGAACCCAGGCAGAGTTCCAACCATATTAAATGTCCCCTGCTGCCATTACATGACCCACAATATCTTGTGTGTCCTGACGGTGTAAGGGTTCTGTCCCTTTAAATAACATGGTGCAGCATCTTATGAAATAGGGAGTTTTGTTCAGTCCATAAACTTTCAACACTCAAAATATAAAAACAAAGCATGGGAAACTAAAGCTGGGAGATTTGTGCATCTGTGTTCCCTGATGCTCCCTAGCTACTTTCAGACCCGGAGAGAGGCTTTAGTTACCATTACGGACTGCTTGTCCCTCCGGGTCTTCTCTCTACACGCTGCCATCTTCAATTTTCTAAGATGGCAGCGACCAGTTATGTAATTAATTTCATAGCCATAGCTGAGACTGTGCTAAAGTTAGCATTGAGGAGTAGTGACGTACCGCAACAAGACGTGAAGCGGTGCAGGCAGAGTACTTGAACTTGGGCCAATGACAACGCTGACAAAAGCAGTGACTCCACCCTTGGTCAACTTTTGTCAGCCTGCTGATTATACATAGTCCCTACTACTTTGAAATTAGGTACTTAGGAAGGACTAAGTAAGGGAGTGATTTGGAAAATGAGAACAAGATAAAAGTGACAGATCTGCTTTCACCCATTCCGTGCCGTTCCCATATTAATGGGCTTTAAATGGCTTTAAGTCCCAGAAGGTTCACTGTGCTCACTTTCGCCATGATCCGTGTCTGGGGGACTGTCTGACAGCTTAGGTAGTCCCCCACCCTGGTAAATTAGGCCCCCACGGGCCATGTGATTGCTCTCACAGACTTTGTGACTAAGTGGCTACTAAAAAAGACTGAACATACCCCATTTTGAATACCCTGAGTTGTCTACTTTTTCAGATGACATGCCATGATGGGGGTAATTTTCATTCCTGGACTGCTACATGGTATCAAAATGTCACAAACTTACACCTATCCAGCACCCGTGCCGCTCCCCTCCTTCGGCCACGTGGGCAGAAAGCACCACGTGGCCGCATTGCCTCTGTCCTTGGGCCACACATCCCAAATGCTCCATGTGGCTGCGCTGCCTGAATAGATAGAACTTACTTTGGAACAGCTCCCTCTGCTGGTTCGTGGAATGAATGGCTCCCTCTGCTGGTTCTTGGGGGACGAATTGCAGCCCATATATATATATAAAATATTTTGCCATGACTTCATGACCTTAAAGGGACCACGTCATCTAGACGACCCAATGCTGTTTGGGGACGCAGAGATGACGTGGACAAATGGGAACTCTTGTGAGCCTCTTTAAGGCTTGTTTGGTTTGGCCTTCATTCATTGCACGATCGTGGTTTCTGTTTAGATCTTTGTTTAGTGTTCCTAGTAATTCCCTTGTCATGTCCTGTGTTTGACCTCGGCTTCTTATTTGACTCGTGTTTTTTTTTTGTATCCTGACCGGCTTTTTCTTGACTCTCAGTATTTCTTTTATTCCTGTCCTTGATTTATCTTGACCCCATTTCTTGTTTAATACCTTAAGATCCGCCATTCTAAGGCTCGGTAATATGTCTTTCGGATCCACCTTTTGTGGGTTTCCTCTTTGCTGCATGTTGGGGCACGACTCCCGTGACACAAAGGCAACATAACCAATCTGGAAAATATTAATGTGTATAAAGTGAAAAGGGGATGGTGCTATATTTGACCCTGTAAGTTTCCAAAACCCCATAAATCTCTACATGGGGGGACCTCTTGTACTTGTGAGACATTGCTGAACACAAATACGTGTGTTTTATTGCAGTAAAATTTAACAGTATTATAATATTCACAGTTAAAATGCCAAGCAGAACTAAAAATACCAAATGTCTTAATTTTCACACTTTGTTTTAGATTTTATTCATATAAAATTGTTTTATGATTCTCCTCATATATATAATAGATGTGGGTGCACGTAATATGAAAGAGGTGAATTACAGGTGAATAGACTTATACTGCAACTTAAAGATTTTGTTTTGATCAAAACGTGTACAATTGGCTCTGTCCTTATGGGGTTAATGAAATACGTTTGCGAAAAATGTGAACATTGCCTGAAGATACAGCCTCCTGCTACATCACTGATCCATATTGCATGCAAAATAACCTTTGCACTATATTGTATGTTAAACAGAAAGCTTATTGTAAATAACCGGTCTGAAATATAAATCTTTAGACAGATTCTTCCTCCAAAAGCATTTCATTAAACTAAAACCGAGTTAAATAAATAAAATTAAAATATATATATATTTAAATAAATCCAATTTGAATTTTAAAAAAATCGATTTAAATTTTTTTTTTATTATTATAAAAAAAAATAAAAAAGCTATGTTTTTATCCACCTTTGAGTGAAGTAAATTATAAGATGTAAGTTATAAGAAAAACTGAAATGATCCTATTGCTTAACACAGTAGATATACATTGTGTCAGCCAGGTCTGTGTGTGTGTGAGTGCAGCACAGAGTATGAATGCTTGGTGTCACATTGCCAGCCTGGTGTGCAGAGCTCAGGGAGGGCAGTTCCAGTAGGTGGCCATTAGGGCAGCCAGTAAGATGTTGTACCTGCCCGGGGAGCCAGGCATGCGCCCTGCACACAGGAAGCTGGCAGGGTGTCTGAGAGGGATGCGTTCCCTTTAAACGCCGGGGCCGGGAGGAAGGTGTGTGGGTGACGTCACGGCCGGCGGTGCGGACGGATGGCCGCCCTCAGGAGCTTGTCAGTGATGGTCGGGGCGGCTGTGGCGGCGCTGGGCTCGGTCCTGTACATCGCATGGAGCCGGTATTTCCCCAGCCAGAGGAGGAGGAGGAGGAGGTACCTGATGGCTGACACCATCAGACACAGTGAGGAGGTCTGTATGGGCTCAGTGAGCACAGAGCCACTGCCATCACTGCTATATACCATGTACTGAGAGGGCTACACTGCCATCACTGCTATATACCATGTACTGAGAGGGGCACACTGTCATCACTGCTATATACCATGTACTGAGAGGGGTACACTGCCATCACTGCTATATACCATGTACTGAGCGGGGTACACTGCCATCACTGCTATATACCATGTACTGAGAGGGGCACACTGTCATCACTGCTATATACCATGTACTGAGAGGGGCACACTGTCATCACTGCTATATACCATGTACTGAGAGGGGTACACTGCCATCACTGCTATATACCATGTACTGAGAGGGGTACACTGCCATCACTGCTATATACCATGTACTGAGAGGGGTACACTGCCATCTCTGCTATATACCATGTACTGAGAGGGGTACACTGCCATCACTGCTATATACCATGTACTGAGAGGGATACACTGCCATCTCTGCTAAATACCATGTACTGAGAGGGCTACACTGCCATCTCTGCTATATACCATGTACTGAGAGGGCTACACTGCCATCTCTGCTATATACCATGTACTGAGAGGGGTACACTGCCATCACTGCTATATACCATGTACTGAGAGGGGTACACTGTCATCACTGCTATATACCATGTACTGAGAGGGCTACACTGCCATCACTGCTATATACCATGTACTGAGAGGGCTACACTGCCATCACTGCTATATACCATGTACTGAGAGGGCTACACTGCCATCACTGCTATATACCATGTACCATGCACACACTGTTATAGGAGGGATATACTGGGGATGATATACTGTTGTTGTATATACCATGTCAACAGTGGAAGGAAGCATGCCCTACAGCTTGCAATGCACATGCCATTATAGTAGCGTTCACCACGGCTTGTTATCAATGCAATGTTTTGTGGACTCAGGACATACTTGAAAACGAGAGAAATCTCAATGTATCTTTCCTGGTAAAATATTTTATAAATAAATAATATACACATTATAATACAATGTTCTAGGAGGGATGTTACTTTCTTATTCCAAGAAAAAAAACACAAGAGCTGATGCTTTTATTATATTTTTTTTTTTATTTTACATTTTTTTTCAAGTGATCAAAAATAATTTTCAATTTCAACAGCTTTGTTTACTTATTGTTGGTAAATTTACTGAAATGACTGACATTCCTGACATGTAAATGATTGCAAACTGGGATATTAGCTGTGTGTGTGTGTGTCTGTCTAGCAAGCTGTATGCAATGAAGCAATAAGACAAGAGAGCTCATAAAGTGAGGTTATTGAGGGTTACTATGCTTTCTGTACATAAGCCTTCTATTTACAATGTAAGAAAACATTCTAACAAGTCCGCTCACTAAAAGAGTGTGATGTGCACGGTCCTAAGTTACTAAAATGGTCTTACTGATCAATGTGCATAGGGCAAGGCTACTGCACATCTAACCTTTATCTTTAGCTTGTCAGCTGTCTTTGTGAGAAAAGGAAAAAAAACGATAAAGGGAGAGTTTAGACCTACCCCCAAGCCAGCTATTTTCTTTGTGTAGAAAGACTCATTAACCATTACAAGACCCTTGTCCCCTGCACAGATGTGCCCCGCACCATTCTCTGGGTAGAAAGCCTAATTCTTCTTCACTAAGCAGTTCCCTTATCTGCTGCAGGAAGTGACCGGCACTATTCTGCCATCTATCTCTCTGATAAGTCAGGGCTTGTTAACTTTTTTTTTAATTGGGGAACCCAAATTAAACACATAGAATTATCTTTCTAAACCGGTTCGTCAACTGTTGTTGTTGTTGTTATTATAATTATTATTTATAAAGTGCCAACAAATTCTGTAGTGCTGTACAGTTATCGGATGTATTTACTCAACTAGAAAATATGGATGGGGAACCACATGTTTTTAAGACTTAATGGCTAAATTTTGGTCTACATTTTACAGTTCCCTTCAAATTACCATCAAATCTCCGAAATGATCAGTTCACTGAATAAACCTTAATACATCCCTCCACAAATAATGAATAAAGAGCCCATTTATAACACATGCTAGATGTATTCTCACACATGCTAAGGGTTGCAATGTATCTGAAATAGTTAGGTAAGCTCACAGACACTGTTATTACTGTAACTCCATTATAGGATAACGGTGCAAAGGCTCACATTATACCCCAAAATGTGTTTAGGTCTCTAAACATGTGGAGATTACTTTCAAAGCCCATTTAAAGGGTTACTCCAACCACCATTACCACATCAGTGATTTGAAGTGGTCATGGTGGTAGTAGCCTGGATGTGCAGGGTTTCTGTTTGAAATACTGCACATTCAGAGTTATTTGCACTTTTGTGCCTGGGGTTAGTTAAACCCATAACACGTGCCTAATAAAATTAGCTTCATCCTCCTGAACCTCGACGTTGCTTTATTTTTAATTTTTAATCAGAATTCCCTAATTTCCTCTCAAAATTTTACTCTCCTCACTATACTTGCTGACTCTCAGATTGAGTGCAGACACTCTCAGCCGTCGAAACTGTCCAATTATAGGCTTCTCTGTGAGAAACCCGTGACTGGAACGTGGAAGGCCCCCTGCTGACGTCAGGCTGAGAAGAGAGATTTGCACTGGGAGCTTTGCCCGACGCTGGTTTACAGGTAAGTGTCAACACTATTGATATAATTTTGTTTCTTTTACGTTTCAAATGCCATTGTTAGCCTAAACAGTCTAATAGTGGCAAAGGGTTAGAGTAACCATTTAAAGGGTGAGTTGTAAACAAAAAACTGTTATAGAGCCGAAAGTTCTAAAGGATCACTAAAGACCACGTTATCTCTTTTAAGTGGTTTGGGTGCAGTGGTCTTGTCATTTTAACTCTTCAACTTAAAATAGAATTGTTTTGTAGAAGCAGCAATGCATACATTCATTAGTTAAATACACCTCAAGTGGCTTCTATCTACAAAATAATTAAACTCATTTCTGCAATCAAATGCTGCCCATTTGTTTGGGAGAGTGCAGCATTTGGCTGTGCATGTTTATCTCCAGTGCTTCTCTGTGAGAAGCATTGGATTGGACTATTAGATTATTGGTAAGCAACCTTCGGCAGATGTTGTTGTGGAATACCAGGTTGCCACCCAGCCAGTATTTTATGGTATTTCTGGAGATGCAGTGCACAACATCTGGAGTGCCTACCAGTAGATGTTAATAGGAAACTCTGCCTCACAAATCAAAGCTGTGCTCCAATTTTGTTCCGGAAGAAAAAATATTGTGTATCTTAGCTCATTTCCCTTTAACTTCCCCTTTTAAATGGCTTCCTGTTTCACAATCCATTGCGTGCTGGCACGAGCCATCAAATAGTCTGTGCATTGTGTTAATATGGCTTTTCATCCAAGAACAAATGTCCAAAATAACTTACTACACTAACTCTTTCATGCAGGGGAAATCCAGGATTAGATTGTATTGACATCTTCACCAATCTCAGCCCCTGACCTTATGTTCCCTGATCAGTGCCCATAGTGCAGTTATTATAATGCATTCCACCGTGCTGTCTCAACACAGCCAGAATGTGCATACTGCTGCAGATCTTTAAACCAGATAGAAAATAACCATTGTCACAAGCGTTTGATGGTGGAAAACACAGTTTGATTTTTTTTTTTTCCCTCTATTCATATCATACCCTTTTAATAAAAGCTAAAATTGTCTAGATTTATAAAAAAGGATGTTGTAAAAAAAATTTTTTAAAAAATTCCTTTCTCCGAGTGGTGTTCAAGCACATCTATGTGAGTATGTATGTATTTATTTTTAACAATGGACTATGTTCTACAAAACATACCTAAAGCGACATTTAGGATGACTGGATATCATTGGAGGGGAAATGGAACCCTTAGATAGACCATGGTCTTACTATGTCTAAGTTTTATTCTACTATACTCTTTTCATTGTTTGTATCTCTCCAAAACAGAACTATCTGGATCGTCAGATTCTAGTGCTCGGTTTGGATGGAGCCGGTAAAAGCAGCATTATACACACCATAAGCACCAATACCACAAGGTCCCATTCAGCCCCAACCCATGGCTTTAATTCTGCTAAAATTCTCAGCCAAGGACTGAGGATCGAACTATTAGAGGGTGAGTAAAATAAATATATAATAGCAAATATATATTAAAACTGTACTTTAGCTCCATTCCTTGGAGCCATACCACTGTGCAAACTGGCCACTTTATTTTTAGTACAAAATCATAGAGTGAGCAACCGCAAAATTAAAACCACTGACAGGTGGAGTGATCACATTGATTATATTGTTACATTGACATCTGTCAAGGGGTGGTATATATTTGGCAGCAAGTGAACAGTCAAAAATGGGCTAACAAAAAAGTCTGAGAGACTTTGACAAGGGCCAAATAGAGATGGCTAAAGGACTGTGTCATATATCATATCATATCCAAAACTTCAATTCTTGTGGGGTATTGGGTTAGTACCTACCAAAACCCACTGAGCATCTGTGGGATGTGCTGGAGCAACAACTCCGATCCATTCAGGCCCCACTTAGAAACTTGCAGGACTTTAAGGATCTGCTGCTAAAATCTTGGTGGCATATACCAGGACACATTGAGAGGTCTTGTGAAGTCCATGCCTCAACACATCAGAGCTGTTTTGGCAGCAAGAGGGTAACCTACATGATATTAGGCAGGTGGTTTTAATATTGTGGCTGATCGTAAAGCGTATTGAAAAGGGGGATAATTGTGAAATGTAAAGGATGGTCTGGATGATCTTCATTTATATGGATAATACATATAAGAATGCAAAACTACAACCATTAGAAATGCATGAAAGGACCACTATAGGCACCCAGACCACTTCAGCACAATGAAGTGGTCTGGGTGCCAGGTCCATCTAGGGTTAACCCTGCAGCTGTAAACATAGCAATTTCAGAGAAACTATGTTTTACTGAGGGTTAATCCAGCCTCTATTGGCTGTGTCACGGACAGCTGCTAGAGGCGCTTCTCACTGATTTTCACAGTGAGAAGACGCTGGACGTCCATAGGAAAGCATTGAGAAATGCTTTCCTACGGACTGTTTGAATGCGCGCGTGGCTCTTGCCGTGAATTTGCATTCAGTGCTGAGAGAGAGGAGAGTTTCCCAGTGCCGAGGGAGGTCCGGCGCTGGAGAAAGGTAAGTGTTTAACCCCTTCAGCCCGGAGGGGGGGGACCTAAAGACCCTACAGTGCCAGGAAATCAAGTTTGTTTTACTGGCACTATAGTGGTCCTTTAACAAATACTTTTTGTAATGAATATGTATGAGATCATAATGCTTTTTGAGCATCTCATGGCTTACCTTTTGATCTGTTGGGGGTAATCTTTAATACTCTTGGGGTAGAAGCACCACTTAAATGCTACAACCATACATAATCCGGGGGTCTGAAACCATCCTAGAGTGCATTTTTATGATGTCAGGATTCTTGAATACACATAAGTTTATGCTTACTTGAATGGTTTTTGGTACGATAGAATGTTTTTATTTCATGGCTGCCCCATAGTGCGAGGCTAAGCTTTTTTTTGTATTTTTTATTATTATTAAACTTTTATGTATTCTTTACAAAATACACATGGAGCGTATAATACAGGTCATCTTTTATTTTAGGCAAAAAAATAAAAATCCTTTTAAGTAAAGCTTTACATTGTAGGAGAGACTACCTCCAGTGCCTATTTCCCAGACGCACTTTATCGATTCACAGGGAGTTTAACGCTCTGCAATGACGCTGTGTGTGTCCTCGTGCAAACTGTAATAACGTCACTATACCCCCACTCCCTCTAGAATGTAAGCTCATTGAGCAGGGCCCTCCACCTCTCTGTTCCTGTATGTCGAGTTGTCTGGTTAAAATTACATGTCAGTCCCCACGGTGTACAGCGCTATGGAATATGATGGCGCTATATAAATAATAATCCAGTGTCACTCTAGTGTTAAGAGTACAGTTTTGTATTCCAAACACTGTAGTATTTCTTTAAAAGTTATTCAATACTGAATGGAAGGACTGCACAAATGGACTTCAGACACTATAACCACTTTGAGGGGGTAGCCATAAGTAATCCTATTAAAAAGTCTGGAAAGTGAGTTCCCTTTATCTGTGACCTATAGTGAATCGAGGCAAAAATATAAAATTACCTGGGAAATCTGTCTTCAACTTTCTAGAATTCAGTGGTTGGTGAATACTGCTGCATTTCTTCTGTTGGAATTGTTGAAAAGCTGGGAATCTCAGCAGTATTTTTGTGTGTGTGTGTGTGTGTGTGTGTGTGTGTACATTTGTGAGAATTTTGCAAAGTTTTGTATGTAATATAAACTCTCATTGTGTTTTGGACAGTTGGGGGTAGCTATAACCTTCGTACATACTGGCACCAGTATCTGAAGAATGCCCACCTAATGGTATTCGTAGTGGATTCCACAGATGACATTCGCCTGTGCTTGGCTAGACATGAATTGCACCGCCTTCTGGAAGCCGCGCCCCAGCTTCCTCTGCTGGTGCTGGCAAACAAGCAGGTAAAAGTATAGATTTATAATAAAAAAAACCTGCTTTTTAAATGAAGTTCAAACCCCCCCCCCATTTTACTACTTGTGCGGTAGGTTGTGGTGATTACATTACCTATAATTATAGGGCAGTAATGGCTAACATTGACACCATAAATTGTTTCTGGACTACATTTCCAGTGATGCTCAGCTAGCTTCTAGAGTCTAAAAGCTAGCTGAGCATCACTGGAAATGTAGTCTAGAACCAATTTATAGTGTCATGGTTAGCTATCCCTGCTACAGGGGTTATTTATCAAAATAGTTGATAGTGAATTTCACATTTTATGCCACAGTAGCTCTCTTGGAAAAACATTTGAATTTAGCCATATTGACATTAAGTTTTATTTATATCATTGTCTAACCATATCCAGGTTATTCACTAAAGTGAAATTCAAATTTAAGGTCAAAATAGCAGACCTGGAAAGAAGAAAAAAAAAAAAAATTTAGCTATGCTTTTAGCTCAGTTAGTCTAGCCTTAAATTTAAAATTCACACTTTACTAAATAACCCTGTGTGTAGTAATGGCCAGGCATCCCACTGCATTCCTTAAAGGGACACTATAGGGACCCAGACCACTTCATCACATTGACATGTTCTGGGTTTCAGAGAAGCTGTAACGTTATTATAGGGTTAAAGGGACACTCCAGACACCAATACTACTTTTGGTAGGTTTTGCCCTCACTATTACACTATATTTGCATGCTGAATTATTCAATACTTTCTTAGGGGGAAGCTCTCATCAGGAGGGGGAGGAGGTAACCCTTTCAACATAGATGAACATATAAGGGAATAGAGTTTTATATTCCTTTACAACACGCTCGAGTTTTAAAGTGTGTTTATGAAGACCAGGAAGTGGTATTAAGACAGTCAGCATACACCTGTGCTATGATGTTCAGGAACACTTCTCTCTCTTCCCCAGGACAGAGATACTGCACTTAGTATCTCCAACATTCGCACGGAGTTGTCATTACACCAGACTGCAGGTCAAAGAGAAGTGACATTATTAGGTACCAGTGCCATCTTAGATGGTGTTGGCCAGAGTACCTCCTTACAAAGTGTAAGGACTTTTCTGGAGGAGAAACTACACACTGGAAAAGAATGGACACCATCTGAGGTCAACCATGATCAGACTGCCCTATTCCAACCCTCACTGGACACCAACAGATGACATTTAGGTTCTCCGAGACGTCTAGACCTTTTAACCAGTCTCCTGTATAGAAATGGTGCCATTCCTTATCCCAACCTGTACTCCCACACAGAGTACAATGCTTGACAGCCCTGTGGGAGAGGGATGCTTAAGGTTTTTAAAAATAAAAATAAATAACTTATTTTATAATCTAGGGGAAAAAAACCAGGGCATTAAAATGTTTTGTTTACTATTATTTCAATTAAGTTTACAGTGACGTGAACTAGAGTTAGGTCACGTTTGCACCAAAGTGGCATTATAGTCCTGGGACTGATACACTGGAAGCTGCTACAGATAACCCACTCCAAAGAGGGCTGCGTTTTTCCCCTCCATTACAAGTTGCTATGTGGTTCCACAGTTGGAATGAGTCTTTCTTCCTTCTTCGAAATTCTCTTCTGCTGATTTGGTATTATAACTCCTTGTATGATATGCACATGGTAACAGGATAATCTTAATGGTCCCAGATGCCAACTTTGCCATCCATGACATGATTATGGGCCCTCAAGCAGTTAAGAGTCCTTGAGGACTAGGGCTAAGCTTTCTTTACAGAAGAAAGAAGAGCCTCATAATCCTTGAGATGGTGCTGTTTATACAGATTGACTTTCCTCTTGATCTGTTTGGGTGTATCTTGGTAATAATTCTTCTCATCTCGGGCCATTGCCTACAGGGATCAAAAGAGAAGATCTTTAGAGCAGCAGGTTGCTATTTACAGGCAAACTCTTCAAAAGCAATCTATACATTGATTTGATTAAACATGTAAGATTTTCTGTGAAGTATCTGGTTATTTTTATTAAACTATTGGGATTAATATAAAATGGCTATTGGCATGAACAATCCACATGTAAAAATTTCAGCCCCTTTCTGTTCTATTTTAATTCAACTTCCGGGATATACTTTAAACTCACTACATACGTAAACGTCTATTAAAACATGTAATTGTTAAAAATTGCTCTGATGTGGTGGTTCAAAATTAGTACATTTAGTTAAGTGGAAACCTGTGGAATATAGCACTAGGACAAAGCTTAAACTGATCTTGCTCACTGACTCCACCATTTATAACAAGGGGGATCCAATTCAACACAAACACTGCTGGGCTTCAATTACAATGAATGACCATTATCTTCAGTAGGAATCAGCATTGCCCCATCAAAAATCATCTAACTCAAGTTAGTGCACATGGGTTTATTCAGAAAAAAAAATAAAAAAATTATTTCTAGCAAGTTGCAAATGGAAGTGAAGTTTTAGAAAAAATAAATCTGTAAAATGTAATTTTTTTGCTCCCAAAAGCACATCTGTCAGTTACAGCAGTCATAAACCAGTCTGTTGCATGAAAAAGCCTTCAAGAGGCAGGTCTTACCTTGTAGTCTTCTCCATAGTTTTCCACCATGTGACGGACATAATAAACCATGTCTGAAGATATTCCCATGGTCTTCTTGGAAGGTACACTGGCTGCAGCTTCGAGACCTATAGGAACAGTAAAAATCATTGAATGAGCCAGTGTTAAAACAGAGTTTAAAGGGACACTAGTGTCACCAAAACAGCTTTAGCTTAATGAAGCAGTTTTGGTGTATAGATCGTGCTTCTTAAGAGTCACTGCTCAATTCACTGCCATTTAGGAGATAGATTACTTTTGTTTCGGTTTATGCAGTCCTAGCCACAGCTCCCCTGGCTGTGACTGACAGTCTGCATGAAAACGAAATGGTTTATTTTTAATCAGATGTTACTTTAACCCCTTAAGGGCACATGACGTGTGACATGTCATGATTCCCTTTTATTCCAGAAGTTTGGTCCTTAAATGGTTAAACATTTCCATCGCCTGCTCTGTAAATTGAGCTTTACACACATGGCTCCTGAGGGGGACTATCAAGATAAAAGAACAGGAGATTTAAATTAAACAGAATAAAAGTGTTAGAGGAGTCTTTACGGGAAGGGTTAGGCTATCACATGCAGGGAGGTGTGAATAGGGCTGCATAAAGTGCTTTAACTCCTATATGGTAAGGAATTTAGCAGTGAGACTGAATGGGCATGATCTATACACCAAAAGTGCTTCAATTAAACTCAAGTTGTTTTGGTGACTATAGTGTCCCTAAAGCTACTAAACTCTTAGAAAACATTGCAGTGTAGTAATTTGTAAGAAAGGCTAATATTGCTATACAAAAAAAGGAAATGATAGGCCAAGTTGCTACAAGGTGTAGGTACAACACGCTGCATACATTTTTAATTCACTATTTAATGCATAGTATTTTGCCAGTGGCGAGCCCTTCATGTAGATATGAAGATTGCAACTTTGTACAAGAAAATGAAAAATATGGGTGAGAGTTTCAGGTACATTGCAGTGGAGGCTCATTCCAGTAGAATGTAGTGCAGGAGCATCTATTATGGGTCACACTCATTACATGGACACAAAATGATTCAGATCTCATACCCGCTATAACATATGGCTTGTGAATGGGCTTGCTCTGTCCAACGTCTGTGTCTTTCACCTACAGAAAAAGGAAGAAGAAAGTTAGAAGTGAACTATTACAGTTAAAAATACATAGCCTAGGTTTCAAAGATAAGGTTAGATGTAAAAGCCAAGTATGATTATATTTAAGTTGAAGGAACACTAAGCACCAAAACATCGTTGGCTTAATTGAGTGGTTTTGGTTTAACCCCTTAAGGACCAAACTTCTGGCATAAAAGGGAATCATGACAGATCACATGTCCTTAAGGGGTTAAAGATCGTGCCTCTGCAGTCTCATTACTCAATTCTCTGCCATTTTAGAGTTGATGAGTCACTCCAGGTCTTTCAAGCATTTAAGCTTGATGAATTGCTTTGTGTTAAGAGTATATTCTCCCCACCTCCCATTTTACAAAAAGTGGGAGTTTAATAGAAATTGGCACTTTTATACATGAACCTTGTTACACACAGACCTGTTACTTCCTGGTTGTTTAGCTCAGTGGAGCTAAACTCAAGAGGCAGCAATTTCCCCAGAGCACTGGTGAGTCTGGGCTCGGACAGCCATTGAAAGTCTGGGCTCGGACAGCCATTGAAAGTCTGGGCTCGGACAGCCATTGAAAGTCTGGGCTCGGACAGCCATTGAAAGTCTGGGCTCGGACAGCCATTGAAAGTCTGGGCTCGGACAGCCATTGAAAGTCTGGGCTCGGACAGCCATTGAAAGTCTGGGCTCGGACAGCCATTGAAAGTCTGGGCTCGAAGGGGAGAGCTTGTAAAGGCAGACAAGAGGACAGCAGCTGTTTCAAGCAGTTTTTAGAGAAAACCCACAATAAAGAATGCATGCATGTTTTCATTGGGGTATATATACTAAACAGTGATTTGTAATTAATTGTATTTAGGCAGGGGATTGTCCTTTTAGGAGCAAATCCTTCCACACATCTCTTGTAGCTTTAGTTGTGACAAGGTAATTTGATAGTTTGATTAGTGTTGATTCATTAGTGTTTTGGTTGAAAGCCAGAATGTATGTGGTCAGGTGCAGATATAAATTAATGTGAGATAGGGGTTATAGACTAGCCTTTAAAGTAGAAGCTGTGAGGTTAAAGAAATTTAATATGGTATTTGTAAGAGAGGACACATTAATAAGTATACAGGGAGCATACCATTGTTAGAAAGGTTGAACATAAGGGGTTAAGTTGGAACAATTTTATTTGTGTGTGAGTGAAACAATTGGTCAGGGAAGTTCTTTGACTTTCAGATTGGAGTTTAGGAGTGTGTACACGAAGACTAAAACAGGGTTTGACAAATTCAAGGAACCACGTTGCCTTGGCAACAAACATGGAACTTCACAAGTAAAACATGTTACCCTGTCAGCTAGGAGATGAAATGTACATATAGCAATTTATTTCTCCCTGTACTGCCCTCAGGTAGGGAGAGGAGGTGGGCGACTAGTCTTTGGTAAGAGCCGTGTAAGCTACCTCTGCTACCACATCATGCGGAGACAGCAACTCATCACCAGGAGCTGGCTGTAGACCACCTAGCTTCTACTCACTACCAATAGGCAGAGGAGAGGAAAATTTCATTGCTAGGTGTATGTATGAGAGATATAGATATATAGATATACACACACACACACACACATATACGTATGGGTGAGCGAGCGGCAAGTTTTGTATGCATGTGTGTTCTTGCACAGACAACTTTCCTCACTCCATCTTAAACTGTATCCAGCTGTGCAAGTTGTGTGGCCAAGTACGTCTGTGTGTCAGGTTTAATACTTGGAGATTCAGCACCCATCACATATATCATAGGTGCAGGCTTCCAAGGTTATTCTCCAAACACATTCAAAGTGAAAATAATGGAGCCACAGCACTACAACAAAACCAAATAAAGATTTATTCCACCATTAAGAGGACCCAGCAACATTGACACATGCAGTGTGTGCTTGACAAAAACCACATGTCGAAAAGTTGCTGGGTCCACTGCAGCTTTTGCAAGCCCTAACCTTCAGGAACTGCAACTTTTGCAAGCCCTAACCTTTTTCTTGGAAGAGACTCATCTTAATGAGGAAAAGTTTTAGAGGATTCTCAATGTTATCACCTGTACACACACACCATTCTGAGCTGAGCGGGGGAAGGCAGGTGTGCGCAAGTCGCTAACCTTCCTGGCCGTTTCATTGGTAGGGCGAGTTCAGTTAGTTCAAGTGCTGATTTCTCACAGAAGTGAGAAACTAATGGGATACTCCTCACCCATATTAATCTGAAGTGGATATGGGTGTTGAGTAGTCTTTTAAAGATGGAGGCTGCAGTCGAAATGTATTATTAAAGGGACACTGTAGGCACCCAGACCACTTCAGCTTATTGAAATGGTCTGGGTGTAATGTCCCATGTCCCTTAACCCTACAGTGGTAATTATTGCAGTTTGAAAGCATGACCCAGCACCAAGGGACGGTGCCGATTCAGGTAAGTGACTGAAGAGGGTTTAACCCCCTTCAGCACTGCAGGAGGGGGGCCTATAGTGCAAGGAAAACTGCTTTGTTTTCCTGGCACTATAGAATCCCTTTAATGAACAGAATATTGGGGGTGGGATAATGCCCACTTCTATAATTCTATTTACCTGTGTCTTTTTGATTGGAATGACTTTGTTGGGGTCACCAGCCAGACCCATTTCTGCCAAATTAGTACCCACAGATCTTGAGTCATCCCAGGCATGTCTGATCTGTTCACTGAAAGAAGATAGCATAAAACATTACAATTAATTACATGTGCATATTGTGCGTCTAGGCATATGGTCCAGCTACACGTTTGACCAAGCAAATGTTACACATTTTAAATCAAAACGATATAGTTCAAGCACAATACCAACTAAACCGAGCTGTATTAGCTATGGTGTAAGGAATCCCTCGGCACTCTCCAACAATAAGTAGTCAAACCATTTTTGAATAGTGTGCACTTACCTGGGTTTCCCAGGTACCCCCAAACAGAACTATAAAGTTAAAACATCTCCTTTACTCAGTCAGTCAATGTAAAAAATAAAAATCCACAATCTAGAATAAATAATCATGTGCAACAAGTATCAAACCAGCATCACCCATTACAAAGTGGAAGTCTTATTCTTGTAGTTTGTGGTCTCTACATGAAGTGCTATGATAGGTTTGAGTTTGACACGGACCTTGGATGCGGTCTCCTGACATCTAGCCCTACTATACACAAGGACAGGTTAGTAAAACGATCTTTCCTTTCTAATAAGGAGGCCATCTTAATCTTGTACCTACTTAAAAGAGAATTCAGTGGCAGATGCTCCCAGCCAATGAATTCCATTCAAAGACAGGCAGAATGGATGTTGCTAATCCAAAATGAGGGACTTATGCTTTAGTGATATTGGAGGAAGGAGCCAGAGTAGATGCAACTGTGAGAACCAAGGTGTGTATTATACCACCTGAATATAGTTAGACTACCAGCACCTAGAATTCTATTTTAAGGAGTTGTTCCCCCCCCCCCCTCCCCCTTTCTACCTAGCAGACAATTAGTTAAAAGCTATGTATTTTCGAGTTGCACTCAAGCTTACAAAAATCACAAATCTATGTAGCATGCATTACTTAATTTCTAGAAAAACGACTGGGAAGTACCCTGCAGCTTCTTTGCAGCCAATTTGGACCGGTTGGGGATATCCCAGTCCACTATATAAAGTAACATCAACATACAGCCCACAGCCAACGCTGAGGGTTGCGGCCTGGTTCAGAAGACTGCTACCCTGATGGGACCTACAGCCAGAAGTGCTCTCCTGTGGTCTTTACTACTACTGGACTCTCTACTGAATTTTTTTTATTTTAAATTCTTTATTTATGAAACGATCAGACACCACAACATTATATGCAACATGATGCCATAAAGAACAACATCGCAATCACCAAAACAATACACATTACTTGTAAAAAACAAACAATATTGCAAAATCTGAGTACCAATCACAAACAGCATATCTAACATATGAATGTCATCCTTACAAGCTTGCTTACTGCGGTATCCCACCCATTTTATTTTAAGTAAGACAATAAATTCCCATCTGATAGTGAAATACACGATGATATTTCACGCTATCCATCCATAGCTACCCCTATAATGCAGTAAGAATTTGGCTAAATCAATGAACTAAAACTCGGTGTACAGGGATGACATTTATGCGAAGATATTTTAATAATAGCCTACCCTCCAAATATAGCTTCAGTGAGCCATATGGTACCTGGGTAGTAACCAGATAGATGTGAAAAAACAATATAAAGATAAATAAAGAAAAGAAAAGGTTAACCGAAAGAGGAGTACCAAAAGGGTAGAAGAGAAAGAAGAAGAGAGATTAGGATTGGGAGGGGGTATTATAGTGATTTTCCCAGAATGGTAATGATGCCGATACGATCAAATAGCTGGATAGCCACGAGCCGGGATGTTTTTAGCAAGTACCGCCATGCCAGTGCGAATAACTATAAACCGTGAACATCTCGTGGGATCCTGAGGGTCCCGCTTCGGAAGGGGGAGTAAAAGTGTGCTATGCATCCTGTTATCGATAGAGGTGTTTCGGAGTACGCAGGGAACGAGCCCGTCCCCCATTCCCCTAATCACCCACCCCACTAGCCACCCACGGGCTCCAAATCTTTTCCATTTTCTTCTTAGTGCCCCGGACCCTAGCTGTTAACTCGTCCATTATGTATGTATCCTTAATCTTTTGTATCACCACCTCCATTGGGGGGGTCTCTCCCTGTAGCCACACTTGGGCCATGGCCCTTCTAACAGCCAGGGTCACCTTGTGTAGTAAATTTTGTTCCGATCTGGACCAGTTCTCCAGCGATCTGGCCAGGAGGAAAACCCAGGGGTCTGGTTTGATCACCCTATCAAAGATATTTCCCAGTAAATCCGCGACCCGTTTCCAGAATTTTTGTGCCTCTGGACAGACCCACCACATATGTATATACGTCCCTTTCTGGCCACATCCTCTCCAGCATAAATCTGTATTAATTTTATTCATCCGGTAAAGCTTCGCCGGGGTAGCATACCACCGGAACATAGTCTTATAGGCTTGTTCTTGAAATGTGACACAAATAGACGAGCTCTACTGAATTTTGACTGCATCTGTGCGACCTTTTGTGCTAAGCTAGATGAACAAGGACTTCCCTCCATGCCTGCGGAACAAAAACGTGGCTCCCCGGGTACAACCTCTCACAGCACAGCCTACTAGTCTCAGAGCCTTCTCAACCACAAGGTTGGCAACTCAAGACCCGCAGACTGAGTATTCAGGCTCTCCCTATGAGTCAGGCAGGAGATGCTATTACACTATTGCTGTGCTTGGGCTGACTGGAGGAAGCCTGAACAGATGGATGATGGCGGCGGCAGTGACCCACCATCACTAGGCATTGGCTGACCGGTCCACACACCTAGGTTGCAGTTTGACGGTTTCAATCATATCTAACCCTATTTTACAAATATCTCTATACCCTAATTGTTCTCTTAAGGCATAGTTAAATTTTAAGACCTAGTGGCTCTTATACAAGTACCTTGCATTTCTCTACAGATCTTAAAAAAAAAAAAAAAAAAAGGTATATACAGTCTTTTACTCTGTATGCCTTTTCTAAGAACGGGAGAGGGAGGAGGGCATTTTATTCAGGGGGAAACAGGGCTTTCATTTAACATCAAATATTTAGGTATGGAACATAATTTATTATGAATAAAAAAAATAAATTGATTTTTAAAAATTCTTAGTTCATGTGACATTTTAACTTTGAATGTCAATACGGTTTGCTTTTACTGCAATAAAAAACACATTTTTATTTGGCGATGTCTCACGTACCCCCTATGTACAGGTTTTATGGTGTTCTGGGAAGTTACAGGGTCAAATATAGCAAGTTACACTTTCCAGTTTTTTCACGTTGAAATTCGCCAGATTGGTTACGTTGCCTTTGAGACTGTATGGTAGCCCAGGAATTAGAATTACCCTCATGATGGCATAATTGATGGGTAATTCTTATTCCTGGGCTACCATAGGGTCTCAAAGGCAACGTAACCAATCTGGCGAATTTCAATGTGAAAAAACTGAAACGCAAGCCTTATATTTGACGCTGTAACTTTTGAAAACACCATAAAACCTGTACATGAGGGATACTATTATACTCAGGAGACTTCGCTGAACACAAATGTCTTTTGTTTCAAGACAATAAAAAGTATTACAGCAATATTATAGTCAGTGTAAGTGCAGTTTGTGTGTGAAAAATGAAAAAAAAAAGTGTCACTTTAACTGGCAATATTGTTGTAATACGGTTGTGCAACACAAATATTTGTGTTCAGCGAAGTCTCCCGAGTAAAACAATCCCCCCCGTGTACAGGTGTTATGGTGTCTTGGAAAGTTATAAGGTTAAATGCAGTGCTAGCAAATTAAATTCCCTGGACTATTGGCCTGGGTTGGCAGTCGGGTCCCGCAAATTGTAATAAAAAAAATAAAATAAACAATGTAAAATTATTACATATATTTATGTAATAATTTTACATCATTAGGTCCTTTTTATTAATTAGAATTTGCAGGAAATGAAAGATAGAGATAGATCATATATATGATCTAAGTGTATTTTAATCTAAGTATATTTTATTTGTAACTAATTTAATTTTTTAACAGGAGAGGGACAGAGTGTCAGCCTGTGATTTTACATCACTGGCTGACACACAGGATCAGTGATCACAGTGACTGGCTGTCACTGTGATCACCTCTTGCAGATCGTGGTAATTGGCCACAGGGGGAGTGCCTGGGTGGTCATGCATGCCCCCCACCTCGATCTGCAGGTGGATCCTGCCTGCAGTTACTATATGTCAGTCAATAGGCTGACACATAAGCGATCATACTCTGCAGTGAGAGGCTGTCTCTGCGATCATACTCATACAATGTGCAGCACTGACATTCAGCTTCTCCACGCTCTGCATGGAGACACTGAACTTTCCCCATAGAGATGCACTGATTCAATTGTTTGGGAAAGCATTGGATTGGTTGAGACTGACAATTTTGATAATCTCAGTCAAGGAGGTGGATCTAGTCACAGCAATAATGTTTTTGTCTTATTTAAGGGGGGCCTGTAACCCAAACAGTGTTTAACACTATATGGTCAGGAATACACTTTTTTTTTTATTTCTGACCCTATTCGGTTTCTTTAAAAAGGTCACTAAAGTCACTTCATCTCAATAACGTGGTCTGGGTGCTGTGATCCCAAAGTAAGCAGCACCAAGTGAGCCCTAGGTAAATAAATCCATATTAATAATGTTAATGGCAACCAGGAAGAAACATCTCATTTTACTATGGAAAGGAACACGTTTGTATTCCTAATGCTTTACGGGACACTATAGGCATCAGAAGCAGTACAGCTTAATGTAGTTGATCTGGGGTCTAGACCCTGTTCCATAACAACTTAATTAAAATATCTTGTACCTTAAAACCCAAGTTCTCTGTTCCAGCACCAATTCTCCCTGTCCTTCAGTTTCCTCAAAACAAAAACTGGAAGGCTCTGCAGAATCAGGCAGTGGCGCCGCTGATTGATTTGTCAGCTGACGCTCTCAGCTAAATCAGTGACTCCCAATTCATAAAACTAGTTTGAAAATAAATTTACCTTTTCCAAATCAGTTTTATGACTTAAGAGTCACGGATTGGCTGAGAGCGTCAGCTGACCGCTCTCAGCCAATCAGCAGGGCTGCTGCCTGATTCTGTAAGATTCTTCCAGCTTCCCCATTTCCAGAAAAAAAAACAAAAAAACGGAAGGACAGACTTTGGGGTTAAGCCGTTCAAGAAAAAGTATAAGCCCTTGAGGTGAACCAGGGACCCCCAGGCACCCCAACTTCATTTTGATTAAGTTGTTTTAGTGCACAGAATGTTTCTTTAAATTTACACCATAGCGTTAGGCACCCATTAATAGCCATGATATACCCTCCTGAATTAAACCCCATACCGCCCATTAATAGCCACGATATCCCCTCCTGAATTAAACCCCATACCGCCCATTAATAGCCACGATATCCCCTCCTGAATTAAAGCCCATACCGCCCATTAATAGCCATGATATACCATGCTGAATTAAAGCCCATACCGCCCATTAATAGCCATGATATACCATGCTGAATTAAAGCCCATACCGCCCATTAATAGCCATGATATACCCTCCTGAATTAAAGCCCAGCCCACCCATTAATAGCCATGATATACCATCCTGAATTAAACCCCATACCGCCCATTAATAGCCATGATATGCCCTCCTGAATTAAAGCCCATACCACCCATTAATAGCCATAATATGCCCTCCTGAATTAAAGCCCATACCGCCCATTAATAGCCACGATATACCCTCCTGAATTAAAGCCCATACCGCCCATTAATAGCCATGATATACCCTCCTGAATTAAAGCCCAGCCCACCCATTAATAGCCATGATATGCCCTCCTGAATTAAAGCCCATACCACCCATTAATAGCCATAATATGCCCTCCTGAATTAAAGCCCATACCGCCCATTAAAAGCCATGATATGCCCTCCTGAATTAAAGCCCATACCGCCCATTAAAAGCCATGATATACCCTCCTGAATTAAAGCCCACCCATTAATAGCCATGATATCCCCTCCTGAATTAAACCCCATACCGCCCATTAATAGCCACGATATCCCCTCCTGAATTAAAGCCCATACCGCCCATTAATAGCCATGATATACCATGCTGAATTAAAGCCCATACCGCCCATTAATAGCCATGATATACCATGCTGAATTAAAGCCCATACCGCCCATTAATAGCCATGATATACCATGCTGAATTAAAGCCCATACCGCCCATTAATAGCCATGATATACCCTCCTGAATTAAAGCCCAGCCCACCCATTAATAGCCATGATATACCATCCTGAATTAAACCCCATACCGCCCATTAATAGCCATAATATGCCCTCCTGAATTAAAGCCCATACCGCCCATTAATAGCCATGATATACCCTCCTGAATTAAAGCCCATACCGCCCATTAATAGCCATGATATACCCTCCTGAATTAAAGCCCAGCCCGCCCATTAATAGCCATGATATACCCTCCTGAATTAAACCCCATACCGCCCATTAATAGCCATGATATGCCCTCCTGAATTAAAGCCCATACCACCCATTAATAGCCATAATATGCCCTCCTGAATTAAAGCCCATACCACCCATTAATAGCCATAATATGCCCTCCTGAATTAAAGCCCATACCGCCCATTAATAGCCATGATATACCCTCCTGAATTAAAGCCCATACCGCCCATTAATAGCCATGATATACCCTCCTGAATTAAAGCCCAGCCCACCCATTAATAGCCATGATATACCCTCCTGAATTAAAGCCCATACCACCCATTAATAGCCATGATATGCCCTCCTGAATTAAAGCCCATACCACCCATTAATAGCCATAATATGCCCTCCTGAATTAAAGCCCATACCACCCATTAATAGCCATAATATGCCCTCCTGAATTAAAGCCCATACCGCCCATTAATAGCCATGATATACCCTCCTGAATTAAAGCCCATACCGCCCATTAATAGCCATGATATACCCTCCTGAATTAAAGCCCATACCGCCCATTAATAGCCATGATATACCCTCCTGAATTAAAGCCCATACCGACCATTAATAGCCATGATATACCCTCCTGAATTAAAGCCCAGCCCGCCCATTAATAGCCATGATATACCCTCCTGAATTAAAGCCCAGCCCGCCCATTAATAGCCATGATATACCCTCCTGAATTAAAGCCCAGCCCGCCCATTAATAGCCATGATATCCCCTCCTGAATTAAACCCCATACCTTCCCTGTCTCCCCCCATCCCATATAACTCTCACTATTTACCAATCGATGCGAGGTGCGGATTTCTTTTTTAATTTCCGTTTGAGATTCTTCCTATTCACGTTGTACTGGAAGGTGTTTTTCCGCTTGACTTTCCCCATGGCTGGCCGGTTACTGCAAGGCAGACTCCCCAACCCACGGCAACACGAGGGCAGCAAGGAAAGAGCGGCGCCTTCATGTGACGTCACGGAGGTGCGACTCCCGAGAGCGAAACGTAAGGCAACTTCCGGGTCCGGATTGTTTTATAGAGCTAGTACAGACAGAGGCTGACAGAGCACCATGGGAGTTGTAGTTCTTCTCTATCGCCCACATGTTATTTGTGAATCAATATCCATGCAGTCAGGAGCACTTAAAGGGACACTATAGGCCATTAAAATATTCCATGGAATTGGTCTGGGTGCAGAGCAGGGTCTTAGTTCTCTTAAAGGGTTACTACAACAACCATCACCACTTCAGTGATTTGAGGTGGCCATGATAGTAGGAGTCGGTATAGGTAGTATTTCAGCATGAAACACTGCCCGTACTGAGATATTGGCAATTATGTGTCGGGGCAAGTTGCACCCCAAGCACACGTGACGTTCTTGGCTCGTAATGTAAATTCTGTGCTCAAATTACATCTGTTGTCCGTGCATACTGCATGCTGACAATTGATGTTAAAATCTTCCCCCTTGAGATAGATCTCGCAACCACTCTGTGCTGCTGCCCTCCATGCTCATTGATGGGTTTTTTTGTTATTTATTTATTATTACTATTTTTAAAGCCTCTATCCCTCCTACAGAATCCCTCCCTCACTGGCCTGGAGTGTACGCATGCAATGCAAGACGGCAATTGGTTCAATCACAGCCAGTGACTTCAGAGCGGAAGAGCAGCACTGCGAGCTTTGCTCTGATCTGGATTGAGGGAAAGTAAATCCTTTTTATTTCAGGTTTTAATGCAAATAGAGAGGGGGATCTTGCCCACAGTGTCCAGTAGGGCATATCTTGCAGGAAAGGTAATAGGATAGCATTAACCCTTTAACCCTACAATGTAAAACATTGCAGTTTAGATAAACTGCAATGTTTATATTGCAGGGTTAACACTGCCCCAGCTGTCTACCAGATGCTACAACAGTTCCAAAAATTGTTCAACTTTTTCATCTGGAGGAGGAGACCACCCAGAGTAGCGCAGTCAGTGCTGTGCCAGCCCAGAAATATGGGTGATTTAAGTGCCAAATCTTAAAAGTAACTATGGAGTAGCTTTCCAGCTGAAGTGGTAGAGGTTAACACAGTGAGGGAGTTTAAGCATGCATGGGATAGGCATAAGGCTATCATAGCTATAAGAGAAGGCCAGGGACTAATGAACGTATTTAGAAAATTGGGCAGACTAAGTGGGATGAATGGTTCTTATCTGCTGTCACATTCTATGTTTCTATGTGGCCTCCAGTCTTGTCCAAATGAATTCCTTTGCTAGAGCAGCTTCAACACCCTTTTGGGTGCAGCTACAGATTGATCAAATATGTCCTCACTTATTGCAGCAAGTAATGTGCTGTCGATGAGTTACATGCCAGCTAAACTAAAGATGCTCCTCTGCAGTACTATAGCTCCAGATATTTGGAACCATTGGGCCCCAAGACTCATGGGCAAGTATATACAATTGGCATATGCCTCTATTGAAACTCTATCCTTTCTCACTTCAGATCTTAATTTGCTGACATGGAAAAATAGTGGTGTCCCTAGAGTTCTAGAGCTCATGATAGGAGACTCATGACCTTTACATATGCACTTGATAAATTTGACATTCCCTCAAGGGAATTGTTCAAGTATCTGCACTTTTAAAATACACTACATACTCAGGGCTGTACGAAGTTAAACCCTCTACACCAAGCATATCAAACTCAAAGGCTAACAAGGGCCAAATAAACAGAGATGCAAGGGGTGTTTCACTTTCTATCCCACTTGTAAACTAATTGTAAGGTAATTCTGAGATGCTATATGGTACTGCAGCGGCTGGCATATTTTTCCAGGTGCCTCTCCTTTATGTTGGAGTTGTGGAGCCTCATACTGCAAATCTTCTAAACATGTCCATCACTAACCCTTTTTTGGCAAGAAGTTCAAAAATGTATAAATGAACTGGCAGATACAATCCTCACATTAAGTCCAGAATTTTACCTCCTCCATATGTTCCCTCCCTCTTTAAGGAGGCCGAAAGTAGATATGTTGCTACATATTCTCATAGCAGCTACTAAGGCAGTTGGGAAAAAATGGAAAAACACAATATCACCAAACATTACACAAGTTAAAATGTACTTAGCCTCAACCAACAGGTACAAGGAAATTACCAACCGAATGTTGGGTACCTTCCCCAAATTAGAGAGGTATGAACCAAGTGGCTAGCAAACCATTAGACTTACTATGCAAATGGAGTGTTACTATCGTCTTCAAGTCTGGTGATGTATTAATTTGGTTTTTTTTCAGTGTACCCAAATATTTATTTCGTATTCATATTTGTTATTATTTGCTATGATTTTTGTAATGTTTATATTTTGTAAAGCAGTTATTCATAAGACTCACTGTATGCTAATGTAATTATCTCATTTGTTAACTTGCATTCATTGGTGAATATATTGTATTGTTTTTATGCAAAACCTAAATAAACATTAAACATGAAAAAATGAGGTTAGTCTTCAGCATCTGGTGCTTCATCTGTCATGACCCAGCTTCACTGCTCACACGTACTCGAGCCTACAAAGCACAGGTCTGTCATGCAAAGTATCCTAGGACCCCATGGAATTACACATGCGTTCTGTGCGAGATACGTTTTCCATAGCAATTGCTAGAGATGTCACATTAGAAATGTCTAAAGTTAGACACCTTTTGTCAATTTTAGCATTAAGAGCTTTCTCCTCCTACCTTTCTGTGATGGAATTTTGGTGAAATGTAAATTTAGTAGGCCTGAGATTTCCACGTGGCATATGTGTATATTGTATCAGTTAGTTAGTTACACGTAGCTAGGATACTGTCATCAATGTACTGAGCATGTGCAAGAATGCAGGAACTGAAATCACATTCCTTTCTCCTTTGTCCGGATGAGCCATGTGGTCTGCCCATATGAGGAAATCCAAATCCTGTCCACCAATTGGTTAAGGGTATGTGCGGGTGGAGCTATTAATGGGAGGAGTTATAGTTCTATAAAAAGTATGTACTCCATGTGTTCGGCCCTCAGACCTGTTTTGGAACGTTAGTCCATCTGAGACCCGATCGGTATGTTAATAAAGACCTCTTACTTCTTGAAAACCTGCATCCATCTCTCTGTGTCTGGCTTCTGCAAGTTTACTCTGTTACATTTCCACTTCAGATTTCTTTACCAACAGTCCTGTTTTTGGCAGGTGTTCTGTTTGTTGTCTCCTTTCCAGGTAGAGTGGGTTCAAGGTCTAGACCCACTTTATGAAATCTGCCCAGCAATTTAGTTTAAGATCAGTAGTATTAAATAGTAACAACTGCAAACTTAATAACGGAGCTAATTTTAGCATAATATACTTTATCTCTGGGGATGAATAGGGAATGGTCTTTAGTAGGCCTGTCAGTAATACCATTTGTGTCAGTGACACGCAGCTGCTCTCCCCCTCCTTCCCAGGTCCATAACTTCCAAAATCTGAAAATTTGTATGTAACACTGCTTCAGCATGATAGATCACAAGCATGGTCAATAAAGAGATGTTTGAATTTAAAGGGACACTATAGGCACGAAATCAACTTTAGCTTAATGAAGCAGTTTATGTGTATGGATAGTGTCCCTGCAATCTCGCTGCTAAATTCTCTGCCATGTAGAAGTTAAATCACTTTTTTTTTTTTTTTTATGCAGCCCTCGTCTGGCTGTGATTCATATGCATACATACACATGCAGAAAATGTTTTTATTTTCAAACAGATGCTAACTTGCTTTAGAAAATGTTTTTTTTTTTATCCTGCTCTGTAAATTAAACATTAATCACACTCAGGAGACTCATTCAGGCTGTAGCAGGTTATTAACAGTGCAGGAGATAAGAAATTCTAAATAAACAGTCCGTGCAACAAAGCCATATTAGAAAACCTTTTTAGGTCAACTAAGTTTTTATTTTGGCCTAAAATCCATCCACTTTGAATTCACTTTAAATTATTATTACAAATCACACTTTAGTGAATGAGCCAGTATGCCCTCTGTAAAGCAATTCATTTTATCTTGGATATACTGTGGGGAGCATATCAGTTTTCCCAATGTTTTAAAAATATGTGTGCTTTTCATGTCTGACACTCTGTGGCCAAGAAAGGCCCACCACCGATTCCAACCAGGACTTTCTGTGCATGGAGTGCTTCAGAAGCTTTATGGAGGATTTTTCTCTGGTGTCCCCTTCTAGGCACCGCAGTGGAGAAGTTCAAACTGGGACAACCAGAAAGATGTGTTTAAGTCCACTAAAGTCAGTTCTTACTTGATTACAAGAATATCTCCGTTGTCAGTTCTCTGGCTGTCCATAGAAATGACATATGTTATCTATAACTTTTCCCCATGAGTCAGGAATACTATGTAACTGTAGACCTAGAGTAGATGGACTTCACAAGCCCAAACCTTTAAGAAGTGGAACAAAGTTGGAGTAGATTTTGAGCAAGGCTGGAACATGGTGCAAGGGAATCATGCTATCTGTTAAGGTTTGAACACTGTGTAAGTTTGCTTTTAGATGTGGAGCAAAGTTGGAGCAGGGTGCATGGAGGACATTAGCAAGGTGCAGGGGAAGTTTTACAGGTGAGGCAAGGTTGGAGAGGGTGCATGGCAGATGTTTGGAGCACTCAGCACAGTAAACAGAAATGTGTATGGTTGCCTGTTGTGATGTATGTAGAGTCTATGTTGGGGAAGACTACTTGTGATTGTGCATGTGAGGGTAGGCTGTCTGAGTGTTGTGTGTGTGTTAAGATTGTGGTGTTACATGTTTGCAATATCTGTGGGGATGTACTTATGATGTTAAGTAGGGAGCATGTCTGTGGTATTTTTGAGGATGCTGCTTGTGGTGTTGTATGTTTGTAGGCGTTGAAACTATGTGTGGGGTTGTTTATGTGCATAAGGTTGTTTGTAGTGTGGTGTAGTGTGTGGAGAGGGATGTTTGTGATGTAATGTGTATTAAATGGGCTTGTGTGTGTTTGTGGGAGTAGGGGCTGTAATGTGTGTGGGGGAATACGTGCTATAGTATGTGTGTGGCTTAATAAGGGCTCTGGTGTATATGGGGGGAGAGTATGGCCTGTAGTGTGTGGGGGAAATAGGGGCTGTAGTGTATAGAGGAAAATGGGAGTCCTAGTGTGTGTGTGTGTGGGGGGGCATTGGGGCTGTAGTGCATGTGGGGGCAAAGAGCAGCTGTAGTGTGTGTGTGTGGGGGGGGAGGGGGGTTAATAGGGGTTTTAGTTTGTTGGAATAGGAAAAGTATTGTGGGGAGATATGGGCTTCATTGGGCAGGGGATGGTAACAATATTCTGGGTGGATAGGGGCAGTATTGGGGAGTAGGTGTAACATGTTCATCCTCACCTTGTGGTGTCTGTAATGGCTACTACTTTCCTGTCACATCCTGCTCTGTTCTGCCTTGGCTTCTGGTATCCAGTACTCTTTTTACAATTCTTGTTTAGTTTTTCTTGATTTTTCTGGTTTTCTATTCCATGTCTGGTTTTCTTTATGCTGGGTTTTCTGGGTTCATTCATGTATTCTGTTCCTGGAATTCCCAGTCTCTTGGATTCCACACCCGTTCCTTTCCCATTAATCCTTTTTGTTTCAGTTGGTTTTTGCAGGCAGTTGTTCCAAGTCCTCTGCCCTTTTCTTGCAGGTAAGTGCAGTGTGTGTTTTATTATTGTTTATTTAGTCATGCATATCTAGGCAGATTGGAACCCACCTTAATTGGAGTACTTTGACGCAGTGGTGGGCTGCATAAATCTTGGCCATTTATGTATGTCTAAATCTCCAATGTTTTACATATATAGTACTTAGTTATGTCTCCTCTTGTTTTGCCTTGTATTTCTGGTCTTGTTTTATTTTGTCTTGTATTCCCAGTTCATGTACAGTCCTGTCCTGTCCTACCCTGTTCATGTTTTCCTCATGTCTTGTGTACATGTTCAGGGTCCTGCTTTCTGTCCTTCTCCGGTTCTGGGTTCTTCTAGTCTTGTCTTGTTTTCTTGTTAGGTGCCTGTTCTACTCTTGCCTTGTTTCTGTATTGGATACATGTCTGCTGCAGAGCCCCCCTATCCAGTTCCTGGGAGGTCTGCATATCAAGCTCCTAGCTCTTCGGATCCGCAGAAGCTGCACCAGGGCCCTGTTATGTGGCCGCACAAACGCTGGTGCTCAACACCAGGGGGCGTGTGGTTACCCTGCACCAGGCCCTGATAGTCCATTACCATGCTGAGACTCCTCTCATCACCAGGCACTCGGGGTCCCGTCTCCGTACTGCCACCCGTGACACTTCCTGGCATTGATGAAGATGCTAATCAGCAGCCCTGTGCCAGTGTATCTGACTCCTGCGGCATGTTGAAAGACGCTGGCCACTGCGGATCCAGACCAATTTGCAACCCCACATCCACCCACCGTATTGACTACATCAACGTGCGTGTGACGTCACGCAAAGGACACACACGCACGTTTTTTTTACGGGTCACTTCCTCCCATCTTACTCTGCGCGAGAGACAGCCGAGCAGAGGAGAGGCATCCACTCCCATCATCCCCAGCCACCCTCCTGCAACTTAAAGGTAAGGAAGAGGAGGGTGGCTGAAAAATGAGGTGTATGTGTGTATGTATATCAGAATGTATGTATGTGTCTGCATGTGTGTATGTCTGTCAGTATGTGTGTATATATCTATGTATGTATGTATGTGTGTATGTATATATATGTCAGTATGTATGTCTGTTTGTCTATGTCTGTCAGTATGTATGTGTGTATATATCTATGTATGTATGTATGTATGTTTATATGTCAGTATTTATGTGTGTGTGTGTGTGTGTGTCAGTATGTATGCCTGTATGTATGTGTGTATATATCTATCAGTATGTATGTGTGTATCTATCTATCTATCTATCTATCTATCTATGTATACATATGTATGTATGTCTGTTTGTGTATGTATGTGTGTATATATGTATGTATGTATATATGTCAGTATGTATGTATGTCTGTGTGTGTGTGTGTGTGTGTATGTCAGTATGTATGCCTGTATGTATGTATATATCTATAAGTATGTATGTGTGTGTATGTATGTCAGTATGCATGTGTATATGTCAGTATGTATGTATGTCTGTATGTACATCAGTATGTATGTGTATGTATGCCGTTATGTATGTATGTCTGTTTGTATGTATGTCTGTTTGTCAGTATGTATGCATGTTTGTGTGTGTCAGTATGCGAGTATGTATGTCAGTGTGTGTGTGTGTGTATCTGTATCTCCTTATGCATGTGTGTGTCTGTATGTGTCTGTATATGTGTGTGTGTCCGTTTCAGTATGTGTGTGTCTGTATGTGTCTGTATATGTGTGTGTCTGTTTCAGAGTGCGTGTATCTTTCTGTGTGTGTGTCTGTGTCCATTTGTGTCTGTATGTGTATTCCTGTGGGCGGGATTTGGAGGCGGGCACCCGGAGGCCCAGACCTTGAGCTGTTTCTGATGGCGGCCCTGTTTCCCTTAGTAGGTTATCCGAGAGTGTGTTCCTGAGCATTTATTTCTGGTTATTAACTTTGGTTTCGTTTTGACTTCCCTGTATTCTGGTACCTTTGACATTTGGCTTTCCCTCATCATTGTGCCTCATTCTGTGTCCCCAACCTCGGCAAGTATTCTGACTATTTTCTGGTACGTTAAGTCCGGCCATTCTAAGGCCCGGTAAGACGTTACGTTTAGTCCTGGGTGTATACAGTTCTGTGTGCTGGATCAACTAGTAACCTGACAGTAAGGGATAAAAATTAAGTTAGGGATAAAAATTATTATTAAAAAATAAATCAAGTTTATTCCCCCTCCTTCATACTTACTTCTCACCGTGACATCCAGATGAGGTCGCCCCAGAAGTGCCCAACAGGGGATTTGAACATGTGTACTTTGCAGTCCTGGGCCTGCTTTCCTGCCTTTAAGCCACAGCAGCTCGTATACCTTGGAGTATTTCTAGACCTATTTAAGCTGGCTATGTCTACCGGCACTAGGAGGTTGGACTTTTTCTGTGACTGCTCCTGTCTATCTCAGTCCACCTGAAGCAGATGCCTAATCTGCCAGGTATATAACACTGCCTCTCTCTGAGGGCAGTGTCAGTTCACTGACTCTGGTTCATGTATTTGTGTTCTTGATCCAGTGTTCTCCAGGTGGCTCCTGACCTCTGGCATCCTCTGACCTTGGCTTACCCTTGTTTATCCTGACCTCTGGCATCCTCTGACCTTGGCTTACCCTTGTTTATCCTGACCTCTTCCATCCTCTGACTTTGGCTTCTCCTCGACGATCCTCCTGCTTGTGTCTTTGCCTGTATTGCGACTTGGAGCTATTCTGCACAGACTCACAGACCAGGTGGCTTCTTATCTGGTCACCTTGGTCTGTGTTTATTTGCAAGGGTGAGCGTATATCTCTGCATACTGGTCTCCACATCAGGTAAGATCCCTGACATTACTATTGGCAGGGAGGGGAAAATGTAATTTCTGGTGTACATAGTGTCAGATCTACACCCCTGGAGGGTGCAATGCTCTATCTGGTCAATGCTCTGTGTTGAAAGTATGGTAATATACAGAGTCTAATTAGACAAGTTAGGTGGCTGCGAGGCCACACTAAGTGCGAGGTCTTGGGCAGCTCCCTCGCTTGGCCTAATTAGAGAGCTGCCACTGGTTGGAGCAGGGTGCCTGTTAGGTTTTGAGATTTCAGAGTTGGAATGATACTCAAATGGTGTTACAACTGGTGATATTATAATCTGCCAACTAATGATGTTCTAACACTCTATGTTTACATTCTACTAATACTCAAATGATGTGTGTTTTGTTAAATGCTATATCGCCATGTGCTCAGTAGTATGGTGCTTATTCAATCAGTTGACAATGTAAATGTGCTGTGGTGATTGACAACATTATCATTGAGTTATAAAGACTCACTTTTCTTTCAGTAGGGCAATTTTAATAGAGAAACCCACCAAATTTCCAATTTATCTTATGGAACATTAAGCAATGAGCAATACTGCATACCCAAATATACCAGGGAAAAAACATGGGAATGCAGGACAGAAGACTGAATTTGGGACTATTTTGACAGATCTAGAACTGTATATATATTATATTTTTATTATTTATAAAGCGCCAACAAATTCTGTAGCGCTGTACAATAGGTGAACTAATGGACAAGTATTTACAAGGCGACTTGAATGCACCGGAACAGAGGGGGATGAGGGCCCTGCTCGAATGTTCTACAGACAGTGGGGTAAAATGACAAAAAAGGTAATTTTCTGGATGTATTTCATGTATAGGAAGTATTCATCTGTGATTATTCTTCCAAGGTTTAGGTATTAAGAGAAACCAGAGCCGCCATTTGGCTTAAAGGATTTAATATTCATGTTGGTAAAAATAGATTAAACAGCTTAGTGCCATTCATTTTCACTATTGTGTCACGAATCCTCTCCAGGATCTGGAATTAGTAACATTATACGGGAATCAGGTTTTGATTATAAACGTCTGCAGTGTCAACATCATCCTTCATTTGATTATAGTGAGAAACTTGTGGGGAAAAAAAAGGTAAATCGTGTTGTATTGGATGTAAGTGCTGAACAATCTTCATTAGCTGTAAATATGGTTAATACACATTGAATTCAGATTGGAGGCGATTTCTTGTTCCTTTTTAGATGATATTTACTTCTTCTTGATATTTTTACATATCCAGTTCATTCCATCCTAAATAGAGAAATTCGTAAATAAAGATAATGTCCTGTCTGTGAATAACACATTAAAAAAAAAATACATACATTGCGAATATCAATGAACAGTATATAATAAAAGTCAAACATGATAACATTTGTAATTGTAGCTGAAACAGCTATGTCTATGTCTGTAGCAGTTAGTTGTGATGGTGCATGTAGCATGGTCACTTTAAAATGTTGACAAAAATGACTTCACTTATAGTGATGCTATAATTTTGCTTTATTACAGTGTCATTTATAGCGACCCAGGTTACTCATATAAACTACAAAAATGACATCTGTAATGGATGTGTATGTGGCACTCTAGACTGTGTCTACTTGAACGCAAATAGCAATACATGTAATGTACATCTTCACAGGCCCGTCACTTTTTACCCCTCATCAGCGTCCTGCTTAATGTGATGTTGGGAGGTATGCAATACCTTTAAATCGTTAAGCACAACTTAACAAATATACATATAGTATACTGCTAAAAAAAAAGAGGTATCCACAATATTACTTTTGGGCACATACTAATAACTATTAATAAGGTTTTTATTTCTTAAAGAAATAATCCCAGCACCATAATCACTATAGTACATGCCTCCCATGACCTAGCACCCACTGAATGTAAGTAATCAAACTGCTTTGACTTCGTACCTGGGGTCCAACGGGTGCCGCTACCTGCATTTTTAAGGCTGGGCTCTCACGCCTGGAGCTTTCCTTAGGTCAGCTGATTGGTCTCAGCCAATAAGCTAAGCCCTGCACCACAGTGAAGATTCCAATGGTGAGGTTGTGAGGAGGCAGGGAGCGGTGCCCATCAGAACCAAGGTAAGACGTTAAACCGTTAGAAAAGTGTATTGACTACTGACTACTACAGTGTGCTGTAGTGGTTATGGTGTTCATTTAAACTCTACCTTTTAGCTACCATATTGATAAAGCTGGGTTAATGACATAATGTGTGGTAGATGGGATGTAATATTTGAGCAGGCATTTGACTTCCATGCAATCAATGGGAATGTCATATATAATCGATGTAGCCTTTGTTTCATTTTAAATATGTCTCTGATTACCCCTAGCTGATATATTAATAATTTCGAAGCTGTCCGAAACCCCAAATGTAAGGCAGAAGAAATCAATCTTGTCTTATGAAAAATTGACAATGCAATGGTGCAAAAAAAACAAGCACAAAAAAACCTTCAAGGGCTTTTTAAAACCTTTTTTGTAATAACAGCAGCCATCACCATTACCAACCGCTGCTGCCGTTTATAGAATAAAAGATTTTAAAGAGCCTTAAACATTCCTCTATTTTTCTTTTTCACACTGTTGTGCACCCTGTTTTTTTTTGCTTGCACGTCGAGATCAGTGCTTCTGCATTAGTAAACTGCTGGTTATCACTGTCAAAAGGTAGAGGCACTGTATATTTCATGGAGTTACCTGTATGCCTTCTCCAGAGATTGCAGAACAGGCTTGAATCTGCCACGTTCTATCCCGATACGTATGCAGGTTTAATCCAGAGGCAATATCTGCAGCAGAGGCCGCACTCAGCAAATCCTGTTTGTTTGCAAACACTAACAAGGGAACCCCCAGTAGACTGTCTTCTTCTACTAGTTCTGCTAGCTCCTAAAGAGAACAAACTGTTAACAGCACAATTCCTTCTTTCACTCAAATCAACCAAACTCTAGAAGGGTAACGTTGAACAGGGCCAAAGACCACATGGGTAGATCAGGGGATACAATGGAAACATTCTAATTAATGACTTCTAGAAGTTCCATAGTGTCCTGCTTTAACCCAACCCAAGAAGTCAATCTCTACTACATGTGAATCCTGACCGGAAAGGGGTTACATAGATTTATACATATTAATAAGGAGGTGACCAAACAGTAGACGAGAATAAACTGACAATTGTTGCTAATTTACTAGAGCAGTAACATGGCACTAAACATATCTGGAAAATTACAGAATGCATTCATTAAAGGACCACTATAGTGCCAGGAAAACATACTCGTTTTCCTGGCACTATAGTGCCCTGAGGGTGCCCCCACCCTCAGGGACCCCCTCCCGCCCGGCTCTGGGGAAAGGAAAGGGGTTAAAACGTACCTTTCTCCAGCGCCGGGCGGGGAGCTCTCCTCCTCCTCCTTTCCTCCCTTTCGGCTGAATGCGCACACGCGGCAAGAGCTGCGCGCGCATTCAGCCGGTCTCATAGGAGAGCATTTACAATGCTTTCCTATGGACGCTTGCGTGTTCTAACTGATTTTCACAGTGAGAATCACGCAAGCGCCTCTAGTGGCTGTCAATGAGACAGCCACTAGAGGATTTGAGGGATGGATTAACCCATTTGTAAACATAGCAGTTTCTCTGAAACTGCTATGTTTATAAAAAATGGGTTAACCCTAGCTGGACCTGGCACCCAGACCACTTCATTAAGCTGAAGTGGTCTGGGTGCCTAGAGTGGTCCTTTAACAATGAGGGGAAGCAAGCAATCTCAGAGAAACTCTAGGTCAATAGGGAGTAAATTAATTGAACTTGCATTAGGTTTACTGATAGAGTTATTCACTAAAATGTTAATTGTTAGTAATTCAAAATAAACTAAAAATTCTGCTGAATTTCACATTGAATTGCTGACAGTTCTCACTTTAATCTATTATTTTGATATGCTATAGAACAGATAATAGACATTAACATCTGGTTCTACCTGTCCAGTTTCTTCAAAGCGTTTCTGGTCTGCACTGTCCACCACATAAATCTACAACAAAGAGAGAAAACACAGTGCTGTCAATTAACCTTAGTGGATTTTCTAATGGACAACAATGCAATAGCAAGATATTCCACGGTAAGAAGTCATATAACTCTAGAATCTAAGTTCATTGAGCAGGGCCCTCCACCTCTCTGTTCCTGTACGTCCACTTGTCTGGTTATATTTATACATTTAGTTATAATTACATGTCTGTTAGTTCATCCATTGTACAGCGCTAAGGAATCTGATGGCGCTATATAAATAATAAAATAATATCATTTCAAATGGTTTGACTCTTACTTATCCCGGGCCCTCTGGTCCGGCCCTTATTACTATTGCATAGTTCCTACTTCCAAATTAGTGACATCAATTGAGCCAGTGTTTGGACAGAATTTATTAACAATCATCAGCTGATCTACTCAACTGTTCTATATCGGAATATGGATGAAAGGCATAGTAATAGCTTTGCATTTTTTTTGTGTGTTATTTAAAAAAAAAAAAAAAATGTATTCATCAGAAATTCAAGGGGAGCTCCTAAATGGACAGTCTAAGCATCAGAATCATGTCTTACTGAAATGATTTTGTGGCATACATGCTGCCCCTGCAGCCTTGATGATGTAAACCAGTGGTAGTCAACCTTTTTCTTCCTACCGCCCACTAATGCATCTTTCTTGATGGAAAAATTTCCTTACCGCCCACCAGTTTCGCGCAAGTGCAGAATATTTGTTAGAAAGGAGGGCGTTTTAAAAAAAATGTACGTACATTTATCTTTTTATTTCTACTTAATACATGTTTATAATGTTTTTAACTTTATAAAGTTTAATGAGAAAACAAAGTAAATTGAAATTACCTTTACTAGTGATTAATGAGATCCTTGAGGTTGATGCTGCGAGACTAAATATTTGATATCTGGTTCGATTTTCGTAAGGAACAAACGAAGGTCTCCTCTTTCGGTGATATTCAGACGACTTCTCTGTTTGCGCATAATATGATTTCTCATCTGTGCGTCAGCTCCCCTCCTCTCCCTCCTCAATTCCCCTCCCCACCTTTTTTTTTTTTTTCTATTTTTTAACCTTACTTATAGCAATTCCCAGTAGAAAGGCTGAGCTAGGTAGCCCACTTACTATAGCCCACTATAACAGACAGGCACACATACATACACATACACATACAAAGACACAAACAGACAGGCACATACAAACATACAGACACATGCACACAGACACATACATAAGACACACATACATAAAGACACATACACACACAACACATACATACAAAGACAAGACACACACAAACAAACACACACATTATATTTAAGTCACCCTCCTGTTTCCTACCTTTAAGGTGCAGGAGGGTGACTTTCCCTGGGGTCCAGTGGTGGCTTAGGTGGATGGGAGTCAGAGTTCCCACTCTGACTCCCTGGTCTTCCTCCCGCTCGGCTCTCAGTGTTAGCTGGGAGGAGTGACGTGCAGTCACTTCCTTCCAGCTCTGTGATGTAATCACAGAGGGTCCGGTCGCGCTGTTAAAGCGCACAGTGCTGACCGGGCCCCCTCACAATCCACATCCATCGGGTGGCCCTGACAGCATGGGCCACCCGATGGACCCCTTGGACGGCGGCCCCGACGTTTTGCCGCCCAGGCCGGGGCCGCAAATGGTGATGGTGGTACCCGGTCGCTTGGGTACCGCCAGCTCGCACCTGCCCGCCCACCCAATCTCTCCAAATGAGGAAATCCCTACCGCCCACCTGGAATCCTGAAACGCCCACTAGTGGGCGGTAGGGACCAGGTTGACAACCCATGATGTAAACAGTGCAATTTCTGTGAATATTTAGGGGGAGACTTCAATAACAGAAAAGCTGATCAACACTCTAAAAGTGGAACAGTTACCATGGAAATCTGATTATAGTAATGGTTTCCATGGCAATTGCTCTGCACCATGAATGCCGCTTCACTTTTCTATCCATATGTTTTTAATTAATTTTACACATTAATATAATTGTACATATCGATAGTAACAAGTAGTACAATAAGTGTATAATGTAACAATTACAATATTAATAATACAATAAAAATGAAAAACAAAACTAACTACAAAAAAAAAAAACGGGGGTTTAAAAAAGCTGCTGTTTTAACCTCAATCTTGTAATTTAGATTTTCAATTCTCCACAATTGTGTATCTAGTCAATAACCATGTATGTCCATCAAGTGTGCTGTCCGAATGACAGTATCTTCACATGATAATAAAAGTTCACAATTATGAAGGTGCTAATTATACTTTCCCTTTAATTTTCTTCATATTTTATTATTATTACATTGCTTGTTACAAGCTTATGATGTTCATTTGGGTATTTCATAAATAGTAAAGGAAAACGCTTGGGATTTTAGATGAAATATTCCTAAAGTTTACTTGTAGAACAAAGTTTAGACAAAAAGTTGATTTGGAAAACAAATTCCACTGGCTATAATAACCGCTCGTGTATTTTCGCCTACTTTCTGCAGTTTGTTTTTTGAGTCAATACAATTGTGTGTTTTGTGTGTTCACATGTTTTTCCAAGTTAGAATGACAAACAACTTACTAGTAGATCTGTGCTTCCAAGGTACTTCTTCCAATGTGTTCTGATTGCTCTTTGACCCCCGATGTCCCATACTGTTAGCTTTAATCCTTGCGATTGGACACTTTTGATGTTAAAACCCTGCAATAAGATCACTGAATAAGTTACAAAACACAAAGAATCTGCTTGGATAAAACAGTACAAAAAAGTTTGTAGGAATATTTTTTTGGGGGAAATTCACAAGAAAAAAGGAGCAAAACTGTCTGCACATAAGAATATCAATCAAAACCATGTGGATGTTTATCAAATACCGATCTTTTACAAAATTATCTCTGACTCTGAGATTTAATGAGCTGCTCATCAAAAATAGTTTTAAAAATGATCAAAACAAATCGAGATCTCCATTGGTGAGTGGCTGAAAATAGAGTGCTCCTGTCCCTGTGCAGTAATGATTATAAATAATTTTATGGGGGTCTATAGAGAACAACTTGCTCAATGATCCCCCCTTTCCTCTCACTTATGTATGGCCGGTGAAGGATTAAAAATTAATTGTGATTGTTCAGTGGCCTCCTTCCTCCCCAGCTCAATAAATAAAATTAAATATTTGAATTCACAGCCGTGACCTGTAGTGCTAGGTGATGCCCAGTTTCTATTGCACTATAAAAATCTGCCTTCCACCATGTTCCCCTAAATATATGTGGGAATATGGATCTTTCTTTAACTTGTAACTTGTTTGGCAAGGGTGACCAGGAGGAATATAACACTAAACTGACAACTAGATATGGTCTCTGAGGAAGTTCCAATTGTGGGACGAAACGTGTAAGACCACAACTACTGCTCTGTTAATAGCATTACTAATTTTATTAATTTGTAAGAAAAGCTGTTATTTTTAATATAACCATCTGGAGTCCTGATTTCCTGCTACATCTGCAGACCAAGGAGATGGATCCATAGCCCCCCAATTACATCGGGGGAGGCACCCTTTGAGCGCATAATACGTCTATATCTTGTGAATGCATTCAGTCATAGCGCATATATCTTGTTTAAATTGTATTACACTATGTTTTGTTTGCTTCTTTTAGATTTTTCAGCCGTATCCCATATGTGACTTGCTTGTATTCTGGCTTAACAAGATCACCACCTGGAAAGTCATCTTAGGGAGGCTGTCCATTTGACTTATTTGATAAGTATATTGTATACTTATTTTTGCGCTATTTACATGTTATTACGGTGATAGTTCTGTTTTTGCTTTTATAGAGGATACAAAGAACTGTATCTGCAGGGAGGTAAACAGTAACTGCATACAACCCCTCCCTCTCTTCTCTGGTCCATCATGGTAAATCTGTGGTGCAGAATGACTATTTGGAGACTTTAAACATTTTCTGGTGAATAACCAAAACAAAGGTATTGGGGACACACCTGGAACATGAATTTCTCAGTAGTGAGGCTGCCGTAAAGACTAAAATATATACAAAATACAGACTGAAAACAGCACTCACACACACAAAAAATAATAATAATTTTAGCATTTTACAAGGCTATTTAAAATCACTTATATTCCCAAATCAATTATGGTGATTCAGCGCCATTATATTGTGTTAAGCCCACCACTACGTCACAGTACCCCAATATCGGTTTGTCATACACTAATTTTAACATGGGAGATTTACATGCTAACTGCAATATTTACTGCATAAACTGCTTTTAGAGACTCTGCTCAGTTTATGCTTTCCTGTGGTCCCCTCCAAAAGGGCACCTATAGTGTGGGAGTGAGGTTCTCAACCCAAATGGAATCTGTTCTAAATTCCGGATATACACATTGTATATATTTTGGTCCTTACGGCAGCACTACTACTGAGAAATGCATGTTCTGGATGTGCCTTCAGTTCCATTTTTGTTCTGTGTTTATTTGGAGTCCAGACTAGATTCCTTTTGTGTTAAGCACTCCACCCAATGTAGGTTCCTCTTTGGAGCTGATGACAAGGAATCATAAATTGAGGAGAGTCTCTGGAAGCAGTTTAAGCAGTAAGCAAGTTAATCTCCCTTGTTAAAATTAGTGTAGAACCCACCAATATTGGGGGACTTTGATGTAGTGATGGGCTTAAAGGGTCCCCTAAACAACATTAGCTTATAGGAAAACTTTGTGTGAAAAGTGTATTTTTTTTTTTTTTTTTTTGCAAAAACGGCAGATTTCAATAGAAATTTACACTTATTTAAATTAACCTGCTTACACCCCCTTGGCTTTTAAGCAGACAACAGGTAATGTAACCTGAGTTTGTTAGCTCAATGTAGCTGACCTCAAGAAGCGGCAATTGCCAAGAGCACCCGACTTACAAAGACTTCTCATTGAGCTGCATTGGGAAGTCTGTGATTGGACAGCCACAGAAAGTCTGGGCGGGGTTAGAAGGGGAGGGCTTGCAAAGGCAGCAGATGACAACAGCAGGTATTTTGTGCTGATTTTAGATATATCTCCATTAAAAAAATACATTATTAAATGTATGCACGTTTTCACTTAAGATATATCTACTAAACAGTGATTTTTATTTATTTTGTATTTGGGCAGTGGAGTGTCCCTTTAAAACAATATAGCCATAGGCTGTAACTGAATCCCTGTGTGTTAAGTAAGATTGAGTAAACAGAACAAAAAGACAACAGTCAAAAATGTAATTATATGCTGCTCATTTGCAAACAATTGGCCAACATTACTGCATACATTTAACCAATCTGGAAAAGCTAGTTTTATTCAAACAGAGAATAGAGGACATTTGAGCATGTGTATTACTAATCGTTACTGCGATCTGAGGTTGCTACCCCGGTAACACTAATGCTGGGAATCTACTACAGGTTGTCACCAGACTGCTCAATAATCTGATTATCTAATTACAGTAGGCATGTTTGCTACATTCATTTACATTGTAACTCGTGTTTCATACAGTGATACAACAGAGCAGGGGAGCTGACATACATTATCCTAAACACAATACACAATACACAACCTGAGAACAGGGATGATAATATCCGAGAAAGTGTTAGATGAGAGGAAACTTGGTAGAGAATTTCTATCCTGTAAATGGTAAGGACAATTCTGAAAATTATTTTTTAAAAAAACAACAACCTGGTTATTTACTAAAGGGAGGATTCAGAATGAATTCAGAGTGAATTTAAAATTTAAGGACAAACTATCAGAACCGAAACATAGCTGACTAAGATAATTGTTCCAGTTCAGCTGTTGTGACATTAAAGGGACACTATAGTCAAAAGAACAACTCCAGCTTAATGTAGTTGCTCTGGTGTGTATAGGCAGTTCCTGCAGGCTTTTCAATGTAAACTCTTCCTTTTCAGAGAAAAGGCAATGTTTACATTGGTGCCTAGTAACATCTCTAGCTGTAGTCACTCAGACGGACACTAGAGGAGCTTCCTGGGGCAGTGCTGCACAGTGTGCAGTACTGGTGTTCACCATCTCCACTCTCTGCATGGAGGCGCTGAACGTTCTCCATAGAGTTGCATTTATTTCCTATCGAGGCCGAGCAAATCGTGCCAGCCGTGGTGAGACAGGCATGACGTTGGAAAAAGGGTGAGTAAAAACAGTAAGTAAACACATTTTCAGAGTGATCTAAGGGGGCTGAGGACCTAAATCCACATTAATAATCCACACTCCAGTCTAAATCTCCACAATGCTAGTGAGCGTTCAACACAATGAAGATTATTAGGAAAAAACTGATTTCAATCAAAAAGGCCATGATCACCGAGAATTGTGAGATTTTACTTTTTTGTGGCTGGGGCACCCAACTAAGATCAAATTATGATGCTGGGAGAACAGCTAAAAAAAAACAAAAAAAAAACATAGTGCAGCGAATTATCAAGGCAACATAATATCCTAATCTGGAGCAAGCACCAGTGAGACCCATAGACTGTCTCTCAATCAACATTTAGCTATTATTGTCAATGTTGGCTTGATAAATTCCCCTATAGTAAAATTCATTGTTGATTTTAGGCCAAAGTAGCTTTATCAGCCATATATCCTTTGGTCCCAACATTTGTAGTTATATTGTTAATTTCCCATAATGCCCAGTTTAGTGAGTAAATAAATCCTTTTTTGTAACTTGGCCTTTCTCACATACCTGTGTAGGAGTTATACACTTGATTTCCTCCAAGGCTAACCGGGTAAGGATGGTAGTTTTGCCAGCATTATCGAGTCCCAGCAGTACGATTCTTAGCCCATTTTCATCCACATCTTCTAACTTTTTCAGTTCTGCTACAAGTGATAACAAACCCTACGAATACAGTGTGAAATCTATGACCGTATTTATTAACAAAGGTGTAACAGGTTATGAATAGGTCTTATTTTTATTTGTACAGTGAATTATTGTGGGTAGACAGAGCAGAAAGCTACTGATACACTCCATTAAATATAAAAGGATACATTCAAGCTATGGGAGTGTACATGTAAGACTGATAGTAGCTTCAGATACCAGACTGAAGACTGAGGCTGTGAACACATACAATGCAAACCAGTTAAGGTCTCAAAACCCCAAATGTAGTCAAACTTCTGGGAGCATTGTGAATTCATCAAATAAATATTTCATATTCGAAGCATCTATTAACCAGCTTAGAGAACATTAAAAATAGATAATACAATGTACTAGATAATATTATGGGTTATGCAATGATGAGGAATAATTTAATTATAGTTATGTTAAGGGTATTCAGCTGAATAGATAACTCCTGGTTCCTACCAAGAAAATATTTAAAGGGCCAAGAGTTACTTAGGAAGAAACGTAGAAAAATATAGGTAATGTGGGCAGGTGCAGCGAGGATAATCAGAGGAGTAAGGGAATTATGGGTGATTATGTGAGGATATTCAAATATTTATTTAAAGGATATTCATATTTCTTTACACAGGGGATGTTGTCTGCCTGTGATATACCACTTAAACTAGATAGTTCTCTTTGGAGTTATGATGCATTTTAATATCTAACTAAAAGTTACAGTGCCTTGCAAAAGTATTCACCCCCTTGGCATTTTTCGTGTTTTGTGGCCTCACAACCTGGAATTAACATTGCATCATTTAATTTACAGAACATGCCCACAACTTTGAATTTTTTTTTTTTTTTATTGTGAAGCAAACAACAAATAGGACAAAATAAGAGAAAAAGTCAATGTGCATAACTATTCACCCCACCCCCCTAAAGTCAATACTTTGTAGAGCCAATCACAGCTCCAAGTCGCTTTGGATAAGTCTCTGTGAGCTTTCCACATCTTACCACTGGGATTTTTGCCCATTCCTCCTTGCAAAACTGCTCCAGCTCCTCCAAGTTGGATGGCTTGCGCTTGTGAACAGCAACTTTAAGTCTGACCACAGATTTTCTATTGGATTGAGATCTGGGCTTTGATTAGGCCATTCCAACATATTTACATGTTTCCCCTTAAACCACTCAAGTGTTGCTTTAGCAGTGTGTTTGCTTTAGCAGTGTGTTTGGGGTCATTGTCCTGCTGGAAGGTGACCATCCGTCCTAACCTCAAATCACGCACAGAGTGGTACAGGCTTTGCTCAAGAATATCCCTATATTTAGCACCATCCATCTTTCCCTCAACTCTGACCAGTTTCCCAGTCCCGGCTGCTGAAAAACATACCCACAGCATGATGCTACCATCCCCCATGTTTCACTGTGGGGATGGTGTTCTTTTGGTGATGTGATGTGTTGGGTTTGCGCCAGACATAGCGTTTTCTTTGATAGCCGAAAAGTTCAATTTTAGTCTCATCAGACCAGAGCACCTTCCTCCATACATTTTGGGAGTCTCTCACATGCCTTTTCGCAAACTCAAAACATACCATTTTGTTTTTTGCTGAAAGTAATGGCTTTCTTCTGGCCACTCTGCCATAAAGCCCAACTCTTTGGAGCATACGGCTTATTGACGTTTTATGTACAGATACTCCAGTCTCTGCTGTGGAACTCTGCAGCTCCTCCAGGGTTACCTTAGGTCTCTGTGCTGCCTCTTTGATTAATGCCCTCCTTGCCCGGTCCGTGAGTTTTGGTGGGCGGCCGTCTCCTGACAGGTTTGCTGTTGTGCCATGTTCTTTCCATTTGGTTATGATAGATTTGATGGTGCTCCTGGGGATCATCAAAGATTTGGATTTTTTTTTTATAACCTAACCCTGACTCAAGGGCGTACCTAGAGCATTTGGCACCCGGGGCGGATCCTGTGCTTGGTACCCCCTTGCCCCCCCAGAGCCCCGCCCCCAGTGCCAGTTTGGCTCCGCCTCCAATTTTGCTTAGGTCCGCCCCACTTTTCATCCGTGGCCAGTTTATCAGCTGTTTGCTTGTGTGAGCTGTACTGGCCACACGGCACCCTAACTACCATGGGGCACTGTGCGGCCAAAGCTCACACAGCCCCCTCCAGCCAGGGCCGGTGCAAGGATTTTTGCTGCCCTAGGCAAAAGTAAAGTTTGCCGCCCCCCCATGTGACATCACAATGCCCCACCCATATAATTTGCCATGTTATCTAACGCCAGTGCTGCAGTGCCGCCGTGTTTACATTAAAAGGCCTGCAGGGACAGGCTATAGACACCAGAACCAGTACAGTAAGCTGCAGTGGTTCTGGGGACTATCGTGTTTCTTTAATGTGAGGTAAATTAGAGATTAGTGCCACGAATAATATACTAGATTGCCTACTTACAACCAGATGAGGATGATGATGGGCTCTAGCTGCCATCTTGCTCCACTGGTCTGGTGTAGAACAGGCTCTCTGGAGGCGGTTTGTAACTGTGGTCACAAAAATCAATGTTCTGGGAGAACGGGAAGCCGCTCCATTTTTTGGGGGGCCCTTTACACAGCTCAAGGTCTGGGTCCCAGGGTCCACCTTCATGTTCCACCAATGAGTTTGTTCACAGGGGGTGGAGTGTGTAGGGGATGTCCTGATATGTGCGTAAGGAATGCATTGTGTGAATCTGTGTTTGTATGTGTAAGGGCTGCAAGGTGTGTTTCTGTGTATTTACGGGATGCATTGAGTGTGTGTAAGGGGTGCATTGAGTGTGTGTAATGAATGCATTGTGTGTTTGTAAGGGATGCATTGTGTGTAACAGTTGCATTGCTTGTGTTTGTGTGTCTGTGTGTAATGCATTGTGTGTTTTTCTGTGTGCATGGGGTGCATTGTGTGTGATGAATGTCAATATCTCCCCCCCTTCAATTTCCTTCTCCCCCTCCCAATTTCTTTCTTTATCCTCATCTCCAATTTCCTTCTCCCCCTCCCAATTTCTCTTTCTTTATCTCCCCCCTCTCCAATTTCCTCCTCCCAATCTTTCTTTATCCCCCCCTCCCAATCTTCCTTGATCCCCCCCTCCAATTTCCTCCTCCCAATCTTTCTTATCCCCTCTCCAATTTCCTTTCTCCCCTCCCAATTTTCTTTTTTATCTCCCCTCTCCAATTCCCTCCTCCCTCCCAATCTTTTCTTATCCCCCCTCTCAATTTCCTCCTCCCTCCCAATCTTTCTTTTATCCCCCCTCTCCACTTCTTCTCCCTCCCACTTCCTTTATCCCCCTCCTAAATTTCCTTATCCCCCTCCCAATTTCCTTATCCTCCCATTTCCTTATCCTCCCTCCCAATTTCTTATTCCCCTCCCAATCTTTATTTATCCTCCCCCTCCCCCCCTACCTCAGTGTGCACTTCCTTTTAGTCCGGCCGGGTACAGGAAACAAAAGCTCCCTGTACCCGTGGACCATGATACAGGGCTCGGCCACGCTACAGAGAGGGAGTGACAGGAGGGAGCGCTGAGCGCTTCCCTCCTGTCAGCCCCTCTCCCCATGCTGCGCCCGGGCGGGCAAAGCTGCAGCTGCCTGAGGCTCTCTACAGAGCGCTCGGGCGGCTGCAGCATGAGGGGGGCCGGCGCTCCTGGCGGCGCCCCCTCCCAAGGCACCCCCCACCCTGGTGGCACCCGGGGCGGACCGCCCCCTCCTTAGTACGCCACTGCCCTGACTTGTACTTCTCAACAACTTTGTCCCTTACTTGTTTGGAGAGTTCCTTGGTCTTCATGGCAGTGTTTGGTTAGTGGTGCCTCTTGCTTAGGTGTTGCAGCCTCTGGGGCCTTTCAAAAAAGGTGTGTGTGTGTGTGTGTGTGTGTATGTAATGACAGATCATGTGATACTTAAATTGCACACAGGTGGACATCATTTCACTAATTATGTGACTTCTGAAGGTAATTGGTTGCACCAGAGCTTTTTATGGGCTTCATAACAAAGGGGGTGAATACATACGCACATGCCAATTTTCTGTTTTCTATTTCTAAAAAATAGTTTTATGTATATATTTTTCTCATTTCACTTCACCAACTTAGACTATTGTGTTCTGATCCATCACATAACATTCAGATTAATAAAACATTGAACTTAAGGCTATAATGTAAGGCACTGTAGCTACTAGGTGTTTAGAGGTTGGCTTCTGATGTAAATTACAAATGTCCCATGATCCTCTTTGTTCGGACTTGTGTGTTAATGCTGGGATTCATGGTAAAATAATGTTTTGAGAACTTAGCAACACCTATTGTCCAGAAGTCTAAAAATTGTGCTGTTTAAAAATGTATTTATTTTATTTTACTTGTCTCCACTGGACACCTCAAACCAGTAAATATTTAAATACATTGACTGAGACTAATAAAGTGATCGCTCCTTTCACACACAGTGTATGTTAATTGTAACTGTCCACAGATTTCAGTGTTCATTATCTAATCTTGTGACATTGACATTTATTGTTTCAGCCCAATACTCTTCATAAACAGCACTCAGACAAGAAACACTCTTCACATTAATTTCAATGTAAACAACCAACATTTACCTCAATAATGGTAAATAGCAACGATGAGCCTTAATACACGTTAAAATACTAACTTCAATTGCTATTTTTCATAGTATTTTGGAGTTTATTCATGAAATATTGAGTGTTCATTTTTGGGAATGCAAAGTGAATTTCAAATATAAAGTCAACATAGCTGAATTGGAAAAAGTTTCTAAGTCAGAAATGTTTTGAGCTCAACCAATTTCAAATTCACTTCCAATTTATGACATTTCACAGTTGAGTGAGTTACACTGTCTACAGCCGTGACTTAATTAACGAACTACAAAACGTAGACCCAAAAAACAAGATGGACCTTTTTTCCAATACCACGTTTTTCCAAAATAGCAGTTTTGTCCTAAATCGTACTACCGTATTTGGTTTTCAACATACCATAGCTTGTTTAATGATTAAACCTTTGTGAAACCTTTGTGAAACCATGTCCTACGCTCTCTTAATATTTAAACAGTTTATGTCAATAGTTATCCATAGTTATTTAAACATAGTTATGGGCAGAAATTTAACTTCATATGTGCCCATAAACACAGCTCTAAATGTAGCTTTCTAATCTGTTATCCTCCTACACAGGCTCATGCATGCCATAATTTCATAGCAACCCCCTGCACATACCTTTTGAACTTCACCCATTCTGTGCTACATTCTCTGAAAAGCCAGAAAAACACGATGGTCGTCCAGCCAACGCTTCTTCATTTAAAATGGCACTACCAGAATTACAGCCCCTTCATCCGTCCATTCAGTTAGGATTAGGGAGCCAGACTTAGCTGCTGTTTTTGTCTCAGCATTAAATAATTACCTGTGTAATCCCAGTGCCATCTGCCACCTCAGGACAAGCAACAGTCTCTTTGTAAACACGCACATCATTCTAGGTCTATAAACTAATTTTACATTTTAATTATAGGCCTGTCACGCTTTCCTCAAATGTATTAATTGTGCAGGATACACTTTGATCAGAATAATTCACAACAAGTTTTACATTGGGGCACAGTCCCTAGCTTTACACCCTTCCATCTGTTTGTTGTCCTATGTTTTAAAGAGACTATTGTCTTGTAACATCCTACTCAGCCTGCTGAACATGTCTTTATCATATATTTACATCTTTTATCAGCTTCTAGGTTTGAATAGCATTCGTATTGTTAGTACGGTAAGGCACTGTTATTAGTCATTATTAATACTATCATATTTTTTTTTTTTTTGCTCCCAACACGTTTACAGCTTGAGATTTTTGTTTGTCTAAATCAATTAAGATGATTATTTACTAAACAATGACATGTGATTGACTGAAAACCCAAGTTAGAAATGTTTGAAAACCAGGTTTTATTACTTATTTTGGATAATTGACAGCGTTGCTCACTAAATTGAATTTTAAATTTAAGTTCAACCTAATCAAACTGGAAAAATTCCTGAACTCTGCTATGCTTCTATTTTGGCTACTTTTGCCTTAAATTTCAATTCACTTTGAATTCTCACTTTAGTGAATAACCCTATTAATGAACTAATACAGCTTATTTTGTCAATCTTCTAAATTCACTTTAGTTCATGGTTAAGGAATAAAACCGGAGGTTATTATATTTCAAGTACACTTTGCATATTAATATATTTAAGAATTATATTACATTTTTAGAATTAATTTCAATTAAATTTTGAGCAGTAGTATTCCTAGTATTACAGCTATGACTTCATGTCTGGATTGCCTCCATTCTTCGGGCACATGAAATAGATTTATTTTTGACTGCAATGTCAAATTTATATGTACACAAGAAATTGGTTCTATACATGTCTGCTATTTCTGTGTTTATGTATCTGTGTGTGTGTCTTTGTGTGTCAGTGTTTGCAAGTCAATGTATGTGAACTGATTGTGGTGTGTGTGTGTGTGTATATCTGAGTAGGCATGTGTGTGTACATCTGTGTGCGTACTTGCTGTTGGCAACTTTGACATGCCTGAATGTAATTTTTTTTTTTTTTGAGAAATTGTCATTTTTTTGGGCTGAGCAGCCATGATGGGTCAGATTCCACTGTTATCTAATCAGCTGCTCATCCTAACCTACCTGCTGCAGGGAAGAGCTGGTAAATTCTTTAAAATGATGGAATTATTGACTTTTATTTGATGTAACTCTTATTAGAAAAAAATCCAAAAGCTTTTACAGAGCGATGTCATGTTTTTAGCAGTTTATTTTTGTGGAACATGATTTAAAGTTCAGGAGACAGCAACAGAGTAAAACAGCATAATCAGAGAGTAATAACCTGGACTCGTAATGTGGACATCTTCTCGAAATATTAATCATTGTGCCAGTTAATCAGCATTCCCAAAGGTATCTTTGCTATTAATGAACATTCAAAAGACCACCTTCATTGAACGTGCAAGAGACCATGCTTTCTGATCTTCAACTCTCTACCGACACCACAAAACCATCTGTGCATGCTACCATTCACAAGTTAAGAAAATATCTAAATATTAAATACAATGCTTTCCTATGGGGAAGAGTGAATGCGCACACAATGGTCGCTCTGCATGCACATCAGGTCCCCAATGCTCCTCTATGAACCATCATTGGAGGATGCAATGCCTCCTTGATGATGTAGTGAGAGGCTGAGAGTTGAGCAGCGCCAGCGGTGTCTCAGCTCTGGAAAAAGGTAAGTAATACCTTTTTTTATTTATTTTTTTTCATTTTAATGGTAAGGGGGGAGGAAGTATATGACTAGACAGAGAGGAACTATAGCGTTAGGAATACAGGTTTGTATTTCTAATGCTATAGTGTTCGTGTAAAAAAAGAAATCTTGAACAATCTTGAAGAATCCCAGATAACACAGCATATCTCTCAATATTTCAAATGGACAAAGAGGGTCACTTTAATTTTAGGGGTGTGGCCAGAGGTTTGGCTGTTTTGAAACTTTAGGTGACTTACTAATAACAATTTATGCAACTAAAATGTAATTTAGATTAATTGGCAAACACATGTATTGTAGTTTAAAGGCACATTACTTTGAATATTATTACTGTGGAGCTCTGTTATACACTCAGACACACCAACAATATGAGGCTCCTAGAAAACAATGACATTTGGATAGAAAAGAGGGACAAACTGATTTGAGCCCAAAATAGTGCCTATGTGTCATAAATAGGGACACTTGGGAGGTAAGCAATAGTTATGTGCCCAGGAATATCCAAAACCATAGAGGGCCTTGTGAATTGCGCTCCTAGTCAGTGAGCACTTAGAGTTAATCAGAGTGGTAAGCAGAGTAATCTGTGGTTCTATCTTGAGTCCACATCTTCTTAATGTATATATTAATCTTACAATGGGTGTAAACAGTTATTTGCAAATGAAAAATTAAGTATAGCAATATAGTCTGAGCAGAATATTACAACTCTACAGAGAATTAGGGTACATCAAAAGACAGAGCAATCAAATTACATTAATGTACATAAAAACAAAACAATTTGTGGTGATATATACATTTTTGACGAATGCTCTAAATGGGTTGAATTAAGTAATATTGTTATAGGAGAAGAGGCAAGCTAATGCAAAAATCAGTAAGGATTTATTGTGTTTATGAAGTTAACAGTGTGATGAAAATCTAATCTTGCCTTACACTGAGAGATGTTAAAACCAGTGGCGGATCCGGGGGGGGGCAACGGGGCAATTGCCCCCCCCGAGAAATCCGCCGGTCTCCCTCCCCTGTCAGCACATGCAGGTGCCAGCCCTGCAATGTGCCTGCGGACCGGAGGGGAGATCAGAGCTCTCCCTCCCCGGTCCGCAGGCACTGTGCTGAGAGCCGGCAGGGGAGGGAGAGGGAGTGAGAGGGAGGCGAGAGAGGACCCGGAGCTCAGCCTGCAGCTCCTCCGGGTCCTCCTCTTGCAGATTTGGAGCGTTGCAGCGGTTACCACGGCAACGCTCCAAATCTCGCAAGAGTGAACTCTAGCTCTGGAGCGCGGGCTAGAGTTCACTCTCCCCACCGGACCACCAGGGATCGAAATATGTCCCCCCTCCTCCCCAGCAAAGGTAAGAAGGGAGGGGGGACATAGGATATTTATTTTAATTAAATTAAAAAAATATATATTATATAAAAAAAAAAAAAAAAAGCCACACATACATTGCCCCCAATACTGCCCCCCCCATTCACACAAACCGCCCCCCATACACACAAACTGCCCCCCATACACACATACTGCTCCCCATACACACACTGCAACTGTTACACATACACTGCACTCACTCACACACTACAACCTTCACACACACACTGCACCCCTTACACATTGCACCACTCACACACACCACTGCTCCTATGCCCTACTACAGCCCCATTTCCCAGCAGATCTCAGGTAAGTTGTCAAACTGTTCTTAAACGGTTTGACTACTTACTGTGGGAGGGGATCCCGGCACTATTGACACCATAACCACTACACTGAGCTGTAGTGGTTATTGTGTCTGGATTATTTCTTTAACTAATCTACAAGTGCCCCTCCCGAGATCAGGCCCTGGATCCGCCACTGGTTAAAACGTAAACAGATTATGGAGTGTGAATAAATGTAAGATCCATTTTTATATCTGTAGGTGTCTCCTTTTATCCCACATGAAGTATTGCAATATAATTTGTTTATGTTCTTTTTTCACATGACGCAAAATCAAGCATGGAAAAGTTCATTTAAACAGGAAGTATATTGTGCTATCACATTTTTGTTTTTTCAACAGAAACCCACTTTTTCCCCCTTTTTGTTATATCCAGTTCATTCGGATGCCTTCTTCTTGTTCCAAGGAGAAATTCCTTTGTTTCCTTTGGACTGTCTAAAAGCTCATGCTAATCCAGATTATTTTGCTTTATGGGGAAATGTGTATTGATACGCCAATTTATTAATCCTGATTTTAATTAGGCTCCACTTCGATGACTGCGATAAGGTGGTTGGTGGGTGTTTTATTAAAGGTACAATCCCCGGCCAAAATACAAGAAGTGCAAAAATCATTGTTCAGTAGATAAACCTCAAATAAAAACATGCATGCATTTATTGATTGAGTGTATATATATAAAAACAGCTTGCAAAACCTGCAGTTCTCTTGGCTGCTGCCTTTGCACGCTCTCCCCTTGCAGCTTAATGAGAAGTCTTTGCAAAGCAGGTCCTCTTAGCAACTGCTGCCTCTTGAGTTTAGCTCCACTGAGCTAACCAAACCAGGAAGGAACAGAGCTGGTTGACAGCCAAGGAGGTGCAACAAGGTTTATTTATTTATATAAGTGCAAATTTCTATTGAAATCTACACTTTTTGTAAAATGTAAAAAGGACACACTCTTTATACATAAAGCATTTCAGCAAGCTAAAGTGCTTTAAGGGGCCAGAGTGTCCCTTTAAGATACTTTGGGATCCATTGTTTAAACTCCTGGGTTTTGCAGGAACTTCCCTTTCTGATAGGCTTTCCATATTCTCACTGTTGTATCCCATGAAACGGAAACATACTGAAAAGAGAGAAAGATCATAATTACCAACTTGTCTTGTTCTCTATGGACATATCCAATCAGATTTACAATGAGATTAGTTTTTCTAATGAATAAATGTCAAAAGAAAAAAATAGGCTTCAGTACTCCACCACTGGCTTTGTACGAAATGGTTCAAAGTAACAGCACCAGTTTATAAAATAAAATAAAATAAAGGCTTGTCTGCATGGTGGCTACAATGCTAAGTGTAAGCTGTGAGTTGTTGTTATTTTCAGGCCCATGTTTGCTCCATAGAGCTACTAACATTTGCACCTGCAGATGTCTCCATGTCTTAGCATTCACCTATTCATGACTTGAGTGCAAAAGCAGCTAAACAGTCACTTTCTAATTCATTGCAATAGCAACCACAGTTAGATACTATAAAAGGCTTACTGTGTACATGTGATTGGCCTTAGTGGGATAGATACAGGAGTTATCCGATTTTATTTGTACATGAAGGTTGATAGACATGTACACCAGTTTTTTGTATTGTGATTTTATATTAGCACAGGACTTGAAATTCTAAGCAACACAGTTCTGCTTTTGGTTAGACAGTCCCACCATCCCAGTTTAGATCCCTGGTGTCCCTCATCTGTGGAGACCAGCGAACCGTCTGCAGTAGCACAGAGTGCATCATGAGATCCGCTCGTGCTATGCAGCGGGCATCAGGACCATACAGAAATTGTTCAGCAGTGCTTGTTGCATTGTCCTTTATGGTGAAGCCCAGTCGAGAGGCTGTCTGTCAGCCTAGTGTATTTGACGTTAGATGGACACACCTTCTGTGGCCAGGTCCACCCATTTTCCAAATGGGGCTACCAATAATGCGTGTCACCCCTAAAGGCCTCCACCTTTGCTGATTTTATACTTCATAATATTGGGAGGTATAGTTAAGTATATGTGGACAACTGTTACCTCAAACCTATTTTATGTAATAATTCTTTCATTATGTTTTGAAAGAAAATAGATCAGACCGTGATTAAAACCCAATTGTTGGGGGGGGCGGGGCCTGACCGCCAAGCAAGCAGGACGCGGGCTGAATGAGCTCCTCAATTAATCGTGTGATAAATCTAGAAAAATTAGCTTAAGCAGCCGAAATCGCCTTATGAGTTGTGGAGACAGCATTGACAATCCCACATATCACGCTCTGCTTAACGTTTGAGGGGCCTGAAGCTCTGTGCGGCCTGCTATCTAATCTGAGGTGGGAGACGCGGCCGATCTCCCGCCTTATTCTCGGCACGACCGCGGTCTGGGCCACGTTTCTCCCCTCCTCTGGGCCGGCAGGGGTTATCCTGGTCCCCGCTGGGGGTGCAAACACAGCTCCTAGAATAACAGAACAAGCCTGAGTGAGCAGCATCTCTCCTGACCCGAGGCCTGGCTATACAAGATGGCTGATGCACATGGTCCGGCCCTGCAGGGCCAATAACACTTGACCCACTCACCTCAGGCGTCCACAGATCCACTGGATGCCATCTTCGGATGCCATCTTCAAGAGCTTCTGGGCGAAACTGGAGACCCGCTCGAGAATGGCGGCACTGGCTGCTCGAACAGCACTGGAGACTTGGAAGCGACATGAAGGGGAGCTGCAGAGGCTCCAGCCGGGCAAGCCGGCTCCAGGCACATCGGCAACCAAACGCGCACGCTCAGCTGGGCAGAGACCCACCAGGAATATGGCAGCAGCACGCCATCCCCGCGGTCGGAGAGCCACCAGACACCGCCCTCAGAGAGTCGGAGAGCCTTGCATCACTCTCCACATGGGGATGCTCTGAACCCGCAGCCCTGCAGGGAAAACCGCGGAGAACCGCTCCGGCCTAACACCTATTGCAAAGTACTGGCAAATGCTTGTAAGTGCCAACCGATGCACGACAGCAATTCACTGAAGTTACCCCTCCAAATCAGGCTGCCATATCAGGCCTCCAGGGTGGGCATTGGCTGATAGACGTGCACAGCCACGGGGACTCGCACTACTCACCATTGTCATGACATACTGCCCGAATGCACAACCCGTGGCTACTGCCTCCAAGTTGAATTTTTATTATGATTTTTATACTTATTGTTATGCTTTGCTAGTGCCCTCATATATTATTTTCATGTAATAGTCAGGCAGATATCCCAGACTACCAGCCTACCTAGAAGCTATTCTTCTTGCTGCTGCAGATATGTTTTGGCCAAGGATGGCCATGATAGTCCACCCAGCAGCTACCAAGCTACAGAATTACCATAGTTGAGCAAGTTACCTTACCTTTTTCTCTTTGATTATATTACTGTCAGTTAAAGCAGCATGTCTTAATTATTCCTCTTGTCCTCACCATACATGACATTGCTTATAGTATCCTGTTTATTACTTAAAATGTGCAGTTAAACCTCAAGCCACAGTATTATGCCTTTTGAAATGCCTGTGTCTGCTATTGTGGCATCACAAGCTTGTCTGTCATACTTATGCACTACAAAAATAAAGAATTGAAAAAAAAAATAAAAAAAATTGTTAGTCTCTATGATCTTTCTAGCTAGACTCAACATATGTGAGTAAGGCTGAACTTGATGGACCCAAGTCTCTTTTCAGCTATGTAACTCCATGCACAGAAACAGGGAAGACCATAGAAACTAACTGTTGGTACTCAAACACAGTCTGGCCCAAGGTACATACATATGGCTGAAGGATTATTCACTGTCACATGTCAATAATTGCAATCCATTACATTATATCAAGATATTAGGCCTATAAAGGCATACCTGTGCCATCTCTGGGATGTGGACAATGGAGCGTATCAGGTCCTTGTGCCCTACGTTACATTGAACCTGAAGCAGAGATTCTGGATCATACACCCTGAAAGATAAAAATATATTCTTAATATACGTATTCTTGATAAAATGTATTCATCTAGCACAAACTAATATTCTCAAGGCATAATATAATTATTTAGGCAAACAATTAAGATGTTATTGCAACTTTAATATCGGTGTGCTTGTATCAGATTTGGAGATTTGTAGCCAAACTATAAAAGAGAATAGGTTTTCTTTAATGTCTTCTACTAAATAAGGTATGATAACAGTTTTGGGCTTACTAACAACTATCAGGGGCAGTGACTGACAGATGTACCTGGCATGCTATGGTCCATATGCTCACGGAGAGTTGGACACGACTGAAAGATTAAACAACAACATCTGTCAGCCAGGACTTTGTCCAAGTTTCTAACATTGTGTGCATGCATGATCCGAATAGCACATGAGAAGACGAGAGCAATTCATTTTTCATTGCAGGTTTTACCTAATTGTGTCTTGCACTCCTGCAACAATGCTTCCATGCACCTGGTCAATACAAAAGCAGGTGACAGCTCCTTTAGTGACCAAAATCTTCTCGCACTGAGCACTATCCCCACACTGCAAAACAACACAAACAGATGTCAAGGTCAGGCCAACCATGATTACTTAATCACATAACTACAGACACTGTAAGAGTATAAATAAGTCTGCGAAGGAGCAAATCTGGGACAATTCCTGGGATTTGTCCATGTACACTGTTCAGAGCATGTTGTATAAGAGTTTTGCAAATGTCTACTGTTAAGGTCCATTTCTAATGGGAATAAAAGGAACACAAATCTGGTGTGCTTGGGTCAGGTATCTGTCTATGAATGCATGGGTCGAGTGGTACCAGGTTTTAAAAATATAAATTATAAATTGTGGGTGGAATGTTTAGAAGAGCAGAATTCTGAATTGAAAGAGGACCTGTCATACGTAAGATTCATGCACAACCCATTCGCTAACTAACTATTAGCTATGCATTGTATTACTTTTATATTATATATTTATATCATCCAACATGTGCACACCACATTGAGTAAGGCAGTGCCAAAAATTACTCACAAAAACTATCACAAAAATGGTACTGTATCAACAATAGTAAATCATGCAGAATGTTTCTAAAATCATGTTTGATGATCTGCAGTAGCTTTGGTAGGTGCATTAGCTGGTATCAGCAGTCAGAACATCCTATCCAACTTTTAGGCGGTAGCAGAGAAGCGAATAAACACCTGATGCAATGTGGTAAGTCAGAGTCCTATAGTTTCTGGGACCCTGACTCTTCAAATTGTATTTCCTTCTCTGATCCTCCAGAGCCACTATCTTCTCAGCAGTACTGAGATACGGGTTTCTTGAGTACTAGCTGAGGCTTCTAAGAGAGTCATAGTCTCAATAGGGTGAATACAAATTGGGTTTATCGTGGCAAAAAGCACAGAGCTTAACCAGATGCATCTACTGCGGTTTACAGCTAGCCCCCCTTCCACATATATATATTTTTAATATTCAGTTTTATTTTTTTTTATTTGTATACGTGGCTGACTGTGCGGAGCCAAGGAATACCATACAATAAGATTAACCAATGCTGTGCCATGGGTACATGGCACTATGGAAGGAATACCCAAATGGACATATGCTCATTAGATGTTGCATGTGCCCCAAGCATAATGTTTGCTGTTATATCACCCTGAACACGGAAGTTCAGGGGAGGTAAGGGTGTTTTACTTACCTCTCTATATATGCTTTATAGTATTTACTAGGATAAAAGAATAAGAAACATTTATTCTAAGAGAAGTGACATTTCTGCTTTGAAATAATAGAGTGAGAGGGCTTATGCGGTGTTCCAATGCATACAGTAGCCAATCAGCATGTAGAGAAAGCAAAACTGACATTTTCCATTTCAGCTATTTTGCCCTTAGATTTGAAATTCACTTTGAACTCACCCTTTAGTGAATAACCCTAATCTTGCATTCCTTTACACTTTAAAATAGACTTCTATGTCTGGTGCATGAAAAGACCTCTACCTGGGTTCACAGCTAAACCCAACAACCAAAGTTTGCATTTGGAGAGCATTCATGTGTATTCTTAATCTGTGAACACACTAATGATGCTGTTGTCCATTGAAGCAACAGATGTAAGGTTATACAATAAAGTTAGAATTCCATGTGAATTTTAAATGTAAGACCAAAATAGCTGAACTGCAAGTATAGGCGACTTAGATTTTTTTTTTTTTCAGTTCAACTATTTTAACCTTAAATTTGAAATTTAATTTGAATTCTTGATGTAGTAAATGAGCCTCTTAGTCTGTGGATTCCTACATCGAAAGAGCTGAGTGCAGAATAATGTGGCAGCATTTCTTTATTGCTGCTGATATTGCTGCTCTGAATGCACTGGCTCTAGCTATCATGATCTACTACAGGGATCATTGAAATGATTAAAAGATACTTAGCATTCATTTGAGAACATCAGGCTTTTAGCCACCTAGGACAAATACCCATATTCTGATGGTTCCATCTTCAGAACCACTGATCCATTTTTCTAATGAATGGTGCCAAAGAACTGATGTAACCTCTGCATCGTGGCCCACTAGAATGTTTACAAGTGTCATCCTAGAACTGACTGTGGAGAAGCTGCGGATGTAAACTTTCCCATCACTGGAAGAATAGGCAAATTCTTTCCTGAAAGACACAAAATACATATCCATGAAAATTCCACTTGTGAAAAAGAAGAAATCTACATTCCATGGAGTGAAACTGAGGAAATAAAACTAGACAGTAAATTATTTTTTATTTTTTTGCAGTGCATATGAGGGTAACATACAGGCATGTGGTACCCCAACGGCAGTCCACTTGCATATTTCAGAACAATGATAACAGTGGGGTATGTGAGAACAGTGCACAAATTTTATATTTAAATACAAGAGTGTCAAATTTTAGGCATAAAAGTCATGAATTTTTCAAGCTTAATTAAATATCTGCATCAGTAGATTAATATTAGGTAGGCAACAGTTAACTCTACTAGATCCATTTTGCCAGCGTATCTGTGTGATGATATTCTGTTATTCAGTGTATTTTTATTTCAGAGGTTAGTAAGTATGGTTATGACTAGCAGGTTTGTCGCTCTGGCTTTTGATGCTGATCTAACATCTAACAATGAGGACTACATCATGCTATAATAATGTTAGGAGGTAAACCATGCTAAGTCATGAGAAACATCGAAATATGGTTTATGATTAATGCTGCCTAGCGACTATACAGTACATCCTTGCATGGCATATGATTAGACTGCACAGTTTTTGTCATAGATAATACCAGGGTGTCCAGCAATGTATTTAGATTGATAGGCACCAGCACCGCCGTGTAGGCAGGTAGTTACAGCGAGCGGCAAAGGGCGTTACTCACAGCTCAGTCCTGGATCCCCATTTAGCCTACGCCAGCTGGGGGTACCGCACAGTCCCACCTCGAGCAGTCACACTGCAGGGCAATGCCCATAATTGCAGGCAGGTAGGTCTATTCTGTGGTCGCTTTTGGGGTCCCCTTCTTTATCTCGGGCTGCGGTTGCGACCGTGTTTGGCGCCCTTTGAGTGGCTTCCATGGTGCCGCTTTGTGTTTCGGTGAAGAGCGGTGCTTGATCTGCCGCCATGTTGGTACTTTCCCCGCTGGTGGAGCTGGGATCTTGGGAGGGGAGTGTCGCGGTATGCAGTGGGTACTCGTTGGTGGAGAGGCAGGACAGCGCATCACCCGTTTCAATTGCCGCCACAAATTAGTGAAGTGCCGGTCCGGCCTGGAGAGGATGTCATCTAGGTCAGCACTGGATCGAGGAGACCATGTGGCGTCCTGCTTTCTCCTATCGCCCATCGCGCCTCTGTTTGAGCTGGGCAATCCTCCTGGGGTGGACCGGGATCACCCCTCCGGTCCAGGGGGGGCGAGCAACAGGGCACTGGTATTTGACCTGCAGCCTTCTGGCTTCTCCGGTCCAGGGGTCCAGCCGCATTCCCCGCCCAGCGACCCAGTGGGTCTCTGGTCGCTTTGCAACTTAGTCGGTGAGTTGAAGGTAAGGGGCTTCGCTTGGGTTTGCTCTGTCTTGAGCAATATCAGGCTTATTCGTGCTTTTAGTCGCAAGGTCATGGAGGAGCTCATCCGAAGCACGTCTGTTCTCCATGGCGGTCAGGCCCCACCCCGTAAATTAATTATTTTAATATTATTTTGCTGTTCTTAGAAGCTTTGAAATAGTTTTATAACCAACATACACCTGTTCTCACAAATAATAATAAATTCAGAAGACAACTCACTGTCAATCAACCACTTACCTCTTCGGAGAATAGCAAATATCCATTATGGTCCCATCACACGCCTTTTCTTTGTGTTCACTCCACTGATCTTGACCAGTCCTGGAAAATGTCTCTACGAGGGAGCATGTGTTCAGATCCCAGACACAAAGTCTAGAGTCCCATCCGCCGCTCAGCTACTGAAAAAAGGAACATACTTTAACTGCTCACAAACATACACAGCATTGCTGTAAGGTCTGTGCTACATTAATTATTATAAAAAGGTACCAGAGCTAAGCAGAGAAATACATGTTTAAATAATATATAACCAAACTGAGATAGCTCAACCAACCTAATACCTCTTAAAATCCAAACCAGATGTACATTCAGTTGACTACACTGTTTCCTCTGGTATTCCTTTTGTGATTATATTGTATCCACTGTGATTTTAACTATAAGAGTTAATAATATGTTTTCATTTAAGGCAGACTGTCACAGTCTTGGATCTTTGCTGAATTTGCAAAAATCCTCGATTGCCGGGGGAGGACAAGGAAAGGTGAGTTCTACTTACCTGAACCTGTCCCTCGTTATCTTCCTCTGATGGGTCCTTTTTAGCATCTGGCTGTTCAGCACCAGGAGCTGACGTCACTGCTGTACTCTTGTGCATGCATTGAGGTTTATGGAGGATCCTAGATAGCCAGAGCCAATTCACTGGTGACAGCGTTCAGGATTGACACTGTAGCTCTGCCCTGTAACCCACCGAGTGGCAGAAGCAGTCCCTACTTTGTCTTATGTTTTAAAGAAAACTAGAGCAGACAGGAAGAAATGAAGAACAGATCCTGACAGAGGGAGAGAAAAGGAATTGATAAAAGAAAGGTAAGTTCAGCATGTCAGTGCCGTTTTAGTATGTTTCTATTTCTGTACAATAGGATAAAGCTTGTCACATTTCCCCTGTGCAGATATTGCCAGCTTTTAACACCCATGATGCCGAGAGACAGCCATATAGCTCTCTTGGAGTTATATGGTTCAGCATCATGGGAGTTAAGTCTACAACAGTTGGAAACCACCACTTTTTCCTGTTCCCTCCAAAATACCATTTGTCAGTTGAAAAACAAGATTTATCATTGAGTTTATTTGTAAAGAGGAACAGTACAGTCCAGGATTATCATGCTTATTTATTCACTTTATTTAAAGGGTTGCTCATAAATCGTTTTTTTAATCAAAATGTACTTTTGTTTTAGCTCCGAGACCAAGTTCTCCCAATAGCCTGATCCTCCTCTGCTGAGATGACTCTCCCTGCAGGGGTAGGAATGTCAGAGAGGATGGGCCAAGGGGACATCTTCGGCATCACAGAGGTTGCGGGGGGCATTAAACTATTGGATGCGTATTGTCCGCGTGCTGTACATATTGATGACAGGTGTCCAATACACACAGGATGGAAATTAGCCAGCCCTAAACTCTTGTTCCTGACTGTCTAATGACTCAATAAAGACACTGCTGGAGGCACAGTTACACCTCCAGTAGCAAAGGGGTTAAACTATGTAGATACTCAAAAACACCATAACCACTTCAAATCACTGGTCATGGTGCCCAAAGTAACCCTTTAACAAATATATTTTTATAAGTTAAGTGTGAAAAATAAAATGAAATGTAGAAATCATAACTCGTTATCCTACAACTGGGTGCCTCTACCTTAGCTCCCTGTCAGTCATTGTTATAAAGTCTGTCCTTTACACCTGGCAGTCAGCATAGAGAAAGCATACAGAGATAAAAACAATGTTGCTTTTTTTCCTCCCCTCGTTTACATTTTGTGCCTTGACCGTGCCTGGATTGATCTATAGTGTGATGTATTTTGCGGCTTCTTTTGTACAAATTTAAAAAGAAAATGGATCATCGCATAGAAAAGAGCCCAACACAAGTTATAGGTCATTTTCAATTTAGTGGTGTAATATCCAGAGAAGTGACAGTTCCCCTTTTCCTTTAGCTGTATGAAATAACATTGCTAAGTAATTATTTAAATCTAATATAACTGTGAATACTCACCAAATATACTGTATTATAGCCACTCTCTTTTCCAACCACAGCCAACGCTGTCACAGCTTTATAATGACCAGCTAACACCTTCTTGCAGGTCATACCTGAGCATTAAAACAAGAGAAAAATCATGTGAGTGTGAATTAGAACATACGTTGGGAAATTTGTAAATGTTCTTCATGTCACAACAAAGGTAAATGTGCTAAAATGATATAAACTGTTTGAGTGAACAGTCCAAACAGGCTATCAGGGGCCCCTTCACTTGCCCACCCGCTATGTTATGACTCTGTTATGTTTCACTTTGTAATGTTTTATTGACTAACTGTAACAATGTATTACTGAGCTAATGATACACAAAATACACGCAGTCTACAAACCTACAGGGCAAAGCAACAACTGCGGGTGTACACGTAGGGGAACAAGACTCCAACCATCGCACCCAGGGGCATTCTTTGGGGACAACATGACATTGCCATTACTATCAATCGTGGGAACCTACTTTGAAAAATCCAAACACATGGTTGCCAACATTTACACTTTACCCCCCTGCTCGCAAGGACCTAAAGCCACCCACTGACCACATCTCAAAAACCAACCCAGGGCTCCCAGGGATTATGTAGACGTAGGATGACTTCTCGGGGCCACACACACAGTAACCCCCAAGAACCAAACACCAGAAAGTGAGACTATCGAGCTTCCCCGAATGCAAGGTATGAATGAGCCACACAAAACAAAGCAGAGAACGCTGAATTACTAGATGAGGGTGCTGGATATCCATAGCCATAAGGCCCCGACATGAGAGTAACACCCAACCACAACCCTGGTAAAGTCGGACAATTACATAAGATAATCACGCACCAGTACCCCAAACTCTATTTTGACTCCTGGTTGATACACATATATGCCTGCATTTGAATGATGATCAATCCTATGATGTTGGTTTACCTTGTTACTAGTGCTGAACAAATGTTTTGTTTCATGTATGACTGCTACACTGTTATGTTGAAACACAGAAAATAGGAGGCAATGGCATTGGCCTACGGGTACATTTTATGGACCCTTTCACCCAATATTTATTTGTTTCAAAACTCTGCCTCTTGTATGTTAAATTAGAACACAATTATATAATTTGTAGTTACATAACTGGAAGGATCAGCAGAAGGGATTTTTGATTAATCTCCAAGTCTCTGGCATTGCAAGCTGGAAAATAGTTCATATTTTTGAAAAGTTACCTGCTAACTAGGGAATTTATATTCAGTAGGAATTTGGTATACCTTAATGGTTTGGTAAAAATGTGAATCCTATATTTTATATAATGTATATTTATGTTAAATGAAATTACAGATTTTAGACCAGATGTGGATTTTCAACTGAATTTACCTTTAGTATGTGAGAATGGAAAATACAGTTCAAAGTCAAGCATTTTTACAGATGTTTTTTTCCATCCAAAAAAAGTTTGGTACTTGCTTAGTCAGTACCCCCCAAGTACAGCATAGGAATACATAAATATACATATTTTGTAATTCACTATAGAGTGAATTGCCATGAATTCTAAGTTTTAGGCCAAAATACCGAATTTCTGAAAATTTGGAATTCACTTTGAATTCCGACAATTCACATGTTAGTGATCTCATTTACCTAGTGGTAATCTAGGTACCAGCAATTAACATTCTAACATTAATTGAATCTTACCTATTAGCCGCTTGTTTAATACTTCACTTTTCGAAGGAGATTCTTCCATATTCTCTGCTTTTGTGTCCTGAGCAAACAAAAACCCATATTCCTGTATGTAGAGAAAAAAAAACATTGACTGGGTTATTCACTAAAGGGAAAAATTCAATGTGAATTCAAAGTGAATTTTAAATTTATGCCCCAAATTCTCAAACTGGACAATATAAATCAGATGTGATTTCAGTACAGCTAACGGGGCCTTTCCAAGTGAGTATGCGTATATGTGCAGGCATGTATGAACAAGTATCGGTATGTAGTACTAGTATGAAGGTAAATGTGTGTGTGTGTGTGTATACGAGGGGCATGTGTAAGGGTCACTACTATGTGTATGTATTCATATATTGGGATTTTTTTATGAATGTAAGGATGGGTAGCAGTATTTGTATGAGCATCAGACTGTGCATGTATGAATGAAGATGAATATGGGAGGACAGAATCTTTAGTGCAAATGGAACTTTCCTGGGATTACAAAAATTGATTGATTAAGAGTGTTGCTATAATGTTGACCAAGGCTTGGGAAAGGTTCTATTGTTGACCAAAGCTTGAGAAAGTGTCCAATGTTGAGCCAAAACATTTGACCCAATAAAGCCTGCCGAGCCTTTATTTTTATCTGTCTACTTGTTGGGAGTGTCACCATTCCAGACTTCTGAAGCACAGTGGACAGGGTCAGTTTGAATTGATGTGTACAGTCCGTTATGTGTGGTTCTTGCTTGTTCTGTCACTGCATTTTAAAGAGCATAGCTGAATTAGAGCTCCATTATAATAATGTTCATGTGTTACAGTCCTGGTTACAATGGCATAGCTTTAGTGATAGTTAGGGTTAGCGGATATTTAGGGTTAAAAAGGCTTTTCCCTCAAACTTTAAATGCCACTTTTGAAAATGGCACTTTTAAAGTAAAAAGTCAGCCTTATGCAAAGCTCCCCAAGGGGACACACCATTGCTCATACAATGGTGCCTGGTAGGGAGGTGTAGGTACATATACTTGCTTACATAAACTCACTCCTCAGTGTCACAATCTACTTCTTCGTCCCAGCTTTTAGCTCATGTAGACTTCTTCCAGAGTCCTGATACTACTGCACTCATTCAAGATCTTCCATAGATAATCTCACAATGGCCGGCACGGGGTTGTGTGAAAATATCATCCATTGCCACATTTTACCAAAAATCATCATATCATTCCCAACCATTCTGGTAATTACATGGGTGCCTTTTCTAACCGTGTTAATGCAGGCAGAATAAATTTTTTGGCTGATATTTGGAATGTTACATGTAACATTCCACGGGGTTTGCTATCTGTCTCTCTGTATGTCTGTTTGTCATCGTACTGTAACCTTGAGCAGCTGATCTTCATCTGAAACTTCAGGTTCATCAGGTACTGAAGCTGCCACAGACTCATCAAACTCCCATAGGTATATGTCCCCATTCTCTGCGCCCATAACCAAGGTGTCCATTTCATCTGCGAAGAGCGATCTGTCGGACATGAAGCTACAGTTATTAAAATGTTGGGGGTCACTTTAGCAGATGTTTTGCTATTCAATTCCCAATGAAAGACTAGCTTAAGGTGTTATTTACTAAAGAGTAAATCCTATTAAAATGAATATTGTATTGCACAATTTAGACTAAGATACTCAGGCATGGACTCTGTGATTGAAAATGTCAGGAGATTTGTGATACCTTCAAATGCCCATAGTGCCGACTTGGGTGACTTAGATGGACAGCAGATAAGACCGCTATGCATACTACTAATTGTGCAAAATTAACACTTTGTCCCTCACACAGACTTTGCTTTTAGCAAATTGTTGACTTATTGTGACTATACAATTTGTAGAACCTACAGTTCTTTAGCATCAGGCAAAGACATCACATTATGATAACAACAGAGCAACTGCTGGTTGATCTTCCAGTGATGATATGTCACAACTTTTACACTCTTTACACTTTTGCACAGCAGATCATATTGTGATTTACTTGTTAAGCCATCTTTAAAAATGAGATGAAAGGATTTGCTCTTACCTTGTGTAACCACAACACTTTTTCTGGGAACTGCCTGTCCGGTTTTGGTTGAACAGAATGCCTTTTCTCATCATCCCAGCAGTTGCTGATCGTTGAAGCCTTGACTGGGGTCTCCTGCTGAGGTCCCTTGAAGGGTCCTTCTGCAGGCAGCGCAGTCCTTTTCTCTCTGGCCGTGTGTCCTCCATATTGTATGATTCTTTACTATAAAAAAAAGAGTTGCCGGTCTTAGGAGGTAGAAACATTGACAATATTTACAGACTCTATCAAACACTTTAGCTACAGAGATAGATTGAACTGTTTAATAACGCAAACCTTTATTCTACAAGAGGAGTCTTTACATTTGGTGGTCTTCAATTGTGTAAGGACATGTGACAACAGTTTCTGAATATCAGAATGCTCATTAATTCTTAAGAGCAGAGTCTAAAATGGCTGACACCTAACAGAGAGGGGATGGAGGGGGGTTGGGTTTGCTGGGTACTCCTGGTATCATAATCACTACAGCATGTTCCTGAACCATTAAATATAGTCCATTACTAATAATACAAACTGCATGCCCAAAAAGGTTACATAAGGACAGGCGTTTCAGATAAAGTATATAAGTGATAAATACAATAGTTTGTTTACTCACAGTGGGGAAGGGGGTAAGGTGAGCTGTAGTGGTTATAGTGCTTGGGGTGTTACTTTAACCTTAGCACGTGTAAAGTATCCCTGGGTGCACTGTCTTTTATGTTATTTATTTTTTATTGGGTAAAACAAATGCTTTCATAATGTCACATCTTACACCTCACCTGTACGTCGAAGGAGACAGATCCTTCCTTTTCCACTTTTCAAATGTTCCTCTACTGTCACCAGTGAAAAGTAAGATCACATTCTTTCCAGCTGAAAAGTAAATAAAAAATAAAGAAATTAACTGCATGTTAAGAAAATTAAGGAAAATCATGCTGTATAAAGTGACTATGAAGGTTGTTAATTTAAACTTACTATAAGAGAGACATTCCAGTGGATGTTTAGTGTTAAGGACGTTGACACAGCCCATATTGTTGTACTTCCACACAGTTACCTGATTATGCCGACTGGATCCTGTGGGTGAGGACAAATTCTATTATTGCAAAATTTTATAGACATGAATGTGCAGTATACACAGGGCCATATTGCAATCTATGATACACCTATTGGCTCAGGATCTGCTGCTAAGGTGGATTTACGTCTCTTATCATAACAAAGTACAAGAATGTTGTTACTTTGTGCTAGCGTATGACAACAATCCGGTGAGTAGTCATGGCTGCCATTGCACCCCTGTGATCAACTCTAACCCTAAGTTAATTTTACAGTTCATATGAGTGGACCGCATCTACCTTCATTCTCATTGTTGTCAAATAACATCTCCATGACTCCAAGCACAACCTTAAAGTGGCTTTGTCACTTTTCAGTATTTCATTAAGATATATTCTTTATGAAATATTTATCCAGATTTTAAAATAAATTCACTGAAATTCCAACGCAATCCAAAGATACCATAAGAGAAAGTAGGGACTATTTTGTGTTATAGTAAATCTAAGGTTGACAAAAGGCAGAGCTCCACCATCAACTTTTGTCTAATCGACAGCTGTGAGATTCAGACATCGAGCTATGGAGGCTCCCCCGGTGTCTCAGGATCCAAACGATTTACAAAAAACTGCTGGGATGGATAATTTATTTACCTGATTAATTTGAAATTTAGTAAACAAAACCCAAATTCATAAAATGCTTTCATAATATCAAACGCAAAGAAGAATTTGACGTTTCCAGATAAATTACAGAAGTCATAAACAACGTATTGTTTTTTCCTTCTCAGTGTGTTCACAAGGCTCCACTATACTACTAGCAGGGCTCTTTACTATAGGGAGAATTCAAAGTCAATTTCCAGTGTCAACTATGATTTCAATTCAGCTGCTCTGCCCTTAAATTTGAAATTCACTTTGAATTCACTTAGAATGCTCAATTTAGTAAATAACTGTGTATATTTTAGTATCCGTAATTTCTAACTTACCAATCACATGACTTGACTCAGGAAGATATATTAGTTGCTTTATATGCGGGCTGTTGTCCTGGTTTTGGAAGGTATCCACAAATTCTGTAATCTGGGGATAAGAATTTTGTAAAGTACATTCCAGAAATAGCTATACATACTGTATTACCAGTATAAGTATAAACCATACACATTTTTAAACCTCGGGATAAAAGGCAAAGCTGACTCTGCCAGGAAATGAACCTGGAACTCTGAGCTATCTTACACAGCTATAATACATGTAACGATTCATAGTTTATCTATTGCTGTATCATTTTTGAAAATTCTGTAGCAATACTTTCTGTAAAGTGAGCCTCTTATGACTTTAAAAGGTTTACTTTAACAGGACACCTTAAACACAAAAATCATTTAAACTTCATTTACAGATATTGAGGAATGAATGCTGTCTCTGCAGCCTTACTGATGAGTACACTACCGTTTTCGAGAAATGGCACTGTTTACAGTTTTGCAATTCCCATGATTCTAGTGACTGTCATTCAGAAAAGAAAGTATGCCTTTAAAATTTTTTTAAATAAATATATATATATAGTATCTCACAAAAGTGAGTACACCCCTTACATTTTTGTAAATATTTTATTCTATCTTTAAATGTGACAACACTGAAGAAATTACACTCTGCTACAATGTAAAGTAGTAAGTGTACAGCCTGTATAACAGTGTAAATCTGCTGTCCCCTCAAAATAACTCAACACACAGCCATTAATGTCTAAACCATTGGCAACAAAAGTGAGTAAACCCCTAAGTGGAAATGTCCAAATTGGGCCCAAAGTGTCAATATTTTGTGTGACCACCATTATTTTCCAGCATTGTCTTAACTGTCATGGGCATGGAGTTCACCAGAGCTTCACAGGTTGTCACTGGAACCCTCTTCCACTCCTCCATGACGACATCACTGAGCTGGTGGATGTTGGAGACCATGCGCTCCCCCACCTTCCGTTTGTGGATGCCCCACAGATGCTCAATAGGATTTAGGTCTGGAGACATGCTTGGCCAGTCCATCACCTTTACCTTCAGCTTCTTTAGCAAGGCAGTGGTCGTCTTGGAGGTGTTTGGGGTTGTTAGGTAGGGGATCATGCTCTGCTTCTGTATGTCACAGTACATGTTGGCATTTATAATTCCCTCAATGAACTGTAGCTCCCAAGTGCCGGCAGCACTCATGCAGGCCCAGACCATGAAACTCCCACCACCATGCTTGACTGTAGGCAAGACACACTGGCACACCTTGACGTACAAAAGGCAGATTCTCAACTGTTGTTAAAGTACAACCTTATAATGGCATTCTAAGCACCAAAATCACTTAATATTAATGAAGTGGTTTTAGTTTATAAACCTTGTCCCTTTTTTGATAATATAACTGGAGAAATGTTTGTGTCCTTCATAAAACACTTTTAAAGAGACTCTTCGTCTTAGGAGAGGCAGGTACTTGCATGAAAAGCACTTGCACTGTGGATTGACTCTGCACAACCACCTGGGGAAAGAATTTTTGCCATCTGTGACATATGTGAGTGAGATTTTAGGATTTTTGGAAATCATTACGGTTATTAGTTACTGTGTACAGCTAGACAATGACACATAGATTGTTATGGTGCTTAGAGTGTAATAACATTTACTTGTTAGACCAAATATTCTGAATAAATAGAAGCACTTACAGTACATTTATACTTTATAGGTGTAGTGGTGGCTTACTATATCTCCAGATCGTGGGTCTAAAAGTAGAGGATGACTGGTACCGCTTGTGATCCACACAGTTTTGACTGACACAGCATAGCATATCCCAGTTATCACACCTGTGAAATGACGCAATCTGTGGATTAGCTGCCCATCCTGAGACCACACACCAACAGTGCCATCAAAGGAGCCCGTCAGAAACCTGGCAAACAGAGAATACAAGTTTTAGATGACAAATGTCAATAAAATAGCAGCAACCCTCTAAAAATTTTATCCCAAACAGAATTCTTAGGTTTAGCAACCACCACAAAACTTTTATTTCATATGATAGCATTGTATAATTTACCCAAACAGAGAAAAATAAGATTTAATATATGCATGACTAATGGCATAACAAACTAGACAAAAGTAGTAGGTAATGTCCCTTGGTGTGTTCTGGAACCACTTCTATTAAACCTATTTATAAATAATAGTAATATAATGTGAGCAGGATATTACTTCACTGCAGAGGGATCTAGATAGTAACGCTAGAAAAAAAAAAATCTAGAAAAATTCTCTTACTCAATTATTTTTCGAATTCAAAAATGTTGGCTTAAGTATGTAGTTCCTGGTTAATTCTCCATAATAACGGTTTATTGAATAACCTTGTACATGTTACACATACCTGGTATTCTCACGCTCCCGGACAAGCAGAAGATGCAGGATGCCAGCATCATGGGCCCGTGAGACACAATGGACAGGTGTGATGCAAATCTTTTCAGGAGTCTGGTAGGTATCGAAAATAATAAACTTTCTGTCATATCTGAAAAATGAACGTAGAGAGTGTACGTCAATCCAAGGGTTCCTTCAAGCACACAAAAGTAAAATTTTTGTTAATTTTTCCATTTTTAATAAATAGTAGTTCAACTACAATTTCCCTCCTTCTTATGAATAGCTTCTCCCTTCAACAGTATAAATAAATGGTCAAATTTATCCCACAAAGTCAGAGGGCATGACTTGGACAGCACACTGGTCATCTGGCGATAAGGGGCTGAACATGGAGTTGTCTCATCCATTTAACAATGCCACCCTATGCGTGGGGAAGTGGAGGTGTTGTCTTTCATGCTACACACATGCTGGTAATACCACCAACACATTAGGATTCTGTTTTGGATAATATTGAAATGTGAATAGACAAACATGATGATGGTTTAACTTGATGGACTTGAGTCTATGAGACTTCAGGCTTTGTTACTATCTAACTATGTGTCCACAGTTAGACTTTTGCTATATTGTATTGATTGGGCCCACAGAGCAGGGTTCCAATACTAGTTGTTAAGTGATTTGGAACAAGGTCAAAGGCCAAATCGAGCTGCAACCCAGTTCAATATTTTCATGATGTCAAGAGAACAAAACAATGTTTGACCATGGTAGAAGATACCCACCCAACAGTGTAAATCTGACTGTCTAAGCACACAATGCATGACACAATGTCGGTATGACTGTGGTCTAAGAACCTCTTCTTCAAGTTGATCGCATGCCCAGATGTTTTGTTCTCATCCAGTGGGTAGACAGAGAGACACTTGCTGAAACCGCATACCAAGAGCTGTCGCCTCAAATTTATAGCAAGGCTGAAGATGGGACTTCCCAACTATGGATACAGAAATTCTTACATGCTAATATAAACCTTTCATCAAAATAAATAGGTAACTGATAAGATATAGTAATAAACTTATGGTATGATATATGGTATGTATTATTATGATGTATTGTTGTTTTAATTAATTTACACAGTTAGTGTTAATTTTCTAACTAGCGAGCCCCCTTGGGACTTGCGCAGTGTGTCACAAAATGAGGGGCATAGACCTGCAGTGATTTCTTCACAACTGCTAGCTATATTATGTATAGGATAAAGGGGACAGGGGGTTCTTTGCACCATAGCCAATGCTAGGAACCTTAAGGGTTCTGGTGCTTCATATCAAACATTAGTATTACTAAAATACGCCAGTTTACCTGAATATGACTTCTTTTGTATACTATGCTGCTCTCCAGTCACAATTTGGTGGACAAAAACAATCATTGTGAGTATAAACCATATGTATTTTTATTTAAGGGAATTCAATGTTCTAAATATTATTCTTTATTTTTCTTTGACCACAACAAAAGACAAGACACAACATACACACACATCCAGGCATGCACCCACATCAGGCAAAGTGTTTGCATTTTTCCCGTTCCTCTTTTACTTCAGCAGACCAATGCAGCCAGAAAGATCCACAGTAAGGGAAGGAAGTATGCCGACTGCAACTCTCAGGTTCAAAGCAACTGCCGGCAGACAGCCGTGGGTAGCTATGCTCATACTTTAAATAGCACTGCTTCCGGTGGCAGATTCTAAAGTCACGTGACTACACCAGCTACGAGGAGGTTGTGCTTTGAACTCTCTACAACTGCAATCAGCTGTATGCAACTAGACCAGGGGTAGGTGACTTTTGGCACTACAGATTATGTGGACTACATCTCTACTGATGCTTTACCACTATTAATACGAGCATTGTGGGAGATATAGTCCACAAGCTCTGGAGACTGCAAGATCTAGTCCACAAACTTTGGAGTACCAAAAGGATGCCTAGCTCTGTACTAGAGGTAAGAAAGTGGGGATTCTTAAGAAATTGCTTCTTATATCACGCTGCTTCGGGGTCGAGGATATCCGTGGTTTTACAGATGAATTCTAATTCTGGCTGCATATATACAGGTAAAACCACAGATATATTTAGGTATTTGAAAGCCACTATCAACACAATGAAATTCTATCTGCAATATTTGCAGGTGCCAGTAACTATATCAGTATTATTTACTAAAGTGAGAATTGTTGGGAATTCAAATTGAATTATCTCCTGTACTCTCCCTTGACTCCACCTGATTGTGATATTTATTATACTCATTACCCAATAACCAATATTGGTAAAACAACCTCAATGGGAGTGGTACATACAAAATCTAAACTAAAATAAAAAAGGATAGTATTAATCACTTTATTAGAGTTGTTTTTTACAGAGTGGACTTTCCATGTGTTAGTAAGGATAAAATATATTCATATTTGAGTTCTGTAAAATTGTTTCTACAAAAAGAACACATATCAAGGGCATATTAAAATTAGAAAGGTAGTACTGATCATTTTTTGTAATAAAATTAAATAATTGTAAAGACAATTCTTGACCTACCTTAACCTTGTCAAACACAACAGACCCCGAGGTCCAAGCGATCAGAGTGCCATCATTGGATGAAGAGAATACCAGCCTCTTCTCTGCCCAGTACAAGATATTAGTGACCATTCCAGAGTGTTCAGCTGCTGATTGAGACTGACGCCCACTTTCCAGGTCCCACCATTTTATTACTCCATCTACAAACAGTCAGGAAGATAGAACTTCAGGCAGGATTCTATTGCCAGATGTGAACTTAAAGGGACATGCATAACTTGACAACTATTTTCTTAAACCAGCAAGCTAACATTTTTAACCCCTTAAGGACACATGACATGTGTGACATGTCATGATTCCCTTTTATTCCAGAAGTTTGGTCCTTAAGGGGTTAAACAAATATATTAACCAAAACCCCCCCCCCCAAAAAACCTTTAAATGTTTGTAATAAATGTGTATAAACTTACTATAAACTTTGTCAGATTGCATTGTTGGGCACGGTTCTTAACTAGAGAGATTTCTTCATTCTACCCTCTCATCCTCCCTCTTACCCACCTATCTCAGTTTCAGACCAATCTACTAGGGCATCATTGTGCAGCAGCAGGAGTTAGAAATCCAAAATTGGAGACTGGTCTGTATGATCACACTGACCAAATTTCCTTTCTTCTCCCCCTGTTAGAAAAGGACCACTATAGGCACCCAGACCACTTCAGCTCAATGAAGTGGTCTGGGTTCCAGGTCCACCTAGGATTAACCCTTTCTGCTGTAAACATAGCAGTTTCAGATAAACTGCTATGTTTACTTTAGGGTTAATCCAGCCTCTAGCGGTTGCCTCATTGACAGCCGCTAAAGGCGCTTCCGCGCTTCTCACTGTGAAGGACCACTATAGGCACCCAGACCACTTCAGCTCAATGAAGTGGTCTGGGTGCCAGGTCCATCTAGGGTTAACCCTGCCTGCTGTAAACATAGCAGTTTCAGAGAAAATCACAGTGAGAAAACGCTGGACGTCCATAGGAAAGCATTAGAAAATGCTTTCCTATGGACTGTTTGAATGCGCGCTCAGCTCTTGCCGCACATGCGCATTCGGCGCCGACGTCGGCAGAGGGAGGAGAGTTCCCCAGCGCCGAGGGAGCCTGGCGCTGGAGAAAGGTAAGTGTTTAACCCCTTCAGCCCAGCGGGAGTGGGACCCTGAGGGTGGGGAGACCTAAAGACCCTATAGTGCCAGGAAAACAAGCTTTTTTTTCTGGCACTATAGTGGTCATTTAATGACATAGCGCTGCCTACTAGGAAAATTCAGTGTCTGAAATGTGATATCATCTCAATAAAAATATACATTAGAAAAAAAAACAACATAAAAAGCTGGTATTTCTATGTATATGTTGTCCTACAGACATTTAAGCCCATTTTGTAAAGGATGTCATGTAACGTTCTAAAGGGGTTAATGAAGCAATTTTTGGGTATAGATTATGCCTCTGCCTACAGTCTCACTGCTCAATTATTTGCAAGACCATGCAATAGCCTCCTGTATGTGATTAAAGTTCAATTTACAGAGAAAGAGACAAAATTTGTAAGGTAAATTACATCTGATTGAAAGTGAAACTATTTTTTTTTCATTTTTTTTCTGTCAGTCAGAGTCAGGGGAAGTGTGGCAAAGGCTGCATACACAGAAAAAAAAAGTGATTTAACTCATAAATGGCAGTGAATTGAGCAGTGAAACACGAGAAGCATGATCTATACATTAAAACTGCTTCATTAAGCTAAAGTTGTTTAGGTGACGATAGTGTTCCCTTAATGGATAGTGTAAACAAAAAATATTAAAGGCAATCAATTAGCGCATCACTTCACATGAAAATTCATCTATATACGCAAATATTTAATTGATCGGAAAAACCTGAATTCATATTATATGCACTATTGACTGCACAAGCAGAATTCATATTCTGTGCATCATATATATAGAGATCAAAAAACACCAATAGTTCATCCGAAAGACTTGATCATGAAAAATAAATTCATCAAAATTTTTTTTTGAGAGTTCATCAAACCTGGATCCTAGTTAAGCAAAATATGCTTGTGATACATCCTACCATACTCCGTACTAATTATAGGGAATATAGTTAGTACTACCTAAAATGGTAGCAGAGTCTCTAGAAATAGCCTACATGTACATAAACACTTTTAAACAGGGCACATTAGAACAGGTGAAAAACAAAGCACATAGACAGGGCAAGGAAAACTATTTTATTATTATTTTTTTTTATCTAGTCACACGTTAAACTACAGGCTGTAAACACAATGCTGAAATGACTCCGTTAAACTTTCCACATGTAGTGCCATGTTGTGTTCTCTACACTTCTGATGACAACCTGGCATTTTCTCAAAGGCAGATTTCACAACAAACCAAAAATGGAAAATTTTCGCACCTTCAAAGCCCGTGAGAAACTCCCGTCTCGCAGAGTTGAATCCCAGTGCTGTAATGGAGCGTGAATGGCAATCGCGAACACTCAGATGTTTCTGCATTGCCATGGCTTCATCTGCATTCTGTCTCCTTTAAAATGTGGTCTATGTTATAAAGACAATCAAAAAGAATATTATTCCTTGACATCCTTCGGATAAAAAGAAATGGTGGTTTAGAAACACACACACTGTTAATCCATTTATGCATAACTTTTTCTTGATTTGCAAAACGACACTCGAAGCACCATAACCAATGACTGTGGCCCTGCTTTACCCCAATGTGACACCCAACCTCTACTGCTGAAGAAAGCTGAATGTGGGGCATGTAGATGCGGGATATGTTGGGACCCAGGTAAGTTGATAATCTGTGCTAAAACGGTTTGACATCTTACCATGGGGCAGGCTTTAGGCTGTAGTGGTATAGTGCATGGAGTGTTCCGAATTCTTCTTGGTTGTTATATTATCAGTACAGATGCACAGTATGAAGCTGAGTCTGGAGGAGGTAGGGTCTTTGTGTGGGTATGCCAGTGACGCAATACATTATAATATTGTTTATATTGAGCAGCCAAGATTGACTGAATACACAGATCTCTGAATCTACAGATTTCTGTTGATATGTGCACTGTACTACAATTGCAAACATGTTTCTTATGTCTGAAACATAATGCGTGAAATGCATGTGTGTGCAAATTTGCATGTCCAGCTGGGAACTCTGGAATAGTTGTGAAAACATGATTTCTTGAATTTCTGTGCCCAAGGAGGACTATACAAAGTCCAACTTGAGATATGCAGGTGATTATACACAACACTAATATTTCTATTCGATCTGTGAGGAGTTTGATCTCACCACAACTGGATTGGCACTTAAATCTTATAGAAAGAGCTATGTGAACAATTTTTAAAATGATAAAATATAAAATACCTCCCAAATACCAGGTTTTGAAAGTTCACCCTTCTTTTCAGGACTAATTACCCTATTGCTCTTCCAGGCATAGGGGGCCTACTTTTGGGCAGCAGGGGATGTTTAGTGTATATCAGAGAGCTCCACAGCAATAAAGCAGGGTAAAGTGTGGTATTTACATGTGTATCAGAGAGTGCCATACTTATGTGGGATATTTATGACTGTATGACAGAGTTCCACAGCAATTATACTCACCTTTTGTGTTGGAACACTATAGGTGTCAAGACCACTTCATCTCCATCCCATGTCCCCTCACCCCCCATTTAACCCTGCAGTTGCAGGAACCGCAATGTTTAACTTGCCTCTAACTTGGCTTTCATATTGACAATCTGCCGAGAAATGCACCTTTTTTATGAATGGGGAGCTACTGATTGGCTTAAAGTGTCAGCTGACCGCTCTGGGCCAGTTAGCGGCGTCCCTGCCCAGTGGTACTCTGCACTTCTTGTAAGTGAGATTCAGAAGACAGATGTTGCCTGGAGAACCTGCAGATCGGCGCTAGAGGCACATAGCCGGGAGCCTCCTGGCATCATAACAACTTTGTTTAGATGAAGTTGTTATGATGACTGGAGTTTCCCTTAAAATCATCTTTGTTTCTGGCCATGCAGCCCCTGCCTGGCAGTACTCCGTGCTTCCTGTAACTGAGATTCAGAAGCCGGATGTCACCTGGGGAACCTGGAGATTGGCAGTGGAGGCACACTTTGGGGTTATACCGTTTGAGAACAGTTTAACCCCTTGAAGTAAGAGTGTGGATTTATACATTAAATTGATTAAATTGTATTTTTCACATCTCACAAATGCATAGTTGTTAAATATAGGAATAAGTAAACATAATATGGAACAACCTGGGAAGTGATTTCACCTTTAATCCATGCCTGATTGGACTTAAAGGGATACTCTAACTTGAAGAATGTCCGTAGTACTAGCGCTAGTTATAATCTCCAAAGAATTTAAGAAAGTGCATGTGCTTGATTCAACTATTAAGCTACTATAACACTGGGTGCAATCTTTTCTATATACACAACATAGAACTCAAATATACAAAACTATATATATTTTTGTTTCTTAAAGGTAAATGACCCAGAGACTAACAATAGCTGTCAGAACTTCCTTAAGGTATATAAGCATCCTTTTATTGATATACCAGTCCAGTTTCCACAATTTTCAAGCGCTACACCGTTTTGTATATTAAAGGCATACTCTAATCACTAAAATAAATGTAGCTTAAAGGGACGCTCCAGATCCCTAAAGCTTACTGATGTTTTATGTGTAAATAATGTGTCCTCTTTTTTCATTTTACAAAAAGTGCAAATTTTACCATTACCTGAATCCAGTGTGTCCAGTGACTGTATCAGTACCTGAACCCAGTGTGTCCAGTGTCTGTATCAGTACCTGAATACAATGTACCCAGTGTCTGTGTCAGTACCTGAATACAATGTACCCAGTGTCTGTGTCAGTACCTGAATACAATGTACCCAGTGTCTGTATCAGTACCTGAATACAATGTACCCAGTGTCTGTATCAGTACCTGAATACAATGTACCCAGTGTCTGTATCAGTACCTGAATACATTGTACCTAGTGTCTGTGTCAGTACCTGAATACAATGTACCCAGTGTCTGTGTCAGTACCTGAATACAATGTACCCAGTTTCTGTGTCAGCACCTGAATACAATGTACCCAGTGTCTGTGTCAGCACCTAAATACATTGTACCCAGTGTCTGTGTCAGTACCTGAATACATTATACCCAGTGTCTGTGTCAGTACCTGAATGCAATGTACCCAGTGTCTGTGTCAGTACCTGAATACAATGTTCCCAGTGTCTGTGTCAGTACCTGAATACATTGTACCCAGTGTCTGTGTCAGTACCTGAATACAATGTACCCAGTGTCTGTGTCAGTACCTGAATACATTGTACCCAGTGTCTGTGTCAGTACCTGAATACATTATACCCAGTGTCTGTGTCAGTACCTGAATACATTGTACCCAGTGTCTGTGTCAGTACCTGAATGCAATGTACCCAGTGTCTGTGTCAGTACCTGAATACAATGTACCCAGTGTCTGTGTCAGTACCTGAATACATTGTACAAAGTGTCTGTGTCAGTACCTGAATACAATGTACCCAGTGTCTGTGTCAGTACCCAGTGTCTGTGTCAGTACCTGAATACATTGTACCCAGTGTCTGTGTCAGTACCTGAATACATTGTACCCAGTGTCTGTGTCAGTACCTGAATACATTGTACCCAGTGTCTGTGTCAGTACCTGAATACAATGTACCCAGTGTCTGTGTCAGTACCTGAATACAATGTACCCAGTGTCTGTATCAGTACCTGAATACAATGTACCCAGTGTCTGTGTCAGTACCTGAATACAATGTACCCAGTGTCTGTATCAGTACCTGAATACAATGTACCCAGTGTCTGTGTCAGTACCTGAATACAATGTACCCAGTGTCTGTGTCAGTACCTGAATACAATGTACCAAGTGTCTGTGTCAGTACCTGAATACAATGTACCCAGTGTCTGTATCAGTACCTGAATACAATGTACCCAATGTCTGTGTCAGTACCTGAATACAATGTACCCAGTGTCTGTATCAGTACCTGAATACACTGTACCCAGTGTCTGTGTCAGTACCTGAATACAATGTACCCAGTGTCTGTGTCAGTACCTGAATACAATGTACCCAGTGTCTGTATCAGTACCTGAATCCAGCCTTCCCAGTGTCTGTATCAGTACCTGAATCCAGCCTTCCCAGTGTCTGCTTGTCCTATTGCACATACTGTGTGAGATCTCTTAAAACATTTACTGTACCTCCTGCATTTTGTGTATTTTGGTTGGTCACAATTGTTTTACTTCCTACTGCTGTCACTATGGGAACCTCTCATTACAGTGAAAACTCTTTAGCTAAATTCTTTTCTACAGAAGCCAAGTAACAGCTTTATTTCTCTGCCCAAAGGCTCAAGACAATAACTAGTAGGAGGAGGGGTGATTTCATTGCCAGGGAGGAAGGAGGTGCCTGGTACACTAACTGCCTTTCATTGCACAATGGTCAGAAACATAGGTGGTTTAGAATGGGATTACTTAGCAGTAGTATAATATTTGAATGTACGTGTCCATTGTTTTGTAAAACTACCATATTACCATACAGTTTTGGTGATGCCAAAATCCCATGTGCTTTTGTAAATCTCAGAGGGCACTCTGTGAGATGATGGTTTGTTGAGAATGTATACAAAAAAAAATAGTTTCATGAATTTCAAATTTCAGACCAGAGTAGTCAAACTGGAAGTATAGCTGAGTTGGAGATTTCTTTTTCTGGTTTGGCTATTTGACCTTAAATTTTAAATTCACTTTAAATTTTCACTTTATCCCACTGAATATCCCTGTAGGTGCACATGTGGAAGAACAGAATCACTTACTCGTGTCTAATTAGAGGTTATGCCTCTAAGAAGTTCACCTTGACTTTGTAAGGTAAACTTACACTCCTTGGCTTTACAGTGGTAATACATATCACTGCAGTTTAAAGAAACACTGTAGGGTCAGGAACACAAAGATGTACTCCTGTCCTTATATTTTTTTAGTAAATATCTTTATTGACAGGTGTTTAAGAGTGCAGTTATACAATACGTTATCAAGTTGCAATAAAACAACAGTGATATAACCAACAACCATTATCTTCAAACGTTATTCCAAGCATCCCAGAAAATTTCTTTTTCAATTTCTTTCCCTACCTTCCTTCCCTACCTTAGCTTAACCTTCGATCCCTATCCGGAAGTATATATCGTTGGTTGTGGAGATTGTGAGATTATAACATCGAGACTCGCAGGTCTCCACAGTTGTAGTGCGTAATCAGAACAACAATAAGCCAAGTGTGTAAACTGATGGGGTAACCAAACGGTTGCCAGTAAAGTGGCTCGTGGGCCCAAATGTAATTTGGGTTCGCAGGTCTCTAGTGGATTTGCCATGTGTACCTGAACAAATATACATGGTGGGGGTTAGTGGGCAATGTGTCACTACCAATATTACATGGAGCAAATAGCAGCCCGCTTATCTGAGCATATCTTGGGACAATTTGGTAAATTACATGTTTGGGGCTATACCAAAGGTGAAACT